AAAAAATTTTGGCATTCATTTCAAAATTTGCCCCTCCCGCTGGGGGTAACCTTGCCATAAAAAAAAATATACTTTGTTTGTATACGGATTATTTTGTTTTTTTATTAAGAACCATTTTGACATCTGTCGTGATGAATTTCGAAATGGTAACCATTCGATTTTCAATTATACATCCCAAGGAGGCAATAAATATGTGTCATTGCTGTACATTTTCAAATTTGAGTCAAAACAACTTTTTAAGAAACTCGTGTTTTTTAACCTACGCCTACTTTTGAGATTCTGAACTACTGAACACTTGACTACTGAAAATATAGTCCCGAAACGTGTAAGAATTTAATGGAAATAAAAGTACTTTTGCATAAGTACACAAGTTTCATTGTAATATTCATGAACTTTATACCATTCTTATAGTCTTGGAGACTCTTCTTTTTTTACTTGTAAGTTAATTTGACGATAGATTTTCCTTATACAGTTTTGTTTTTAGCTGCGAAATAAAAATGTTACATTACTCACCGATTATCCTGCAACAAAGAATTGAAGATGGCGAACTTCAACATTTATCAGAATCAGATAAATTAGAAATTGAAAAACAACTCGGACAAATGTATACCTTGTTGGTGCCTTTTTTGAAAGCATCACATACATGGCCATTCTGGACTGGTATGAATAAATATAGACCGCTGATATCATTTGCATTTGGCGCTTTATTGTTTATATCCACGGTAATTTCAATCGAAATTTTTTGAACATTTCATATTTTTTATGTAAATAATTTGAAATTTCATGAATTTTATATGAATGATTTTTAATTGCAGTTAATTTATATAGCAGAAATAATAAGCAATAATAAATTTGAAACAAACCTAGCTGTGGAATTATGCATCCAAATTTTTCTTCACATTGTAATTCTCTTCGATATTTACGTCTTAACTTTGGATAAGAAAGGCTTTATTACGGTAAAAAAAATTATATATTATTTTCAATTACATTTTGACTAAAGAATTGAATTTCAATTAATCGAAGCGTATTTTTATTGTATTCATGTTGTTATGAAGGTACAAAAGTTAATGATTATTGGGACAAGGAATTATTTGCAATGTAGTTCCGAGGAAAAAAAGTTTTTAAAATACTACATAGACACATCTAATTTTGCTTCTTATATTATCACAGGTACGTACATGGTTCAAAAAACTTAATTAATTTGATTCAATAGAGAGTTCAATTACTTTACAGGTCTTATTTGTAGCTCCTATGCTATGTATATAATTATAATTCCAATATTATGGCCAGTCACAGCAAATTTATTTTTACCAGGAAATCATACACACCAAAAAAAAATTCCCATTTACTTTGAATTTTTCATGGGCACTGACACACACTTCTATTATTACTTTGTTATTTCGTCTTTACTGTGTTACCTTGCATCAGTATTTGTTTCAACATTGGGAATCGCTTACCTACCACCAGTATTTTACACAATAGGAAAATTTAGATTTATGGGGTATTAAATCACAAATTGTGTATAATTCATTTATTATTCATTGAAATAAATACTGAAGTTTCTCAAACTAGATCAAAGTTAAAAGAAATAACAAATTTCTCGCGAACAAAAGATTTTTTGGAAAATGATGATGAAATATTCAAACATGTCTCTCAGCTTGTTCAATTACATCAAGATTGTATCGAGTTAAGTGATAACATTGACGATAGTTTAATTTAATTGTAATTAATTTTTTCAATACTTAGTTACTTCGATTTACTGAAAGTTATAAGTAGTCCAATATTAGTCTTAGGAATATTGGGTGTAATTGTCGGCCTTAGTTTATCCGGGTGTTTGGTACGATCTCAAATTTTTATACTTTACTTTGAAATCGGAAATATAATAAATTATAACTTTATTTTCCTCACAGATGGTAATTAAATATAAAGAGGATATAAACGTTGCTTTAAAAATGGGGTTTGTATACATCATGTGCTCAGAGTTTTTATTTGTAGCGAACTATCCCTCACAGATAATTTATGATTCTAGCAGCGACATTTTTGACTTTTGGTAAGGATTTCAATATTCCTAAAGCATTGATTTTTTTTCCATTCTTGAAAAATTAAAATATTATTATTGTTTCTAACCAAAAAAGTTATTGCACTGATTGGTATAGATACTCTGTAAAAACAAGGAAAATGATACAACTAATAATGATAAGGGCCAGTATGCCTTGCTGTATTAAAATTGGGCCAACCACAACTTTAAATCTTGAAATGAGTCAGCAGGTAGCTATGAATACTAACAAGACTTATCTCAACAATTACTTCATGAATTTATTTTTTATCTTAGATTATACGATTATCTTTTTCGTACGTTGTGTCGTTGATGTCTATCTATGATCATTAAATTGCACCTCTTGAATTGTGATTGATTTAAATAAAATAAATTATGTACTTTATGCTGAATTAGACATTTTTGAAAAATTGAAATAATATTAAATTTTGAAAAAAATTTAAAAAACGAAAAAATTATAGAATTAATAAAAAAATTCACGTTCATTTTTTCTGAATCGTTTAACTCAGTAGGAATGTATGGATTACGTCGCTACATGCAGGATTTGCAACGCCACTCTGAATAAAATATAATTTTTAAAATTAAAAAAAATCTTGTCTTTTTTCTTTTGTTCAATATTTCATCATCAAACATTTCGTCAATTTTGATACTGGATTCGGAAATATCATAAAACTTTACATCGGAGATGACAATTTATATATTTTTCTGACTCTTTTTTCTCAACGTTTAACATACATTAATAGTAATGTACGATACAAGTGCCATAAGTAACACTTTTGGGCCGATAAGTGTTCCCATGGCACGATTATTGTACAAAATTTTATAGCACTGGGCGAAGTTCACATTTATGCCCCCTTTTCCGATGCATAAATCGTACTTTCTGATAACGCGGAATGAGGTTAGCATACGAGCGTAGGCGAGTGTGATGCGTACCAGAATGTGCAACTGATGTCACGGAATTGCTTGCTATAGATGTGAACTTATGCCACACAGTGCTATAAAAAATGTATGAAATCGCATCAAACTACATTTTAATTGAACGCTGTTTCTTGCCATTAACCCATTGTACATTTCTTAAACCTAAGCCTACTCCTGAGATTCTGAACTACTGAACACTTGACTACTGAAAATATAGTCCCGAAACGTGTAAGAATTTAATGGAAATAAAAGTACTTTTGCATAAGTACACAAGTTTCATTGTAATATTCATGAACTTTATACCATTCTTATAGTCTTGGAGACTCTTCTTTTTTTACATGTAAGTTAATTTGACGATAGATTTTCCTTATACATTTTTGTTTTTAGCTGCGAAATAAAAATGTTACATTACTCACCGATTATCCTGCAACAAAGAATTGAAGATGGCGAACTTCAACATTTATCAGAATCAGATAATTTAGAAATTGAAAAACAAGTCGGAAAAATGTATCCCTTGTTGGTGCCTTTTTTGAAAGCATCACATACATGGCCTTTCTGGACTGGTATGAAGAAATATGGACCGCCGATATCATTTGTATCTTACGTTTTATTGTTTATATCCACGGTAATTTCAATCGAAAATTTTTTGAACATTTCATATTTTTTAGATGAATAATTTGAAATAGCATGAAATTTGTATTAATGGTTATCATTTGCAGTTAATTTATTTAGTTGAAATAATGAGCAATAATGAAATAGAATTAAATAAAGTAGTGGAAGTAAGCATTCAAATTTGTTATCAGACTCTAACTCTTTTCGGCATGTATTTTTTAAATTTGGACAAAAATGGCTTCAAAGCGGTAAATATAATTACTTTTAATACCCTATTGAATTTTGATGAAAGTTTTGTGTTTTAATTAATTGAAGTCTTTTTAAATTTAATCGATATCATCTTGGAAGGTACAAGAGTTGATAGTTATGATATCAAGGAATTATTTTCGATGTAGTTCCGAAGAAAAAAAGTTTCTACAAAATTACATAGATGCATCTAATTTTACTTCTTACTTAATCGCAGGTTATTTTTACAATTATTAAATTAAATGAATTTTACTAAACAAACAATTTAATTATTTTTTAGGCCTCGTATGTGGATATTATACTATGTATATCGTTGCAATTCCAATATTATGGCCAGTCACAACAAATTTCATTTTGCCAGGAAATCAGACAAATCCAATTACTATTCACCTGGAATTATTCGTGGACCAGGACACGCACTTTTATTATTATGTTTTTGCTTTGTCTATACTATGTTATACGACGCAAGTATTTAATTCAAGTGCAACAATTGCTTACATATCGATAATTTGCTACGTATTAGGAAAATTTCGATTTCTGAGGTATTAAAAAATGTTCCAATTCATGTATTGTTAATTAACATTAATAATTTAGTAGTTTTCTTTAATTGATTAGATCTAAGTTAGAAAAGCTAACAAACTACTATCGAACAAAAAATTTATTAGAAAAAGATAATGAAATTTTCAATCATGTCTCTCAGCTTGTTCAATTACATCAAGATTGTATTTAGTTAAGTGATAATATTGAGAATTATTTTATTTAATGATAATTAATTTTTTTTAATGATTAGTCACTTTGATTTACTGAATGCAGTAACGAGTCCTATCATATTCTACGGTATATTAGGTTTGATCATTGCCCTTAGCGTTTCCGGTTGTTTGGTACGGTTTCAAATTTTTGTATTTGACGTTGAACTAGAACATTTTATAACCGTAGCTTCATTTTTCTTGCAGGTGGCAATTGTGTATAAGCAGAATATAAATCTAGCTCTGAAAATGGGTTTCGTATACATCGCGTGCGTCGTGTTTTTGATTTTAACGAGCTATCCTTCGCAGTTGATCTTTGATGCTAGCGGAGATATTTTCGAGAGCTGGTAAACATGTTGATTCTCGTAAAGCATTAAAATTATTAAATGCTCACTGAGTGCAAAATCGCCTTTGGGTATTTGTCGCATAAATAAGTAATGGTTTATAAAAAATTTGACCCAAATAGCTATTACACTGACTGGTATAGATACTCTGTAAAAACCAGAAAAATGGTACAACTAATAATGATGAGGGCCGGTACACCTTCGTGTGTTAGAATTGTACCAAGCACACCTTTGAATTATGAATCAAGTCAGCAGGTACTTATAAATACTCGAAGTAAGATGTATTTCAACAATTACTTACTTATTTAATTACTTTTCATTTTAGGTTATAAATCTAACATCGTCATACGTTATTTCCTTGATGTCTATTTATCATCATCGCAAATCCTAGATCTACCTTGATAGCTGCTCTATATGTTTTATGTATTGATGGAACTATTCTCCTTGATCTTCGCTAAAATCTCCACAGTTTACTGGGAACTAATATGCACAGCTATACAGTGAATACCGTTTATAAGACATATCCCAGTTGAAAAAAATTGTATGGATATCCGCGTTGATTATCACACCGATTCCACATGGATCATACATAGATACCTCGAGGATCAGGCATTGATACCACGTGGATTAAATAAATTGTCTACGTAGCTAAGTCACGTGGATTGACATTACCTACGCATATTTTCGATTAACCCACGACGATTTTTGCTAAAATCCTCGTAGACTTTTGAACCTCCGCGATGATTTTTAAACAATCAACGAGGATTTCCACGAAAACCCTCGTCGATTGACCAGAAATCTACGCAGATTTTTGATCGACCCACGACGATTTTCGCTGAAATCCTCGTGGATGTAGAAAGATCCTCGAAGATTTCTCGAAAAATCCTAGTGGATTTATCAATTATCGACGTGAAGAAGTTAAAATCCACAACGATTTACCGACAAAACCTCGCGGATACTTGCAGCGAGCTCGGGAAACAAGTCCAAGACCCTCGAAGAGTTAAAAAACCACCAACTTAAAATTTTTTTCGATCCATGTATGATCCACGTGGTATCTTTATCACATGCGTAATATTTCTTACCTTCATGCACTGTTCTTTGATGCTTAGACAAATCTGATTTCAGTCCAAATTTCTTCTCACAATTGTCACAACCAAATTCTCTACTACCTTCATGGACTGTATAATGGTGGCGGATCAAATTCGATATTTGTCCAAATTTTTTTTCACATCTGTCGCATGCGAAATCTTTGCGACCTTCGTGCACTGTTTTTATGTGTACGAGAAAATTACATTTATGTCCAAATTTCTTGTCGCCCTTGTCGCTTGTGAAATCTTTACGGCCTTCGTGTATCGTTTTTCGATTCAAAAGTAAACTCGGTTTTCGTGTAAATTTTTTCTCGCATTCACCACACGCGTAATCTTTGCGACCTTCATGGATTGAATTTTGATGGACGCGCAAATGCGATTTGTACCCAAACTTCTTCTCGCAATTATCACATGCGAAATCTTTGCGACACTCATGGACTGTGTTTTCGTGGTTAAACAAATGTGATTTTTTCTCAAATTTCCTTTCACATTTGTCGCATGTGTAATCTTTGCAACCTTCATGGACTGTCGTTTGGTGTCTGATTAATTTCGATTTTCCTCTAAATTTCATCTCGCACTTGTCGCATACGAAATTTTTGCAACTCTCATGGACTTCCTTTACGTGTGTGAGTAAACTCTGCTTACTTGAAAATCTCTTGGCGCACTTTTCACATAAGTAGTCTTTAAAAACTTCGTGGAATATTTTTTTGTGTTTAAGTAAAGTTGATTTATTTTCAAACTTCCTATCACACTTGTTACACGGGAAATGTTCACGATCTTTATGTATTAATTTTTGGTGCGTCAATAAACTCGATTTTTTCAGAAATTTCTTTTCACACTGGTCGCATGCAAAATCTTGGCGGCCTCTGTGTTCTGATATTTGGTGTCTACTCAAATGACTTCGGAACTTAAATTTCTTCTCGCACTGGTCACATTCGTACTTTTTTTGTTCATTGTGAATTGTGTCTCGGTGCGTTGTCATGCTTGATTCTAGTGTAAATGCCTTCTGGCAAATATCACACACGTATTTTTTGTAGTCTAAAACAACAAAGTCGTGTTCACTTGAATTTTTTTTAAAGACAACTTCGTTGAATTTTTTCTCACTTTTATCCATTTTGAGGACCAAATTAAACGATGGATCTTTCGGTTTAGTACTACGAAAATTGAACGAGTAAAATATATCTTCTGATATGTGATTTGTTTCCTTGGGAAAGACAACATTCAAACTAATTTGTTTTCACTATGAACATGATCAGTAGATCGAGAGAATATGTCCAAATTGTTATAATGATAATATTGTTTACAATCAAGGTACCGACTTATATGTTTATTCATTGTCCTTAAAATATTTGAATCATTTTAAAATTACAAATTACCGACGATTTCTTCAATGAATTTATTTGGCTTTCTAAAACTAATTACTTTCTAACAAACTCTCGACAGATATTGTCTAGTTCACACAAAAAAACATCGAGTAAATAGATCCTTGTACTACTCATGTATGGTGACAAATTTTGACATTCATTTAAAAATTTGCCTCCCCTAGGTTGTGGCGTACTTGACGTGCTTCATAATCTGACACAGGTTTTTTTCCTGGGTGCAGCCTTGACACATAAAAAATTGATTTACCTTGTATACGGAACTTTTTTTCTACCATTTTGATGTTTTCCACGATGAATTTCGAAATGGTAACCATTCGATTTTCAATTATACGTCCCAAGGATGCAACAAATATGTGTCATACCAATGAATTACTTTGCATTTTTAAATTTGAGTCAAAACAACTTTTTCAAGAAACTCGTGTTTTTTCGTTTCTTAAAATGTTTATGACTTTTAATAATCCTTTTTTTCTAAAAGTTGTTTCCTTGGTGACCATTTACGATCGTTAAGAAATCTTTTACCCTTTTATTGGTGAGGTTCATGCAAATAAATAGCGTTGATTTCATAAAAATAGAAAATGTGGTTTTTGCTACGATAAATTGATTCAATCACAAGACTAATAATTATGTACACAGCTTAGTCATGAGAGTCAAACTCGACGATGCGAGTTTCTAGTTCTTGATATCGTACAAGATAACAGAATGTAAATAATTGAAATCGCATGAAATATTCAAAGAACTCAATTGATAAACTACACATTATACATAAAAAAAGAAATGAAATACACGCACTAAATCTCATAGGATCATTTCGTTGCACGATTCCGTCGACGATCCTTGGCGCATTTGTAACTTGTTATCCAGCTCGTATTTCAGCAGGATGAGCTGGGGATCTATGATATCCTACAATAATAACGATTGCGACGATGCATATAAAATTCATAATATCTTGCGATAAACCGATTACCTTACCTTATGAGAGTAACGGGAAGATCCGGGAAATTGGGAATAGTAAGACGTAGTCTCGTGATTCATCGGTGTCTTTGCGTTGGCTCTGTTGAGGGCATCCTCTGGCTTCTCCGCTTCGTTGATGTGAATCGACAATCGATCCCTACGAATAAAACAAAAAATCGTCCATGTAGTATCATTCCTCATAATTAACGATTTTCGCGCAAATATTAAATACGTTTAACGCCTACTTGGCCAACTGAAGTTTCTCAATAGCGATTTGGCTCTCTTTCTGCGTGAGAATGTCCTCCTGTATCTGCAGCTTGCCGAGCTTCTCCTTGTATCGCTCCTCGATGAATCGGGCCTGCTTCAGAGCCTGCAGGCCCTCGTCCCTCTTGGCCACGGCCGACTGCGTGAACTGCTGAAGCTCGCGAGCTTTCTGCACGAGTCGGGCCTCCTTCTCGCGGATCTCGTTGGCTTGCGCGTCGAGCTCGGCTACCTTTTCCCTCCACTTGAGTCTCTCCTGATTGGCACACGCTTTGGCATCTTGGGCGGCTTTTATCGTCGCTTCCAACTGAAAGGAGATTTCTTGTAGCTCGAGCTGAAACAATTTCGTATTCGAAAATTTACCTCAGCTTTGGAAGACTCGTTTTCGCCGATTTTCAGTCGATCGAAGATCTGGAGCTTTCCTCTCTCGGCGGCTATCGTCTGTCTCTCCTGAGCCAGCCACTGCATCTGCACGTTCTGCTCTTTGGCCCACGCTTCCCTCATGGCCTATAAATAACAATACGCATTATGTAACTTTTATTGAATACATTTATTTTTAAACGTATTTCTAATTTATTTACTTGTATCCGTTCACGTTCCCAATTCGTCTGGTCGACGAGAATCTCGCGATCTCTGAGCAGGGCTTGCTCCTTCGAACGATACAACTCTTCGGTTTCTTTCAGGCTCGCATTCTGCTTGTGGAATTCCAGCATCAATTGAGAGATTTCCGTTTCCAATTTCTCGATCGTCGCCGTCAATTTCTTTTTCTCCTCGCCAAACGCTTCTCTCTGCTTTTCCAGTTGTTCCTTTAAATCTGCACAAAACCAAAAATCAGAAACACAATCGACTCGATATTTCCTCGAAATTTAATCAATCGATCCCCACACTCGATATTCTTCTCCAGCATCGAGTAATGATGATCCCTCGACTCGTCGAAACGCTCGTCTCTGCTTTGAAACTTCTTCTGCATCCCCTCGAGGCCCTCGACGATGACCTGCGACTTGTTCAGAATGTTCTGAACGTTGGTGCTCTCCTGGGTCATGGTGTTCATGGCGCGACGCTCCGACTCCTTGGTCCTGGTCAGACGCTCGATCGTCTCGAGATGCTCGCGCTGCAGGAGGTCGACGTTCTTGAAGTGTCGATCCTGCATCTCAGCGATCAGCTTCGCGTGCTCCGCCTTCGCCCGATCTCGCTCGGCTTTGCGATACGCTTCGATCTCCGTCATTTCCTCCTTGAGCTTTTGGATCTTGAGCTTGTAGTCGGCCTCGATGCACTCGACGTCGTCCATCATTCGCTTCTCCATCTGCACCATTTGCTCCTCCAAAAAGGTAATCTGTTTTCTGAAGATTATCGAATTACATCAAAATTATGATAAATATAAACACTGAAAAAGTAACGATTCACGTACTTGTAAGAATCTTCGAGCATCGTCGTCTCTTTCTCGTGCTTATCCTTCAAACTCTCCAACGTACACTCCAAACACGACTTTTCCAACTTGAGCTTCTGCAGCTCGGCCTCGCACTCGTCTCGCTCCCTCGTCGTCTCCTTCACCCTACGCAGCTCTTGATCGACCGGCAACGTCAATCCAGCCTCGGGTTGACTGGCCAGCGCCCCGATGTACGAGTCTATCCTCTCCTGCTGCGCCCTGATTTGCGCCTCCATCGTCGCCTGCCTCTCGCACTGTCTGGCCAACAGAGCGTTGAACTGCGACTCCTGCTCGGCCAGTTTGGCTTTCTGCGTGGCCAACAAACTGTTGAGCTTGCCGCTTTGCTGGGAAAGCGCCAGGGCCGTTCGTAGCTCGTGCTCCTGCTGCTGCATCCCGACCAGAGCCGCCCGTTGATCGAATTCCATACTAAGGAGTTTCGAGGTGGTGGCGTCGTTGACGCGACTGCCATCCGTGAGGACGCTCGAGCTCGTCGCTAGTAGGGTCGTCGACTGATCCGTGAGTCCGGATAGCTTGGCTTCTTTATCGCTCGCGAGTTTCGGAGGTCCGCCGAGCCACTCGGGAAGATCGTCGTTCGGCACCGTCGCTGCTTCCTCTTTGCGAGCTGCGCCGATGCTCGGCTCGAAGATTTTTACCACGGACGGCTTTTCCTCGATTTTCAGGGTGTCGTCGATGAGCAACGGCGCCGACAGCAAACCCAGAGGGTCGTTGTTCTGTGGCGTCGCTCTGCGGCCTCGTCGCGGCTCCTTTCCCGCGCTCAAGGAAAAGCCAACGTTGCTGCTACTACCTTTGCTCGTGATCTCGCTCGATAATCCTGTCAACAAAGTATTTTTCATCGATGTGCCATATCTAAAACAGATAATTTTTGCATTAATACGTACTCGAACTAGTCGTCATCGTCGTCTCTCTGGGTATGGTCCTCGTACTGCTACTGACCATCGGCGCTGCCGGCATCTCGTAATCGAACATGTTCTTCTTACGCAGATCCGGACTGGATTTCGATCGGCTGCTGCCGAACAGATCCTCCATGAGTAATTTCTTCGACTGGGCGCTGCTCGTTGTGGTTTTCGTCAGATAGTCGTCGTCGTCGTTCACGTCGTCGAATAAAGATTTCATTTTTGTTTCTTGTTTATCGTCGCTTTTCTGACAAAAAATTAATTATCACGATTATTGAAACTTGCAAGCTTAAACTCTTTTCGATTTATGTAATGCTTACCGAAAGTTTCGTAGTTTCCTCAGTTATCTCAGCCTTCCGTTCATATTTCTTTACGTTCTCGTCTTCGCTAGACTCTTTATCCGATAACAACAAATCAGTCAATGGATCGTCGACACTCGAATCTTTGAAAAAAACCTTTTTCTTCGATTTTTCGTTGATATCGTCAGCACTCGGCGTCGTCGATGGCTTATCGTCCCTTTGCGGCTTCTGCTCGAACTCATTCATCACCTCGATTCATCCCCCTACTACTGGCACGTGCACAACAACTACAACGGTAACAAAAACAAACGACATCGTCGCGAACAACGCCGACGACGACAGCTGCGATCCCAACCACCCTCGATTTCCCATATTATATCGCTGCGTAGAAATACTCGTGACTGAAGCAGCAGCACATGTGTTTTGAATCTGAGCGCACAAGTTGGCCGTGCCATCGCCAATGGCAACAGATTATATAGGCAGCCTCGCGCACGGCAATACGCCATACTCAGCAGACGGAGTACATATGCCCGTACACATATAGCACATAGGTGGAGCGTGTGCAGTAGTGTGGACTACATATAATATAAATAATCGAACTTAACCTATCCGTTTTATACAAACACACAGCAGAACAGACGACGACGACGAAGTACGGACGTGTGTCACACCATCAGTCATTCGTTGCATAGTACACGTCTCGTGCGTCCATTGAAATAATTTCGCATTTTTTAATCAATTGCACTCGCGATGACGGACGTCAAGTTTTCGGCCAGGGCTTACGCCAAGGTCCTTCTGCACGCCATCAAGTATCCGCACTGTGCCATCAACGGTCTGCTGCTCGGCAAGTACAGCAACGGCGAGCTGTCCATTGTCGACGCCGTGCCCCTGTTTCACATAAGTCTGCACTTGGCACCCATGGGCGAGCTCGCTCTCAACACGGTAAGAATTTTACTCCTCTACCACTACGTTTTGTTTTGTTTTTTTTATTGTCTGGAACGAACAATGAAGTGACACACGGCGCTTTTTCTGTTATACAAAGGTTGAACAATTGGCCACAGAACTGAATTTGGAGATAGCTGGCTACTATGCAGCCAACGAAAACATCAATGACACTAGGTATGTTTTTTATTGTTGTACTCGGATGATTTTTCATGGATTAGAATACTTACCGTTGATTTTTGTTCCAACAGCATTGACAAACCAGCACACAGAGCTATATCAGAAAAGTTAGCTGAGAACTTTGATCATGCCATCATAGCCATGGTTGACAATAAAGAATTGTCCATTGATATGGACAGATTTGCGCTTAAGGTTTCACAGTATTCAGATGGCAAATGGAAGGTCAAAGACAGAGCTAGGTAAGTTTATTTTCTTTCAAAGTGTACACACTTTTTGGAAAAATTACTAAAAAAAAGAACCTTATTTTAGTATACGATATGAAGGTGATGATACACTTTTGAAAGCTCTCTACAAACTAAACAAAGATGAGAGGTACAGAGATTTATACGACTTTGATAATCATCTGGATGATGTCTCGATGGATTGGAGAAACAGAAAATTGAACAAAATTATTGACGGAGCATTGCAACGACAAGTATAATGGTGTCAAAGTAATTTATGATATTGTTTTAATTGTTCAAATATTTATATATTTATACATTCTTCCAAAGGATAGTTTTTCAAAGACTATTCTTTGAAGCACGGTTGTGTACAATATTCCATTTAAGTAATTATACACATATAGTCATGAAATATATTAGTATACATCAGCACAATGCTTTTATTTAAATAAATATCCACAAAACCATGAAAAATTAAGCTCTAAATATGATTTTATTAGATAGAATCAAAAATGCAGAGATTTAATACACAAATTTATTGTTGTCAAACTAAGGTTAATCTCAAACAAAACATAGCAATCAAATTCAATGTTCTAAGAACGTCATTTTAATTATAACTGCATAGAATTGCTCAGTGGATTTACAATTTCTTTTTTGCAATAACGTCTTTTCAGTCTCAAATCTAATCGTAAAAGTTTTCTCTCTTTTTTTAAATTTGAAAATACGATTGTTCAGTAATAGAAAAATTTTTTTAAGATACGCTGCAATGTCAAATCTAACAGGCTACCTTTCAAGCTGTTTTATTATTCTTATGTAATGGTTGATTAGTTTTTAACGATTCAATCTTCAGCTATGGTTTTTTTAATGAGCGTCTGGAGGTGTAAAATTGATTGACTCGGTATTGTTTTTACAACTTATATGTTTTTTATTATAACACACAATCAATTTCAACATTGACTTTTTTTATTTGTCTCTTTTGTTTATTTACACTTATGGAAAGATCCAGACATGTTTTTTTCAAAAAATTTTGAAGAATGATGTGTTTCGTATTTCGTGTCACAGATATATTTGAGACTGATTCTTATTTCCCAAAATGTTTAAATCTTAGCTCTAGATGTGGTTTTAAGATCATAAGGTTTAAAACGTAAGAAAATTGCGATCCTGGATGATTTTTCTTTTAAGTTGTTCCTCTTCGAGATAGAAAATCACAAATATAGTGTTATGTAAATTGAATTTATGTATAACTTTATATAAAGTTTTAAAAACTTTTATAATAAATTTAAATAAAAGATTGAATTTCAGACTAATAAATGTTTATAAACCTTTATAGCGTTTTAGTTTCATTGCTTACTTGAAGAAACATAAACACTATTAAACAAATTTTTTTTTAAACTTAGTACTAGCTGCGATATCAAAAAATTTTAATTTGCATCGTAGTTTGTTTTGTGCGTCAAATTCAAGCTTGATGACCCACTAAAATTTTCAATATATCCACCGCAGTTGAAAAAGTTTTGAACGATATTATGATGCTTCATATCGATCTAAGAATTTTTTCATAAAGTTAAATTAAATAAAGGAAATATTACTTTGTATTCGAAATTCACCACTTTAACATGATGACTCAAACTAAGATCGATATAGATACTGCTGATGAAACTCTTGTGAAAGGTAAAAAAATTTGGGAAGACGACAGGTATTTATGAGATCTGGCTAGCTAAATCATCAGTAATAACTACTATTCATTTAGATACTGTAACTCTTCAAAGAAAAAGAAAAAGAAAATGGTATTAATGGACTTTTTATTCAAGTTTACTAGAGTTTATAAGGGCTTTTTAAACTTTAAAACTAATGAAATATTAACGAAGAAACTCAATTTTCGTAGTGTATGAACAACAAATTATATTTTTTAAGAGAATACACCAAAGTCTTTTTTACCATTTATTGTACTGCACGGCCTTTATGTATTGTCTTTTGATGACGGAGCAAATTCACTTTTTGTCCAAATTTCTTCTCGCAATCGTCGCAAATAAAATCTTTCTGACCTTCGTGGACTGTTTTTTGGTGCTTAAACAAATCCGATTTACTTCCAAATTTTTTTTCGCATTTATCACATACAAAATCTTTGCGACCTTTGTGTATTGTTCTATAGTGTTTCAACAAATCTGATTTTTGTCCGAATTTCTTTTCACAATCGTCGCATGCGAAATCTTTGTTATTCTTGTGGACTGTATTTTGGTGTCTGAGCAAATTACTTTTCTTTCCGAATTTTTTTTCGCACTTATCACATGCGAAATCTTTGCAACCCTCGTGGACAATCTTTTGGTGTAAAAGCAAATTAGATTTTTGATCAAATTTTGTCTCGCATTTATCACATGCATAATCGTAACGACATTCGTGTACTCTCCGATGGTGCCTCAACATATCTGATTTACCTCCGAATTTCTTCTCGCACTTGTTGCATGAAAAATCTTTGCGACCCTCGTGGACTGCCCTGTGGTGCTTCAACAAATCTGATTTTAATCCAAATTTTTTCTCGCACTTGTTGCATGAAAAGTCTTTACGATTTTCATGAAATATTTTTCGGTGTCTGATCAAATTGGTTCGAAAACTAAATTTCTTCTCGCACTTGTCGCATGCGTGATCTTTGCGATCCTCGTGGACTGTTTTTTTGGGCTCCAGCAAATGATGTTTGTGTCCAAATTTTTCCTCGGATTGATCCCATGTAAAATCTTTGCGACCTTCGTGGACTGTTTTTTGATGTTTGAAAAAACTCAATTTATAAACAAATATCTTTTCACAATTGTCACATGCGTAATCCTTGGAGTGTTTGTGAAATATATTTTGGAGACTCAAAGAATCCAATTTCTGTACCAGTTTACGCTCACGCTTATCTTTGTGACATTTGTGGAGTGTCCTTTGATGCTTCAACAAATCGGATTTATTTCCACATTTTTTCTCACACTTTTCACACAAGTAATCTCTAAAAACTTTGTGTAATATTTTTTTGTGGCTTATTGAATTTGGCTGTTTTTCAAACTTTCTCTCGCGTTTATCGTGTGTGTAATCTTTACGACGTTCGTGTTCTATCTTTTGGTGGAATAACAAATGAGATTTTTTTTTAAATTTCCCTCCACACTTGTCACATAAGTAATCTTTGCGATCGTTGTGTACTCTTTTTATGTGCAAGACCAAACTCTGTTTATTTCCAAATTTTTTAGCGCACTTTTCACACAAGTAATCTTTAAAAACTTCGTGGAATATTTTTTTGTGCTTGAATAAAGTCGATTTATTTTCAAATTTCTTTTCACACTTGTTGCATGCATAACCATCTTTGTGTAAAAATTTTTGATGCGTGAACAAAGTCGATTTTTTCACAAATTTCTTGTTGCATTGGTCGCATGCAAAATCCTTGTGAACATTGTGTTCTGATATTTGATGTCTACTCAAATGACTTCGAAACTCAAATTTTTTTTCACACTTGCCACATGCGTAATTTTTTTGTTCAATGTGAATCGTATCTCGATGTGTTATTAAGCTCGATGAAAGAATAATGACGTGTTCACTCAAACGATCATTTGAGACAACTCCTTCGGGTTTCCTCTCACTTTTATCCATTTTGCTGCTTAAATTGAACGATGGATTCTTCTATTTAGTGTCACGAAAATTGAACGACTAAAATTTATCTTTCAAGTATTTTGGCTTGTTTCATCGGTAGAGACAACATTCAAACTAATTTGTTTTTATCATATACATGATCACTGTATTCGAGGGACGATGCGAAAATCATTTATGATTATGTTATTTGTAATTAAGTTCATATACTGTAAAACTTCGGTAATTCAAAATTCTCGATAATTCGAATTCAACCTCTGTTTTTAGCGTTTTCGATGTGAATTTGATGTTAATTTACCTCGATAATTCGAACAACATCATTATTCGAAATTTAGATAATTTGAAATGAAATTTGGCATTTAGAGTCTAGATATCATATAAATTTACTTCGATAATTCGAAATGATAGACTGAAAAATTATTTACATTACACATCAATGTATCGCAAGTAAGTATTGTGAATAAGTTTCTTTCCTGTTTCGGGAAGGTTGGCTTCCCAATTTTTTTTGAACCGGTTATACAGATAGTTGAAGAAATTGATAGATATTAGGATTGGGAAGAATATGTTTCTGTTGATCATGTATCAGCACTTGGAGAAAGAATTGAGCAAGAAATAGTTGCTGATATGTAAAATTAAAAACAAAAATTAAATGAGGGATCATTTGATGATGATGACGAAGGAGGAAAAGAAAGTACCAGTAAAATAATTCCTATATATTCAATGGAGCAATTGAAAAGTTTGAAGGAGAGAGAAATTTATGTTTTGTAGGGCTTTTGGATTTGTTATTATTATACAGGAGAGATAAAGCGCCTGTATAAAGACGGTGCAAAAATCAATTGTTCATTACATAATTTTATTTTCAATTAATGAGACTGATAGAAATAAAAGCTATTTTGAATCTACACATTTGAAGAAGTATTACTAAGTAAAATACTTAAGTATTAGTATTTTGTCAAAAATAGTTATTACTTATTACTTATATACTTTATTCAATTCTATTTCATTTTTGCTCAATATTTCAGCTAAATAAATGAACTGCAAATAATAACGGTTCATATAAATTTTTTACTATTTCAAATTAATCATATAAAAATATGAAATATTCAAAACATTTTTGATTAAAATTGACATTAATTAAAAAAAACTGAATTACCGTGGATATAAACAACATGGCGTAAAAAACAAATGATACCAGCGATCCATATTTCTTTATACCAGTCCGGAAAGGCCATGTATGTGCTGATGTCTCTAAAAAAGGCACCAGCAAGGGATAAATTTGACCGAATCGTTTTTCAAGATCTAATTTATCTAAGTAAAAAATTATGTAAAAAAAGCAGAGTCTCCAAGACTATAAGAATGGTATAAAGTTCATGAATATTACAATAAAACTTGTATACTTATGAAAAATTATTTTTCGTTTTGTTCTTGAATTGTCTCTCCAACAGTAGACCTACTCCTGAGAAATGTACAATTCTAAATGGTAAGGTATAGTGTTCAATTAAAATACAAGTTGACACGATCTTTTGAGATGTTAAACTTTGAGAAAAAAGTTTCGACAAAATATTTTAATAGCCAGCTTTGACTTAAAATTTTACAATATTTCCGAACCCAGTATAGTCAAAATATTTGATGATAAAAAGTCGTGAATTATTGAACGAAAGAAAAAACACAGGTTTCATAAAAAAAAATATTTGTTTTAAAGAATGAGTTTTGAAATTTGCGAATAAAAAGAAATAGTATATTACTGCCCTAGGTCGTAAAAAACAGAAAAGTCCCAGAGTACGTGTAATTAGTGGCCGAGCCTTACAGCGCTTGGGCGACAAACTGAGACTCGTGCGAAAATCACCCACTTCGCGCACGAGTGACGTACTATTTTGTTATGTTAGGTTTTTCATGATTTATTCGGATGAAAGGATTAGTTATTCCTTATACTAGCATTAATATACGAAAAAAATAAGAACGTGTAAGCGTTGCCTATGAATCGCACTAGCTTGGAGTAGCACCAGTAGCTGTTCCGTCTTACTTCAATGCGGCAATTTCAGGCAATCACACATGTTCAGGGTTTTATTTTATAGGATAAAAAATTCAGAAACTCAACACACAGATTTATTGTTGTCAAAAACAATTATTTTTATTTTATTATTCATCTTTGGATAGTCATTACATGTTTCTCCTGTACTTTTTTCAGAATAACATTTCGGCAAATGCGGACAATAACTTTATGCGTTGTACATTATGAAACTGTCTATTTTCAAAATTTAAAGGAAAACTCATAAGAAATCAAAATCACTATGCGAGGACGAGCAAAATATGAAATGTCGATGTCACTGAAACACGCGGTGTAAAAACGGACAAATGTTGATATTTATGTAGTCCTATTATTTGTATTATTATTTTTGTAGTGGTTTAGCGTTTTTCAAATTTTTCTCACTTGTAAAAACTATATGGTTTTTATTATTTTCGTGTGCATGGGTGATAACATTTTTTTTCAATATTCATTTCAGGTACGAAACTGCGCGAATATAGTTGTAATGTGTGTAAACACATACATCGTCAACTCATCTTTCTATGTATGAGTGTAAGTCATTCCTTTGTCGTCACATCAGTACGTGTATTGCTCTATAATTTTTTGATGGTTTCCCTAAACAAAATTGGTTGTCGAACCAGAGCATAATTGTCGAATCTATCGTTCTCTGAACATCATTTTTTATCATACATATTATTGCTTATTAAATTTACAATTTTTTTTTGCAATAACGTCCCTTCAGTCTCGAGTCAACCCTTCGATTCTTTTCTCTATGTTCTCTTGTATCGACAATTTGAAACTACGATCGTTAAGTAATAGAAAATTTTTTTTTAGATATGCTGTGATGTTAAATCTAACGGGCTACCTTTCGAGCTGCTTTATTACTCTTACAGCTGTAATAGTTGATTAATTTTTAACGATTTAATCTTTTCAGCTATGGTTTTTTGTTTTTTTATCGCATCGATGCGTGGGCGTCTGCGCGTGTAAAATGGATTGACTCGGTATTATTTTCTACGACTATATGTTTTTTTCTTTTTATCGCACAGTAAATTTTAACATTGACTCTTATTCGTCTCTTTTGTTTATTTATATAATTGCTGAAAGATCCAGGCATGTTAATCGTTTAAAGCTTTTGATACACGCGTATAACGCGAGGTCAGTGGATTTCGCGGATATTTATACTACTTTTGGTTGCTTCGTTTCAATTTTTTTTTTTTTTTTTCAATAAACCAATCCGAAGAACGCGGAAGCTAATGATGTGTTTCGTGTTCGCATCACAGATATACATATTCTTTTTTTTCTTTTTTTTATTTTTCTTTCGTATCATTATTATAATCATTTTTCAGACGTATCAAAAATACTGCGGCTTGCGTAGTAAATCAGTATATCATATATATCATTATATATCATAATCTAGTGAATAATAAAACTCGTTATCGCACACAGTGTAACGCGGAATAGATTGACCAATAATTTTTTTCTTCTTTTTTCTTCTTTTTTTTCCTTTTTTTTCTTTGGCATGTTGTATCTACATAACACGGTGCATTATCGTGACTAAAAACGGTACGCGGGTGTGTACGTATAATAAGAAGACCTGCTCGTTCGTTTTTGTCTAAAAAATAAAAATAACTCTCACTCTCTCTCCCTCTTCGGAACGCTCTCGCACATAACAGTCTAAAGATTTGGTCCAAAACTTCTTCGTATTTTTTTTCTTTGTCTTCGAATCTACGCGTAACGCACGTGTTATATATTTTATACAACGCAACCCGATAAAATATAGAGAAATTATTGTTCTTGCTCGACTCAATTGCCATTCGATCGATGATATGGATAACAATTCATACTTATTTTGTTATTTTTTAATAAGGAAATACATCGAAGTCTTATTATTTTACAATTCGTCGTATAATAGTTCTTAACGGTATGCTTTTGCGAGGTATTTTCTACAAAGCATTAATTTACCCTTTATGTATATGAGTCGTGTATTAGGATACATGAATCGTGTGCTTTATAACTTCGTTTTCCTCGACTTATTCACTACTGCCCAGCTAAATAATGTAAACGTTTATTAAAATGTGTGCAACACAGTGTTATTTTCCTGATCGTAGCACGATTATTATATAATACACAAGTCGGTACGTATATTTTGTTTATTATCATGGCGACATTTGCGAATTTACACACCTTCGTTTTGGCTAGTATTTTCTACATTATATACATCGTCTCTTTCTCCGCAATGTACAAACTTAACATTATTATATACGTTCCACATGCTGTGTGATTAAAAAAAGCAACATCGTGTCGTAGTTACAAGCTACGTTGTGAAAAAAGCGTATTAGACGAATGAAGCGTCGTATATAATAAAAAACGCCAGTGCGCTGTATACAAGGAGCGTGTAGCGCTCCTGCTCGATTTAGAAATGCGTATACATGGACTCGTTATTTGACAATATGTATGCAGGATGAACCTTTCTTGTCGCTAATAATCATAACAATCGATAAAAATTATACACGGTTCAACAATGGTAAACATATATCATTATATATCCTTGTATATATTTATCGGTATATAGATGCTGTGTAACAATTATATCTGTAATAACAATGGACGGTCATTACAACCAAAAAACCCGTTCTCTCTATACACTCGCAACAATTATGTTATTTATGCATAATAAGCGATAAGGTGCTATCTTTTAAATTTTTTTGCTTAAATTTTCCTACGACTTACGCGAATGTAATTATTGTGCGCCGCTATACGAATACGATTTTATGTTAATTATAACGTCTACATCATCGCACGTACAAAAATTTATCATACATAAAGTTGCTGCTCACTGCACTTATCGAAGACGCCCGGCGTCTCGCGCACCAGTCAGTCAGCGACTTTTCGGATTATCGACGCAGCTGCTCTAAAAAAGATCGTTCGATCGGTAGCTCGCCGCTGTAAATCGTACTCAAGAGCGACTGCCGTTGTTGCCGTAATTGTAACGTCCCTGGGCAGTGCCGAGACTGCAGGCGCTGCTGGAACTCCCGTAGACTTGCTGCTGCTGTTGACTTTGTTGATACTGATGCTGATGCATCGTCGTGTCGTTGACGCTACTACCAGCGCCACCAGCACCGCAATAGCATCCACCGTCCCGGCAAATGTGCTGATACGAGCGCGAACGTCCGTAGCCGTAATGATCGTTATAAGGTGCCTGCATCGACGTCGTGCCCGCGACACCGTAATTAACTTGGCTCGGTCCGTAGCCGCCACCCCCGTACAAGGCGGCAGTCGCAGTCGTCGCACCACCGTACGCGTTAACGGCACCACCCGCGGCATTGTACATCGAAGAATTGTTACTTCCACCACCTCCGCCGGGGGGAAAGACAGGCCTGTGCTACGTCATCGGCGTGGAGGCCTCGCTCTTGACGAGTCCGCTCTGGGGCAGCACCGCCGGACTCGGCCTGCCCGAAAGTCGACGCGGATAGTGCTGGGGCGAGGCCGGGGGCGTCGTGCGCGGAGTCGCCGGGGCAGAACCACCACCCGACACGGCGTACCTCCAGGGCGACGTGGCCGTCGAGCTGATGGGCGCCGATCGGCCGATCGCCGACAGGCTCGAGGTGCTTCCGCCGCCGCTCGTCGAGCTGCAGGCCACGGCTCCGGACAGGTCGACGCGCGATGTCATTCTGTACACATACACACAAGCATACGCGTATGAATTGGGCACTTGAAAGAATGAAAGAGGAGAGTGCGCAGTGGTAGAAATGCTCGACATTTTGAGGCTAGCTGTCGAGGAATAAACTAACTGACCAAATGGTATATTTTAAAATTCAGCTTTGATTTATACCGTTATTTTTTCTTCGTCACTTGCAGATTTACGCATAAATGTACTAGCCATCTAGTTATAGAGGCTTAAAATTTAATTAACTTATTTATAGTGGTTGCAAATTGTTTCAAAATTTCAAAACGGTTTAAACTGGTTTTTTTACGTTTGACTTGTACAATTATCTTCGCTTTACCACTTGCAGATTTACTTAAATAAAGGTACTCGCCATCTAGTGGTGTGATCTTAAAGTGTTATCATTATTTCAATTGGTTGAAACGAGTTTGAATCTTGTGAAACAATTAAATTACATTGAATTTGTTCCAGAAACATTGTCATTACTGATATTTCTTATAGACGTGAATGTGATTTCAAAGTTTGCATTTCAAAATCTAGCTTTGACTTATCCGACTTATATTATAATTTTGACTTTGTTACTTGCAGATTTACAGATATATAGGTACTCGCAATCTAGTGGCGAAGGCTTGAAGTATCGTACTTACAGCGGTTGAAACTATAGTCTACATTTATTGAAACAGTTTAATTGCCATTTTTAGGTAATTTAAAATGCGCTCAATATTTTGAACACAAATGTAACCTATAAGAATAGCAAAAAAAACTGTAGCCAATCGGTCAATTATTTATTTCGAATCATTTTAAAGGGTCATTTTTTGACCATCGCGGGCCATTTTCGAGCATTTCTACCAGGATTAAACGAACTCCGAAATTACCTCGATGGCGGCGCCGACGATCCCGTATAATAATGTAAACCCGCAGGGCCGTTTCTGGGCCTGATGCAGGCCGACATGCTGCTGGCCGATCTCGGCATTGCCGGCGAGGGCGGCGCCGAGGGCAGCAGCCTCGGCGTCTGGGGCGGCGTCCTGCCGCCGCTGCCGCAACTGCTCTGACTCGACGTCGACGATTTTCTGCGCAGGTTTCTAATTGCAGGCCACAAGCAATTGCATTTTTCGATCGTTTTTTTTTTTTTTTTTGATTTTTGATTCTTAGTTATTCATTTGCTAATTTTCGTTTTATGCATTTTTGAATTTTTTTGTTTTAGCTACAAGGTAGAGAGAAAGAGAGAAACGAAAAATTCATCACAATGTTGCTTGGTCTGCTTGAGAGATCTATTTTATATTTGTTTACATCGAGGGTGCACCATTAGAAAGTTAATAGTGTTAGTTATATATCATACTTAAAGCTTTCAATATTATGTATTTGCTCAAACTGCACTCGACATCGTGATACACACATCAAGCCATGTAATTATAAATTGTCCAAAGTTTCGTTCACGTAAACTTTTTGCGATCAATTTTTCGTTTCAAAGTAATATGCGTGCTCTCTTCAACTACAACGGTGCGAAATAAGAAGTATGAAAGAAAGAAAGCGTATGTGAATGAAAATCGATGCATCCATACCTCTTCGAAGCTTGCCGACACATTCCCGTGGGACAAGGTCGGCCCATGGCGCACTTGCCCTCGCAGATCTCCCTCGACATGGCCAGTCCCTCGTAATTGATCAGGGTCAGCCTGCAGGCCTCGGCGTCCTGCGCCGCCAGCGCCAGACTCGGGAATCGTTCGCGCAGACGTCTCCTCTCGTCCGGCAGCCGGGTCGACTCGAAGTCCTCGAGCTGCTGCTGAAAGCCCACGTTGGGATTGGCCACCGATCGGCCGACTCGTACGACCTTCAGGGCGTCCTTCCACGTCAGATCGGTTATGCTCATTATGTAGGCCACGGCGACGGTGACGCTTCGCGACATTCCCGCGAGACTGAAGTCAAGATAGAGCGACGGGATTAATTTTTGATTCGAATTTCTTATTTTTGGGATGAACTTACCAATGTATGAGGACGTTTCCGCCCCTCAAGCGAGCCGAGTGTATGAAATCGTTGCAAATCGAAAAGTACTGCGAGAGATTCTGATCGGGCGTGTCCGCTGCCATGATGCACAGATAGTGCTTGTCCTGCGCGGCGAAATAAAAAAATCATAAACATCACAGCGAACGTCAATATTAGAAAGAAAAAGCAGCGTCGACTCACGGAATGGAGACGCCTGGCTGCATCGTGAATCGCCAATATGTGCGTTATCTCGAAGCGCTCGAGCTGTGCCGCGTCCTTGCTGTCTCTGTAGTTGCCCACGTAAAGACCAGGCAACACCTGCAACAAAAACAGCACACGTGCCATACCTTCTCGTTAATGACTCTTTGTGCCTTTTTTTTTACGCCGTAAAAAATATCGCACGCGCTTGCGATGGCCTTTTCATTATGTATACGTATTGGTATCGCAGTAGGCCTGTAGGTCCGCAGTAAAAAGAGCCGAGCAAAAATCGAAAAATCGATTTTAGAGCGCGCATATTATGCGTTCTTATGCTTCGACGAGCAGCAGCAGCGCGACGCTCTCATTTCTATACAGACTACTTGACATAATACGAGCGCTTTTGCATTATAAACACTCCAGGCCTCCGCGCGATACGTACGTGAGCTATGCACAATCGACGTACGACCACATCCATTGTGTGGCAGCGGCAAGATGAATTTCCAAAAGGGTCGTTCGTTGCAGCAGCGATTTGCCGCGGACTCGATTGGTAGTAGGGAAAATCTACTGCTGCAGTCGTTGGGCAGCTGTACTACTATTACTGCTCTGCGCGACTTTTCATTCAATTGCACTCGAAATTTGCATTGTTTACCTCGTCGTCTATCGGGGGTGGACTCGCGGCCAAATCGAGCAACCAAACGAGCGAAAGAAAAAAAAAAAAAAATAGAAAATCAATTCCCATCGAGCTGCTGCTGCTCCTTCGTACATGAATTTTATTAATCCGAAATTTCGCGCGCGATCGAGAGTACGCGATATATTATTTTTTTGTTTTGGCTCCCTGATGTCCTCCTCCAATCCACGTGCGCTACATGCCGTATGTCTATTGTTGTGCATTATACACGAGACCGCTGCTGTATGCACGTACGTACATAATATGCACGGAGCTTCGTGGCTCGCGTCCAAAATTTTGTGTACTCCCGAAAGTACGACAGCACACGATTCATCCGATTGCGCGACTCGGATTTATATGAATTTCTCGGCGACGCGTAAATGTTTTTTCGGTCTATAATAGCGGCTGGAGACAGATCAATCGCGTACGCATGAGGTGAGCTCGCGACTGCGAAGGGTTATAATTTGCCTCGCTCTCGAATCTCGCGCGAATTAAATACAACGAGATTTTGGTCATGAGTCATCATTGGAATTTTAGCGACTGATGATATTTAATATTTTCTATTATGTCAGAGGAAATTCGTACAAGAAATGTTTTATTTTTATACTCGCAATGAATTAATTGTGAGTCAACAAATACAGAAAAACCTACAAAAATCAAACCTTGCTTCAACTTATACATTTATTTTGACTTTACCACTTACAGATTCAAAGATATGTAGGTACTCGCCATCTAGGGGTGGATGCTGGCTTTAACCACGATTGACTTTCATGCATTTTTCGACTAATTTCATTCACAATGTTTAAATTTGAGTACAAAATCAAATATTTCATTTGTCATTTTTGCATCGAAAATAGTTTACACTTTTCAAATAGTTTATGTAAATTAGTAATGAATATTTCATGAAATAAAATTCAGTTTCAATCCCTTTAGTTTCACATGAAATCTGCATCACGTTTAAAGTTATTTTTTAACAGTGTAACTGATGAATTAAAGCAACAAGTGTCGTCAACGTCAACTTATTCCGCATAAATCGTTCGTGTATCACTATTTTTTTCCTATCGAATCGCAAAGACATAATTCAGAGCAATGCGGCATCGAACAAGCGAAAGATCTTTTCCGTTTATAATATACGCTCCAATTATAAATAAACGCTAAAAGCTCGAGGATGTCTTCCCGTTTTCACTTCGCGCTCTTGTTTTACATACAAAATGCAGCAAAAGGCGACGACGTAACTTCTCGAGAGAAGGTATATATACTCGGGGAGATTATTATAATTATGCGAGATATATACTCCGATGCACTGAAATTACGCGCGACTGAATCTTACAGCAGTATAGCCACTCGGTACCTATACTATATATCATCATCATCATCATCGTGCGCGCCTCTCTGCACATTCTTCGAGATCTCTCTCTCTCTCTCTCTCTCTCTCTCTCTCTCTCTCTCTTTCTCTCTCTCTCTCTGTCTCGAGTTCGTCGAGCTTCAGAGGGCAGAGGCGGAGCCCCGAGAAATTCTGCCGAATAACCCCCGCGCGCAGCAGACAAAAGATTTGCAATGTGTATGGAGAGAAAGATCGATCGTACCGTGCGCCCAAGTATTTATATTACGAGATCTACTCGAAAAGTATTTCGAGTATTTCCCAGACCGCGAATGGTACAATTACATTAGTACGATTCATTACTCGTTCTTTTGCCTTTCTCTCGCTCGATCGAGCTTGGGGCTTCATCCAGTTTCTACATAAATATATAGCGAAATCTGCAGCCTTAAAATATACAATGGTTGGAATTGTGTGACATTGATGTAGAGCAGCGATACGCGCCGCCGAACTGCCAGTTGGGGAAACTTCAATTTACATCGATTATTGGTCGCGAAGTAATACTTTGGAGAGCTTAAATGATGATCGATCGAAAACAATAAGCGCAAATGGACTCCCGTAAGAGCTTTCGAAATCTATAATAATATTCTAAGCCTACTTTGCGAACGAGGCTCAAAAATTTACTTACGTCTGGACTTATGTGAGTAAACTACGTAATGGGAAGACTGATAAAAGCATCGATACATTCGAGACGCTTACGAGTTCGGGATAATTTATATGAAGATGCTGTTACGGCTTCGTAGTCTTGAGTTTCTTGTTCGGTAGAGCTTAACGTTACATTAACGCATGGATATTCTATAGTCGAGGCGATATTTTCGCAAACGTGGGAAAAATAGAGTAATGGATAATTTTTGCGTCATTCCCTCCGCAAGGACACCCGGAATGTGGAGACCAATCTTGCTTTTGGGTTACCCCGCACCAATTTGTTTAAATCGATTTTTTTAAACAAATAAAGAAATTTTAAAAATTTTTACCTGAAACCTATTTTAGGTAATTTTGACTAAAATGTATACTTTTCGAGTTATAAGCGATTCCAAGTCAAAAAATGTCTAATTTTGCCATTTTCAATCGCTTATTACAACATGAAAAAATAATGTTTTCGATTTTACCAGTGTTCTTTATTAATCTTCAAACATCCCTCTATCAAGTCGCGTAGTTTTTTTTCGGGATTTTTAATGATAAATCAATCTCATCACGCATTTAATATCGCGCGATTTCAAGTGCAACGCAATTCAGCAAGACAAATCAGTAATGTGAAGAAGTGCTTGTTTATACTGGCTTATATAGCCGATTTCAATTCTTTGGCCGCTTGCGGGAACAGTTCCTGACAACGCGACATTTAGTGGCAGGTCGATACACCCTTAGAAAAATAATCTTTCTACCGAATCAACGAGAAGTAAGTATCTTTTGATTGTAGAATTTACAAAGTATATATTTTTACGATTGAAGAATCATCAAATTACGTTAAAATGGAAGTTGAAGAGGAGATTCTTTCTAAAATAGAAACAAAGCAAGAATATTATAAAGCACTCGGAAGTTCCTCAGAATCCCGAAATACGAGCGCGAATTCAGGTCAGTTCAAAATTTAATTAAAATATATTTTATTTTAAATTATTATCATTTGATTAAATGCCTGAGATCGCGAGTTTCTACGTTTTGACTTGTAAAACGTGTATTTAATTTATGCATTCGTGTCTGCATCGTGATTCATTTACTCGCTGCTGTATGAAAGCAAAAAAATGCATACAGGTATTTTTTCGAAATTCAATCTAGTACTTGCATAAAAATATGCTAAAAATATTCTACAACAATCATTTCAAAAACTCGCCGTCGGACCTGTCGCACAGTTTTCTCATTAAAAAAAATTATAAAATAGAAAAAAAATTCGATGGCCAGACAAGAGAGAAAGAGAGCGAAACTAGGTAGCTTTTGGGGATCGATTTAATCATAAACGAGAACTCGAGAGCAGTAGCTAATTTAAGCTCGACCTTCCCTCCGATAAGTCGTGTCGTGGGTAATGTGTGTGTCTCTCTCTCTCTCTCGCGAACGTGCCCCCCTCATCGCTTAGCACAGTGAAATTCGATCAAGCCGTCTCTCGCTTGTCATTTTTCTCTCTGTGCAAAATTGCAGCGAGAGAATCGGAATTCAAGGTGATTGGCCCTGTGTAAAAGCTCCGATCGAAAATTGCACCCTCCCCTCGGCATGTGGTATAAGCTATATATATGCTGGCTCGCGTCGCAATTGGATCGAAAACTACCCGAATTTTCGGATATATATTTGTAAATATTTTCTGGCTATCGAAATTCTGGTCGGTTTGCACAATCGAAAATAGCTCGCTATGGCTCCCTTACCTTATTCATGCCATTTCCCATATTGTCGAGGCGAAATGCACCTGCTGGCTGGCTGGCTGGCTGGTCTGCTCTTATCTTCTCTCTTTTTTTATCGGACCCGTGAACTCACGCAGTTAACCGTACACGTTTCTCTCCCAACGAGCAGTTAGTAACAAGAAGTTGTAGAAGAAGAAGAACAGGAAGAGGAAGAAAAAAGGTGCTGGTGGTGAACACTACTCGTCCCGATCAGCAGCAGCGGTAGTAGCAACAGCAACAACGGCAGCTTTTACGAACGATCGCGTGAAGCTCATTCGCGCCTCTCGTCTGACGAAGTCTAGGCCTGCTGCATCTACCACAACTTATACTGCCACCGCTATTACTGCTGCTACTACTACCACTGCTGGTGTTGTTGTTGTTTTGCCTCGACTTCTCGCCGTAGTTGCGCTTTTTGCTCTTGGCCGTCGTCATAATTTCTTCGGTCTCCTTTTTTGCTTCTATTTTTTTTACACCTGTCGTTCCAGATTAGTGCTTGGCTCGGCTCCTCATATCCATACACGTTTATGCATCGTACACAAAGCTCGGCTCAGTTAGCGACGAAGACGATCTGCAAAATAAGGACGAAATTAATTACGCATGTACATTTTCGCGTGAGTAGCGAGATGTGCGCATAATTTTTCGGAGAGCCGATGCAGCATCTCCCCTCATATATAGACGTTCGATAGATATATTTTATGCAGTGTTAGAGACGGCTCTCGAGGATGATAATGGGTTACGAAATTAGAGACATCGAGCCTCGGATGTATATAGTTAGATCGAGAGCTATAACCGAGGCAAATTCGGCTGTTCGTCGCGTCCCTCGAGGATTTAGTAGATACCCACGTACGAGCACACGTACGATCGTAATAGGAATAATCGTCGGCTTTGAGTTTCAGCTGCTCCTGCTACTGCGCTTGAAATGTCGTGCCGCGCGGGGAGCTTTTTTTTTGCATTTTTAAATTTCTAAAGCCAGGCTAATCAAATTCACACACTACTTGATACGTGTTGGAAAATGAAAAAAAAAAAAAAAACAAAAGCAAAAAAAACAAAAAAACTTGTTTAGAGCTTTTAAAGGTCTCTGCGACGAATGAATTCGTAATTCTCGCAGGCAAAACACGATTTCACTATATACCCATCGATCCGCGCATCGGCTGCAATTCTAAATAATGCAAACTTTCGGGGGGCGAGAAAAAAAGATTGAAAAAGAGGCGCGTGAATAATTTTTTAAACGATTCGAGAATGCCGAGGGAGGAGGGGAGGATAAGTATATGCGAGATGCATATAACATATCGGTTGAAGCACGCGGCATACATAAAGGGCGTGGCGGTCGCTGCTGTTACAGTATGCTGCATAGCTGCATCATTTTGGATTTACGGGTTAAAACCTGTTACTACGTAAAGAGAGAGAAAAAAAACAATGAATAAATAAAAAATGCCGCTCTGAAAACCGGGGACAAAGGCACGTTTTTCCCATTAATAGTTGAAACTCTCCGAGGGGTGCGGTGCATTATAAAACATTCGAAAAACATTTAAACGATTAAATTCTCGTAAAGAGCCTCATCGCTATATGCGATATAATATATTCCCGCTGTACTACTTACTTTCAGGTCGTTAGTTCGATCGTGAAGTCGAAGAAGAATAAGAAGAAGAAAATTCCTTACGTCGGATAATTGAGAGAGAGAAAAAGATGTTAAAGTGAATTTGAATATAATAACGCCGAGGAGAGCAAGAGCTTTTTTGGTTGGCATATATCTAAAAGGGAGGAGGCTTAAGCGTACAGCAGGCAGCAAAAATTGAGACGATCCGGAGTCACGCTAGCGCGAGATTGATTTACGAAACCAGCCGAGAGGGTACGATGATGGAATAGCTTTTTTGGATATATATGGTAAAAAAAAGAGATGGTAAAAATTGCAAGAACTGCGGAACTCGTTTTTCATTTTTGACCAACGTAGCGTTACACTCTTACACACAACACGCGGTGATTCATCATTTTCGAAAAAGCTCGTGGTTGAAAAAAAAAAAAAAAAAATAGAAAAAACATTTTTCAATACACCAACTTTTGCGGTTAAAGCACAAATTCGTGTGCATCATTCTACACGCGCAACGCAACGCACGGCGTACTGCGAAAATTCTTATGTGCTCGTAAATTGACCGGCATTACTTTCTCGAAATCGATTGCGTGCATACATGAGCAAGAGTAGCGAACTTAGTACTAATGCCACAAAAACATATACTGCAGAAATTATAATATCAGCTCAGGCGAGCACGAATATATTTCTATCGCAACACACATATTTCTCTCGTAAAAGAGCCACGCTGTGCTGCACGCGCGCGTATAGCGTAGTTAGTAGTTTTAACGAAGCTAGCGGCGCAAAAAATCGATCATCCGCGAACGTAGCTGCCAATTGTTAAAAGTGACACTTTGCAGCAGGCAACAACCAGCCAACCACCCCCGCGCAAAACTCGTTTTTTTTTTTCGTTTGTACCAGTATGAGTGTGTGCGGGTGAAGCTTGCAGTCGTTTTTTTTTTCTCTCTCTGTGCTTTTTACGTTTCGCGTTTTGCCGCGCTCGAAGGGTGGGCTGCGGAAATTTTCAAGGAAACGCGCGTGCATAGAGCACAGGTATATACGCGAGAACCAATGACTTTCACTGCTCTCTGGCGCAACCGTATACCACAACTTGGGGCAATAATATATCTATATATCCACGCATCGTGTGCCGTGATGTATAGAGAAAAGAGGAAAGAGGGAGAGAGAATGAGAATGAGAGAGACGAGAGAGAGACCTACATAATTTGCACGCGAATATATAGGTGAAAGCAAAAAAAAAAAAAGAAGATAATAATGACGATAATAATAATGCGACGTGTAACGAGAAATGTAAAGAGACAATGACACTGGGCTTAGGGATTGTCAAGTGTATATGCTTATACGCGACACACGCTGAATAGGTGCCTGTAATGCTGCTACTGCTATATAAAAAACGCGAATGAATGAGTGAGAACAGCAGGAAAAAATTTGTAAATGTGCCAAAATGACGGGTATAAAGTACTTTGCTACTCCAAAACGAGTATTATAAGTAGTAGTAGTAGTAATAGTAGTGCTAGCTGTGCTAATCGACTCGATGTCAAAACTAAAAATCGACGTACACAGAGTCCGACTATATACGATCGTCGTTATATATTTTTATTTATTGTTTACTCACTCGATTTATAAGTCGAATTGCCCAACGTAGTATACGGCACAGCCATCGTCACGTTAGCGAGAGCTATCGCTCGAAGATGGTCTTGCTGCTGCCGCTGCGGTATGTCACGCGCGCGCGGTGTGTCTTTTCTGTGACATGCAGAGAGAGAGAGAGACTCTACTGCTGCTGGTAGTACTACTGTATATATATGCCTCGCGGATCGACACACTTTGACGACGACGACGATGCGATGATGCAGTGCTCCCCGTGTGCGACACGGCCGAACTCCAGACGACGAAAACAGCCGAGCAGCAGCAGCAGTAACAACAAACAGAAGCACACTTCTCTATACGATGCAGCCCACCAACACATACACCGTGGACTGCTGCAGTTGAGCGGCCGACGGCGGCGCAGTTAAAACGCGCGTGGCTGCGTGGCTGCGTGCAGATAGCTGCGTGCAAGACAGACAGAGAGAGAGAGAATGGCGAAAATTCGAAATGACTGACTGACGACGGAACTCACTGCACACACACACACACTCGCACACTGCGACGGGGGGGTTGAAACACTGCACCGTGTGCTTTAACGAAGAGCGTAAGAGGGAGAGACGGAGATAGAGCTTGCGGCAGCGGCCAAGTAGTATAGCAGTAGCAGCAGCAGCAGCAGCAGCAGCAGCAGTTGAGCAGTGTATAGTAATACAGAGGGACGCGACGAGGGAGGGACGCGGACACACTGCTGCTCTACTATAACTCGCCAGCAGTTCCTCGCGCGCGCAGCACTCGTGGCCAGCAGCAGTAGTAGTATAATATGTATAGTAGATAGGTAGGTAGGTAGTAGGCTAGCCTGAGAGAGACTGGATAGGGCGTGCTGCAGCAGCAGCAGCAGCAGAGAGGCTTAAGACTGCAGCAGGACCAACGCGATATAAGTATGATAATAATACTATAGCAGTAGCAGTGGCTCGTGTTTTTTGTTGACGCGCTAAACTATAGTATAACTCGAGCAGTAGAGCAGCGGTAGGGAGCGAGGAAAAAAACAGGAGATATAGCTATAAGGGAGAGAGAGCTTGCGAAAGCTCCGTCTCTGTCCCGCAGCTTATAGCCCCGAACTGTGCTTTACTGTATACATAGCCGCGCGCTAGAGAATGCATACACCTTTTTTACCTAGCGCCACTATAACTCTCGCTGCATACTCACACATGCACACTTGTAAGCTAAAGCATCGTTTTATATATGTATGTGTGTTGGGAGCGCGCAGCTGGCCGTGCACCATCATTCTACGTAACGTATATAACGTGACTCGCAGAGACTCTGCGGCACGCTATACACAGAGAGCAGCTCGAGGGCAGCGTCGCGCAAGTCGGTACAACAGTATAGCCAGCAGCAGCATGGGTTATACGAGCGGCGCTTGCGCTCGCTCGTTCTCTCGAGAAGCCAGCCAGCAGGGGGTTGTGCACAGACTACAGTAACTCACGTATTTTTGATGATATATAGATGTATATAGTTTGGCACGACCACTGCTTTATAGTACGTCGGAAGCTTGAGCGGAGGCGCAAGCGCCGTTCGATACGCCGCTACTATATACGTGATATACTTACGTGTAGAGTGGGTGTGCGAGGCAGACACACACACACACGAGACTGAGCCGCGCTCGCGAGCTTGCGAGCTTGCAGCAGGGATGGCGCGGCGGGCTCTCGGCACTATACGGTTGAACGTACTTTGATACTCGCGTGCGCGATCGTCCCTTATTTTCTTTCGTATAACTTTGCGCGCGTGCGAGCTTCGATACTGCGCGTGCGAACAGCGTCTTACATTATCATACACAGGGACGAGGACTGCGCGCCGGAGACACTGATGCGTCTTCTGTTGCTGCGGAGTCTCCAGTTGGCCGTTTTCGGAATTGGTCGAAATTTATGGTACCTCAGGAGTAGTGAGCTCACCCGCCAACGCCGCTGCCGGTCCCGAAGGGAAAAGTTTTCCTCTTGTCGCGAGAGAAAGAGAGAGAGCGAAAGAGGAAACAGTGGCATTTATTTTGTCGGCCCTTTTAAGTCCTGGAAAATAGAAGACATTGCCAAGTTTACGGAACAAGCTACACGCGCATTTTACGGATGAACGGATCTTGCGAGAAATAAAAATACTTCAAGTTACTTGTGTAATACGTTTTCCAAGCTCGGTCTTACAAAGCTATACTGAATAAGTTAGCGTGACTTTCGAATTTTTAAAAGGCTCAAAGAAAAATGAAATGTCAAGTCCTCGGAGAGCTTTTCCAATCTCGCGATCGCGCCTTAGGCACTATGTATTCGTAGTAAGTCTCATTTAATTATAGCGATAAGTGCCTATATATTTTGTATACCGAGGTGCAAACGAGCGACTTAAAATCCCTGTATACACATTCGCGATTGCTTGTATATGTATACACGACAACGACGGAAGATCCGCACGTGCGTTTCCGTGCTCGTGTGAACTACGTATGGATCTGAAAGCTCAGAGGGCGCAACGCGATCTATCTAAGCGATCCCCCGAGAAATGTCAATGCAGAGAGACGTGAACGCTACTATAGGCACACGCGTATAGTATACAACGCGTATACAAGGGATCGGTATTGAGAACATAGCAGCAACATCAGAAATTCGGTATTGGACGTGTACACTTTACCTATATAGCCAATGATATAAATTAAATATTCGCGATATCGATTGGCGAAAATAATAAAGTAGCGTCAAATAATAAAAAAAAAAAGGAGAAGAGAAAGAGAAGGAGCAAAACAATGGAAATGAAAAGAGCACACAACTTTATTATTAATCGTCGAACTATCTCTCCTCGTACACTTGGTCAGTGGTGTTCGCGATTGTGTCGCGCGTATACACCTGCGTACAAATATTTTATATGGGTGATTTGCAAAATAGTTGCAATTATGGTGTCACTGCGTTGGAATAGCATTTAAAATCTAAAAAATGCATAATTTTCTCCATTTATTTTTAAAATGCAGTCATTATTGGTCATCGTCATTTTCAGTCTTCGTAAAGTTAACAATAGTATGCATTTGGCATAAAGCCGTCGTCGCCTCTTACACCCTACACCGCCCCCCGTCGGCGCCGCAGTCGTGCCATCGCGAGGTTATGATACCGATGCGCTGTTTACATATCACATTATCCTCCTCCGATGCACCAAAGATGTTCTGATCATTGTTGGTATTCTTTATCCCTCGCAGCGAAAAAAACAAGCGCCGATTAAGCAAAAGGCCCAGTCGAGTTTCATGAAAACTCTGCACCGGTTCGCATAGAGAGCTGACATTGTGAGATTATTTCGCTCTTTTACTAATTCACATTTGTAACGACGTAGCTCGAGTTGTGTATACACACGCTAACCCGCGTGCACTCCGTGTGTAGCGATAATTTTTGCCTTTTACTTTATTATCTTTTGCAGGAGGAAGCCACCAACTGACGAATCTGCTCAATAGAAAAAATAATTCAAAGCCTTTTCCGGATCCTGTATGTTTACTTCTTTCTTTCTTTGTCCCAATTTAGGTTTAAAACTCAACTTTCTTGTTTTAATTATGGTATAACATTTCAGTGGTAAAAAAAGGTCGCTTTGTTATCTGAAATAGAAAATCAATAAATAGATTTCAATCAAAAGTATCCATCTCCTTCATCTAATGGGATAAGTAAAAAAGAAAAATGTATAAGACGATTATTTGAAAATGAAATGTATTATATATATATACAAACGCGATGCGTGTATAAAAGAATATAAAAGTATATCGCTCTGCGTTCGTTTTTTTCTTCTCTATACAATGCGATAGAAATGTATGAAGGCCCTTGCACGCGTACAATAAATAAAAAAAAAGAGCCGCATACATATACGGCAGAAGTACCGCAACGCAGAACAGTACATGGAATAGACACGCAGCTTTTATGCATTCATAAAACATACGCAGCAGCGAAAGCCGGCACACACGACGACCGGATTAATTATGAATAAAGAGGTGTCTATATATGTATAGGCGCAGAAGCGTAGCGTAGCGCGCGCGGCGTCACGGCTCGCTCATAATGTATATATAGTAGTATCGCGGCTCATCGCTGCTAGTAGTCCTCCGTCTAGTCTTGCTTGCCGCGGCGCGGCGCATTGGCACGAGTCGAGTCGTCGTCGTCGTCGACGCGATTGTTGCAGTTGGCTTCGCTCGTCGTAGTCGTTGGCGGCGCGTTGCAGATGAGCAGCAAGCCAAGCAGCACCAGAGATGTGCCAGACCACCAGTACAGCGAGGTCGTCTCACCGAACAACAGCATACCCAATATCGCCTGCAAGCACACACCGCAATACAATGCGGCATTAGAATATATCGTGTACGGTGCAAAAGGCGCGCACGCGACTGCGGCGCTTTTTTAATTTGAAAAATCACGCGCGTGTGCCACCCAATCATCGGCTAATAATAATGATCAACAAACAGCTCGACAAGGCCCTCGTGCTCATCGACGTGATTTTCGTGCTCAATCTTCTGTACTTCGTCGCGCTGTTTGTCTCGCAAATATTTACCATATTTTCGCCGAGCGGCGGTAACGGTGCTAGTAGTGGTTCTCTAGCCGAACAGCGGCACCACTACTACGACCAGTGTGGCCTATAGCTGGTACGGCCGGCCCTCGCGTGTTTTCTTTTATATATTCATCACCGAGTAGTGCAACCAGTGCCTCTCATTAAATATTGTGTGTGTGTAGTATACCAAGACGGCGGCGAGTGCAACGGCGAGCAAAAACGTCGTCGTCGCGAGAAGGCCGTACGTGACCGATCGCCACTGCGGCAGCGGCGCGGGCTATATATAAACAGCGAAGAAACAAGAAAAAAGAAAAAAAAAAGTTAAGTAGAATAATTAGAAGCCGGTGGTGTGGCGGCGGCTAATACCCCCTGTGAGCCGCAGCTTTTAAAACTTGTCTCTCGTCTTGGGTGCAAACAATGAAGAAGACGAAGTTGGCCGCATATACGTCGAGCTTTTAAGCTCGTCGCGAGGTGAAAAGGAGAAGAGTAAAAAAAAAACATGGACATCTGGCTGTGAAGCATCCTATACTTTTCCGTGTGCACTTACTGATTCCGTTGTGTGTTAATTTTCCATAAGGGCGTACCGAGAAATCGAGCGACAACTACGTCGTACTGTCCGTGTGTTTACGCGCGAGCTTTTTTTTTTGCTGCTGTTATCGAGAATAAAACAAAGTGTATACGTGCTTTTTAACCGCTGAAAGCTTTCGTGCGTATATATATATCCAGCAATTGAATTACACGCGGAGACTAATAGCAAGAACAATAACAGAGTGTCGCGTAGTTGTTATTATTATACGGTTCGAGCTTTTTTTCTCTTCATAAAAGAAATGAATTTGTCCAACGGCCGTACCAAATTAACTTCTTCTGCGGAGGTATGTCACGCGCGCGCTTCGGGGTTCTAACTGCCGTGTAGCGCGAGCTTTTTATCAAATACTTTAATCTAAGAGCACGACGAGGACGATCAATTTTCATTAGTATACGATCGCCCGCGCGCAATATTTGTAAAGCGTTTTTTGTTCGTATACCTATATAGATACATTGTAAGTGTATACAAATATAAAAAATAAAACAATTTTCGTGTATAAGTGTGTTTACGTGTACACGGACACACGCGGGTGATTTCGATCTATATAGCTGTACAGCGCCTGTCTCCGAGTGTACATTCGTAAATAAACATGAATACGATATTCAAGTGTATAATGTACAAGTCTGTATAAAAGAAATAAAAAACTTTTTAATAAATTAATCATGTTATACTATACATATACAGGAGTATTGTGTTATACTTTTTCACTGCAATCATCGAGAAAAATAATAATAAAAAACGGAACAAAAAAAAAACAAACCGCCTATATACCCTCGAGCAATATTTCATGAACATATACATGTACTATTGGAGAGTGAAAGAGAATACATCGAAACTCGCGGAGGGAAAACAAAAGGGTATACGACCAATAACTCTTGGTAATCAGTGGTGCAGCAGTAGCTTTGAATGTAGAGAATCTCTCTCTTCCTCTCTCTTATCGGATACGAGTTCGAGAGTTGTAAATTTCAAATGTAAAGGTATACACTGTGCCCGCTGCACAGGTAGTATCTGTATCTATAACACACCTACGCGCGATAAAGAGAATGATGTGCACGCGGCGTATACCGTTTATAATTAATAACGATATAGTCGTTAGCGTTCAGCAGTAGCAGTTCAGCATCATACGCGAGCTTAGCGCGAGGTCGGAGCTTGCGTGCAATTTTAATAATCATCGCGGCGCGGTAATTGGAACTCGTTGCAAAGCTTCCATCATGATAGGTAGACCGTGTGTAGCTGAGTGTAAGTGATACACTCACACGATGATATACGATACTTTTTTTTTTTTTTTTTTTTTTTTATTCATTTTTCGAGAGCTCGAAGCGAAAAGCCCTCGTCTCACCCCATTTCACGTGTGCTTTATTTTTCGCGCCAGGTGTGTTGCGAAAGTACGTGTGTAAATAGCGCACGTTTCCGTCGCCGCCCGCAAAGCACGGGGGATAAAAGCGACGAGAGAGAAATGCGCGCGCGACTTCGAGAGAAAAGTCACGTATAATAAAATCCCCGACTGTGCAGCAGCAGCAGCAGCGACTCTCGAGCGGCAGATGCAGCCAAACCCCCGCCGCCGAAATAAAAATAAAAAAAAAAAGGCGCAGAGAAAAGAACACGAGAGAAAGAAAGACAGATAAGATAAGAGGAGCGAGAGAGTTCGCGCACTCGTGCGTCGTCGTTCCGTGTGTGTGTGGGCGTACGAGTGTAAAATTATTATTTATATGTATATATCTATGTACATAGCATGTGCAGCAGCAACGTAGTACACGAACGATTATACTATACGGACTTACCGAGCAAAAGTAGTTGACGCTCGAGCTTGTGATCGTGCAGGGCAGGGACGAGGCCGAGGCAGCCAGCGACTTGACGTACATGGTGCAGCCCAGGGTGTTGCTGCTGATCATCGCTGCCAGCAGCAGGCACTTGGCCAGCAGGCTCCACTGCAACACACACACACATTGATATAACGGCCTCGTTTTCACGAAACAGAAAAATAACGTCGTCCAAAAATGCCGGGCAAAAGAGATCCGTTCATTAGTAAGTCAGCTTCATAATAATCTCATGAATTCTGTATTATAAATACTCGCTGCACGCATTTTTTAACAATAAAGCTTCATCCAATTTTATGTTCGCGTTCGACGCGATCAGGAATTTTTTTAATAAAACAGCAGCGCGCGGACAGCTCACAAACTCGTCAGCTCTCTCTCTCTCTCTCTCTGACGCATTATAAGCAGCTTTATTGCATTTTCCTCTTTCCATTGTACTTTCTATATCTATATATAGAGGCGTTGCGTTGTATATGCGCGGGCTCGTGATTTACCTCGCGCCCGAGCCCGAGCGCGTGACGTCTTCCCGCCGACGCGTCGCGGGGAGAGCTTATTACAATGTTTATACGTGGATTTAATATTAACAAGCAGCAGCAGCAGCAGCAGCAGTCGTATCAGCTGCTACTCAGCCACGCATAAAAGGATTTTTACGAAAAGGATCATAACGATCCTCCCCCACGTGTGTGTGTAATTAGATAATTAAACTCACCGTATCCTCGACCGTAATGTCCATGCCGTATTTGCCGAGTACTCCGCCCGCCGTGGCGAATCCGCCCGACAGCACGGCCAGCCGAATATTGTTATTATTAGACCTCGAAGTCATCGTCGCCTGCACCTGTGCGATACATTATAAAATATAATTTATATTTTATATTAATATGATCGTATCTGCGCCGCACTGATTCTGCCAAGTAAATCGATTTCTCGCGAGCCGAGTCGATTTTTTGCCAAGATTAGTTTGCGAAGCAATGACACAATTTACACGCGGCTCTCTCTCTCTCTCTCTCTCTCTCCATCGATACATTATATACGAGTATCAAACATAATACGCTATTATATATCAATACAGAACATATCGATAAATAGAAATACGACTCTCGACTTTATCACAATTGATTGATACATATATACAAAAATAACTCGTCGTCGTCGAGTCGACTCTCGGGGGGCAGCAGCGGCTCCAGAGGCTCAATACTAACGCAATACAATAAATTGTTTATGATCCTCTTCTCCTATATCTCTTTTTCCGCGCGTATACGGAGAATCGAGAATTAGGTGTAAAAATCGTAAATTTTGCCTTTAATTGTAATAAAAAGCATGACAGTTTGCTTTTTATTATCTCGGAGATCGCGATTTTGGGCTATATGCGTTAATAAAAGCACGCGGGACCGATTCGCGCGATATTATCTCTCTCGCGGCGTCGAGCACGCCGGCGGGCTTTTCGACTCGTTACACACACACGATACCTACATGGGGGATAAATGTGCGATCATACACAAAGCACTCGAGAGTGAGAGAGACCGGGGGCTACACACGACTCAATTTGTTGCTTACTAATTCAGTATCGTAACGAGCCGCGATCCTGCTGTGACTCGCGTGCGCGTCCGCGAGTGTATAAAAGTGTTCGCATGTCATCGCACTTTGTATACTTTATTTTTCTCGCGTAATTATACAAAAAAAAAGCCTCTCTCGAGATGGCCGAATCGCTCGAGTTGCAAGCGTACAGATCGTTCGTCGTCGACGAGACGCAGCCGCAGCAAGCAACGACGAACGATACATCGTTCCAATCGCGAGCGAATTCCTCGCTCGACGTGGAAGCCTGTCGGCTATCGCTCGATCTGCAACTGCGAGCGTCGGATACGTCGGTCCAATCGTCGCAACAGGGATCGACGACGAGTCTAGGATCGTTCTCGAAGCGCATCGACCTGAAAGCGAATCGGTCCTTCGAGGAGCAAGGCTCAGTGGAATCGCTCCGATCGCGTCGAAGATTGGCAAGATTCAGAAGGATCTTGAGAAGCAGAGGTAACGCACAGTTGCGGGTGTGATTCATAACCTATGTGCTCGCAAGCTCGCCGACATTCGTAAAAACTTATCTCTTAAATTCTCATTCTCGTGTGTACCGATGTAATAGCCTAGCTCATCGTTTAGAAATCTCAATGTATTCGATGGGCAATACTCGTTTGTTTTCGAGTCTAAATCACATTCACTCGTTATTTGTTTGCACTTGCCGATGAAGAGACAAAAGCTGTATGCTAATACGTACGTCAAGTAGTTCGCGCCGCTCGTCCGCAGTATAAATTCACCGACACATGTACACACACACACACGAGCGCACTTGAACGGCAGTTGGTGCACCAATCGACGATTGATAATTCGCAAAACGTGTACCTATATGTGCCCTGACGTCTAAAGTCGGCAAACCAGCATGACGTTCGCAGTGCCCACGCGATACACTTGCTCCGTGTCTACTGCTACAGAAATGCGGCGTGTCGCGCATGTGCCGCCACCGGACCAGGCGCTTGGCGCACACGGTTGAAAATTAACCGTTGGCCCGCATTCGAAGTAATACAATACGAATCGAAAACACAGCGAAACGTCGCCCCACGACCCTTATGCAGATGAGCTCAACGTTCCAACTGTCGCACGCGTTATTTTACGAATACACAATTGACATTGATAACGAGCGCGCGCGAACGTACCGATAGAGTATACTCGAAAAAGTAGCCCGCGCGCCTTTATAACAGGTAGTTTAAAAATGGCCGTTGCGCCATCGAGTGTGTGCATTCGTGCAGTTAGCCTAGCGTGTGCGTGAGCGGTGGTATTAGTTAGGTGCTGCTGCTGCTCCTGTTGCAGTCAGCCTGGCCTGGCCTGGTGCAAGGTGGCTCGAGCAGCGAGAATAGCGAGCGAGGAGGCGCTCTACTGCCTGCGGCTTTTAGCTTGCTCCTACTACCTCCTACCTACTATCCTACTGCTGCTGCTGCAGTCACACATCCTGCAGGCACAGGCACGGGGCGCGCACGATTTCGGCCGCGGTGTTGGTCGCTGGCTTGGCTGCCAAGTGCACACATCATGTCGCCAGTGCTGGATAGACCGTAAACACGCGTGAAAAAAAAAAAAAACAAATAGATATATACTTACACCTCCATCTCTCGTGCAGTCACGATGTCGCGATCAAGGTGTTGCAGTTCTCCGTTGATCCTTCGGACGAGGTACCCAAAAATAATATATTTATACCCGCACGTTTTACTACTGAACAAACACTCTCCTAATGTTGTGAGCGCGTGAGTTTCACGCGCGATCTGTATATAGTAGCCCATCTATATAATAATAATTGCGCGCCTGCATCTATGTCTGTGTGCGCGTGTGCACATACACTGCACGCTGCAGCAGGATGTGCTTGATGCTCCTTTTATTTTTGCACACTGTGCACCGTATTATATTATATATATGTGCATGTACGTGTGTACCGAGCTGGAATGAGGATATGGCGGAGTCATCGTGGTGTGCCGCCGCTGCAGGCTCCTTTTTTCCTTTTTTTACTTTTTCAACATTATACCTTAACGATCCATGCACGTTTTACACACTCTTTCGGCTCTGGCGTGCATAAAGTTTCCGAAAAAATATTATAATAAGTATGCGTGGCCGAGAGCAGCGTGAGCGCTTTTATAAGTTGGAGGAAGTGTGGCCGTCAACTTTTTTTTTGTGTTCTTTTTATACCTCTTTAGCTTTAAGCTACTTTTCGTGAGAGGAATATACTGAACCCAGTAAGAAAAAGGTGAAAAGAATACTTCCATTTTTCACCCCTCTTATATTTTGACTCATTTTTATGACTCCTTAAAAAGTAAAAATTTTATATGCTTTTAGTATTAGTGAAAAATAAATCAATTTTATATCAAAAGAAAAATGAAACTCACACATATTTTCCTGCATGAATTTATGACTTATAAAATTGCTTTTGTCCACTGTCGCTCAAATTTATCAAAATTTCTCTTTTCTATGTGAAAAAGAAAATCACATTTAGTTTATGCTTATGAATTATTCAAATCACAGTCTTGATATACATTCAAAATGATATTTATTATTAACTGTTCTTTGATCAATGGTATTTGTTTAAGGTATGCAATACACATTATGCGATACACTCAGAATATTAAATAGTACTGTACTGATTGTAACTCTATTAAATTCCTTCTTGATTAATTGAAAATCTAGCTAGACTATTGGCAAATATTGCAATAAGAGCTGATAACTAATTGATATTGAAATTTTATTTTTAGCTCTACATTTAACTTGATTTATCAAATCTTTGGATTTTTACTTTTAACAATTTTTAGAACCAGCCGGATTAAAATTAATCAAGCTGATGTGAAAAGTACTCACTCTTACGTTATATCTGTGTGTTGGAAGCTACTGTGTACTTAAAAAACAAAGTTCTTTTGCAAACAGTTTGTACAATTATTGTTGGCACCATCAAATTTCATGCACACTTCACAGAGTATGCCTTTCTTTCAATTGTACACTTGTTCAAATATTGGCTCAAGACTCTTTACTGGTTGCCAGATAAAAGTCCAAATGGTAGTAATAATTGTTGGCAGTATTTAGGATGCTATACATCTTATCAGACTACAGTCTGAAAAAAATATTCAATACTCTGTTCTTATTTTACTATCTTTCATAGAACAATGGTTATTCGGGTTTGCAAGAAATTTTTATTTTTCTCCAAAAATAAATCTCTATTAAAGCCTCAAGGTATATACAATTCAAAATTACTTGAATAGATATTTGAATCATATTTCTTTATTTTTCTACTATAAAAAACTTGTCTGATCCACTAAACTCACTATTTGTTTATCATTACCTAATACTTCAATATCAGAAATAAAAGTTTGATTTATCGTATTTTGATATCATTATCTTTAAAATTTAATTACAGGTAGATACAACTGTAGGGCACAAGACAGACTTGCAGCTATGGAGCATGCAGATCTAGTAAAAGAGATGGCAGAGGTCGAGACACTCACTACGCAAGAGCGTCTACACTTAGCTAGACATAGGCGAGCACAACAGCTGAAAGTATGGAAACAACGAGAAAAGGAATGGCAGCGACATCAGCTAAAGCACATAATACCAAGCAGCAAAAAACATATTTTTTTCAGCGACAGTGTCATGCTACTTGAAGCTGCTGCTAGAAATGATCTTGAAGAAGGTATTGATTAAAATTTATGATTGGCTTGTATTTTAATGTGCTAAAACTATTCAACTACATTACATTTTATTAGTTTTTTAATTAATTATCTGAAGCAAACCATAATAATTAATTTTTTTCCTAGTTCGTCGTCTACTTAGGAAAGGAGTTAATCCGGACTCGACGAACGAAGACGGTTTGACGGCTTTACACCAATGTTGCATCGATGATAATGATGAAATGATGAAAATCCTGGTCGAATTCGGTGCTAATGTCAACGCAGAGGATAGTGAAAAGTGGACACCGTTGCACGCAGCGGCGACGTGTGGCCACCTCCACCTTGTACGCTATCTCATTAATAAAGGTGCAAATTTATTAGCAGTTAATGCTGACGGTAACATGCCGTACGACATTTGCGAAGATGAGAAAACCCTCGACTGCATCGAAGGTACCACCTCAATTTAAATGGCACCGTTGTGTGTAATTAGGAATCGCATTGATTTTCATGTTCTATATTTCAGGCGAAATGGCTAGACGCGGTGTGACTCAGGAATTGATCGACGAGACCCGTGCTTCGACGGAAGTCCAAATGTTACGAGATTTAATGAGACTGCAGCAAAGTGGTGGTGATTTAGAGTATAGAGACGCTCAAGGAGCCACTCCTGTAAATTATTTTTTACTTTGAATCTAAAATTAATTTAAGCATGCATGACCTAACTTCTTTATCATTTTAGTTGCACATCGCAGCGGCCAACGGTTATCTTCGGGTTGTGGAGTTTTTACTTGAGTATCATGTCTCCACGGACGTCCAGGACAATGACAAGTGGCAACCCGTCCATGCTGCTGCTTGTTGGGGCCATGTGAGTTATACTTTTTTTTGGTTTTTCTCACACCAGGAAGTTTTATGACGCACGATTGAAAATATTTCTCTTCCGAAACAGCTCGACGTTCTAGAGCTACTAGTACAAAATGGGGCTGACTTGAACGCTCGAAATAAGCACGAAGAAACACCAGCGGACATTTGTGAAGATCCGGAAATCCGCGAAAGAATTGTCGAATTGAAAACCGAACAGGAAACGAAGAAGATGCGCGATGCTAATCGACGAGTGAGGCGATCTCACAGCATAAATACGAGAACTCAGAGCGTCCGTAGAACGTCTATAAGAGACAAAACTTCAATAACTAAGAAAGATGCACAAGAGGAAGCCAGGACTTTGATGAGAAGACAAGTGGAGGTTGGAAAACGTTTATTAGAGCATTGGATGCAAAACAATGTGAAATGTATTAATTGAACTTTTTTAACAATTTATTCAGCCCACAAAAATCCCGGCTCAATCTTTGTCTTCGCCGACGTCGGATAATGTAATGAACCAAGCCGAATACGAACACGAGTCACTTCCGTCATCGATGGCAACGTCGGACGTTCGTCGGGCGCCTGAAGGAAAAGACAACGACTCCTTCGTTCACGAGGATATGGACAAGGACTCAGGTATGTCCAAACATTTGCTTGTCTACTTGGAATTCATTGTGGTACTGTGATACTTCTCTTTAAAAGTAGTGGTGGGGCGTGGAATACCGATTTGTTTTTCATGTGTTAGATATTCAACCGTAGCTCGGTGACGGGTTTAGACTGTTTTGTAAATACTCAGAGAGCACAGCTCGCTGATAGAAACATATTATTTTTGTACCTACATTAACATTAATATTAAAAATTATGAAAATTAAAAATTGTATATATAACACGCATTAACTATTGTATAAAATTATTTGTTGTCACTTGTATATCATTTTTTGTCTGTGCGGCACCTACTCCATCCTCGGCGCGTGTGTATTTGTGCTAATTATTCGAACGAATGTGTTTTGGTCGAGGTCAGTTTTCTACTTGACTTTTCTATTTCCATAGAATCTTAAACTTGTTTTTATAACTATGTAATTCATTAATATTTTTTTTACCAATAATACTATTACACATTTTTAAATATAAAAGGTATTGATGTAAAAGTCTGAACTACAGTGTGACAAGCCTATTCAATAGTACTTACTTTTATAATGTATATTCAAATAATTTTTAAAACTTCATTTACTGATACGGTTTTTTAAAAATATCAATTTGTACATTATAAAAGCCACAGGTGCTAGTTAGCGCATAGTTTGCTTAAAATTAAGATAACTCTTACAGAGTATTTAAGGTAAATGCAATTTTACATGTCTCAAGTCACAATAATTATACGATCTAATGAGCAGTCATTAATTTTAAAATTTCGAAATATTTTCTTGTCTTTTTAAATCGTTGTTAAATATTTCCTCTTTTTATTGTAAATGTATCTTGACACGCGAACGTGTGTTTTTTTCCTTGTCCAGTGTTGTACGTGTTATTTTCAAGGTTTGGTTTACCTATTGATAGATTGTAATGAAAAATCTCGAACAAAATTGACAAGAGAAATCAGTCAATTAGTATTTAATATTTATTATCAGAACATTAAAAAAATTGATTATTTTGTATGTTAATTTGTATGTTAAAGTTAATTGTGTGTATTAAACTAATAATTTCGTTACGTGAATTTTTTATGTGGATAACATGTTATTTGTTAATAGCTTTAATAAACGAAGTCTTTTTATCATGAAGTAATTTTTTGTGTGTCATATGGAACGAATCCGAGCCTGTAATGATTATTTAGTCGAATAGATATTTAAATCTTCACAGCACTCTCTTAACATTATGTTAGCACAATGCATGAAATTTTAAAAAAAGAACATAGTAAATTAGTTTATAGGCCATTAAATACTTCAAAGCAACTTAACTTGCACTTGAATACTTGGCCGAGGTTCATCGACACAATATCGCATGCTTCCAAAAGTGTATAATTTTTTTTTTTCTTCTTTTTTTTCTGCAGAACCCTCGAATGTCAAAAAGAATAGACTTAAGAAAAAAAATTAGCCTTTGCTTAATACATGTATCCCATAACAGAGTCACATCAGGCAAATCATATGGAGCTGCAATCGCTGCAGCAGCAACTACAGCATCAACAGCAGCAACAACATCTACAGCTGCAGCAAAACAATCAGCAAACGTACGACGAGTCGCGCGGAAAGATCAACATACACGTGTCGGTGGTGTTCGTTAAATCATTGGCCGATCTGAAGAAGCAGCGAGCGCAGAATCGCACGAGCACGCTGCAGCCTCTGCAATCGTCGCAACAGTCCCTCGACACCAACAGCAACAGCTTGACCGATCAGCAATTGGCCAGTGACGATTTTCGTCGGTTTACCGGCAACACCAGCGAGATCGTTTGCGACACGAGGTCCGACAAAAGATGCTGCTCGCTTATGTAATCGCCTGAACAAAAGTGTGTCAGACGAAAGACAAATATGTATTTATATATTCTCGTTGTAATATCACGCGCAACCACCAAGTACAAACAGTCCAGTTTTATGGTATTTTAATAAAAACTATCGAGCAAACTATGAAAATTGCTCGGATTATATACGTCCACATTTGACGATTACGTTTTTAGAAATTTTATTGAGTTTCGTGTGGCTCGATATATTGTAGGTTTAGGTAATTTTTTAAATTACTGATTACGTGTGCACGTCGCGCGTTTTGCACAATTAATCAGTTAATGCGAGTCGAGCGATCCCCGTATCGAAGTCATCCATGTGGATGATGAACGGATTAACAGCGAGCGGCTCCGTACGATTTTTGTAAATATTTTTAAATCGCGTTAAAGACTCGTAAATCTGTTACGTCCCAGTGACCTAGTTCTATACACGAAGGCCTAATTTTTTTTCGTTCGTAAGCAGAAAAAATGAATTCGAAGTTTTTTTTAAGACAGCAGAGAGATGGCCCGCAAGAAGTTGTTATATTTGTTTTGAGCCACCTCTTGGACCTAATTTACCAATGGGTCTATATATATTATACGATATAGGTTTATAAATTTTTACGTCCACGAATGAATTTTAAAATATATATTTACAAACGTGATTTGTATGCCCAAATTATACATATATTAATATTTTTAATGTGCATAATAATAAATGTCAGGTGAAAATGTTATCTATATTTTTTAAATAATTTGAATGATTAATGAGAGTAAATTATAATATATTAAACAAACCAACAAACTTCCTTGTGCCAACCAAGCATATGGACATGAAGCAATATGATCATTTGATTGATGCATTTGTATTCGCACAAGAATGAAAATGAACCGCATTTTCATAGATTAGATGTAAAAGAAAATTTCTTCAGTCTCTGGCAGTCTGTCTGTTACTGTAATTCTATTTATGGAGGCACAATAAATGTACATCATCTATTTACTCAGAAAAAATATTTTTAATCGCAAAAAAGAGATAAGAGTAGTTGATAGATTTCTGAATGTGTATATAAAATATCTATTATAAAAATCAAACTATTTTATGAAAAAGCTTTACAAAAAAAATGAAAAAACAATTTATTTTATTCACGTTGATAATAATAGGCACAAAAAATTTGATGTCGGGTACATATTAAGAAACTGTGACTGTTTATATTTTTAATTAATATGTATAGAGTTATTTGACTGAATTTTCTTGAACTTAATTAATCATAAACTCGATAAAAGTATTATGAGATATTTTGATTCTTTACTGCGTGTACTTAAAACTTACACAAGTACTTACATATAGATAAATGAAATTTCTTAGTAAATTTACTATTTAAAAACTCGAATTAATTTATGTATTATGATTTCTATATAATCGGAGCAATTTTGTCAAGTCACAAATTTTTCGTGAGCTTATTTAATTTTGAAAATCCAAAAACAGTTACTTTTGTAACTGAGATATCGTAATGTAAACTAATAATAAATTGTATTTAATAGCTATTATTCTGGTATAAGGCATCTGTAGTTGGTACTTCAATCAAGTCAAAAAATAGCAAAGTAGTTTTTATTTGCTACTTTTAACTATTAATTATATCGAGACTGTTCATTATTTTTCAGCATGAGTCGCAAATTTATTTTTAACAATATTTGAATTCAATTAGAGACTCAAAGTCTCTACTTCTATTAAAGAAATCAAAGAATATATTTGAAGAGTTATCTTAAAATCTTACATCACAGTTTTTTCAATGTATCGAATACATGTTTTGGCCTTAAAATACAGAAAATAAAAGAAACAAAAGTATTGTAAAAAAGTATTCAAAATAATTTAATATCTACTGAAGAATTGTAAAATTGAAGGATTATGACTGAAGGAATATAATGAACAACTCAAGCGAAGTATCTATTTTTGGAGTTTTATAGAAGAAAATAAAATACAACTCAAAGCATGCTATGTACTGAAGGGATTCATTGAAGTTAGATCACAATAAAAGATTTGAATCATTGAAATGTTTCCGTTCTTTATTTACGGTTTATACAACATAATGTATTAGAAAAATACTCATGATGCACTCAAAAACATTTTGGTTTTTTCGCCGGAATATTTATTAAAATAAACTGACCTTTTTTCAAATATCTTTGTATTTTAAAGTGATTCAAAATCACACTATAATTTTAGATTTTCACTTTGTAATTGGATTGTCCCTGACTAATGAGAGCACATTGATTTTTTTACTTTGAATTACTTGATTTTTCGAGAAAAAGAGAGAAAAATGATTCGTTTAAACAAGTGAATCTATTTAAAAATAGAGAAGACGATAGGCGTTGATTTTTTTGAACAAAATAACTTTAGGCCTTCTCTGTGTTGCTATAAATTCATCGTAAAAAGGATAGGAACAATTTTTCTTCAATTTTCCCTGTCTCGCAAAGATCAACAACATCAATCCACATGCACGTCTCTGAGAAAAAACACCCAATAAGATCAATGTCAAGATCCATTAGTATATAAATTCGTATACTCCCCACTAAAAACATTTTCCCAGCCGCACATGAAACTCGAATAATTTCGTGATATTTTTTCGTTATGTTCGCGTTTACAAGTTACATAGCGATCCTTTTAGCTCGTACGTATACGTGTCACACCCCTCCTGAAAATGTGTAATTGGATTAGTTATCGTTCCCTACGGTTTGCTCCCTACTTGCTAAGCTTTTGCTCTAATTGATGTGTGTTCATTCTTTCTTGAAATCTCCTCCTCGCTTTTCGTAGGTGACTTATAATACTTAACAGCATACGAATAAAATGTACATTTATTTCACTGTAAATTCGTTTATTTTATTTTTTTTCTTCATTTTTTTCTTACGTATTTGTTAGATAAGTACACACCCATTCGTTACAATATCCTTTTTTGTTTTTTATTTCTTAACGTACGCAATATATAATAATTATATATTTCCCATGCAAAAAGGCGCAGGAGTCAAAGTACCCGAGAGGTTCGCTTCTTCTAACTGGTTTAAGGCGTGAAAAAGGCCTTCTGATGTGTGAAACTCTCACGTACTTAGACCTGACTCTTCATCCATTCATCAAACGGGTTAAATTAATTAATAATACAATTATAGTCTGTCTCGTTCGCTCAGTGATTGATACAATACATTATGTGTCGGACAAATCAAGCTCCAGTTTATAAAACTATTTGTTTTGATATTTATGTACAACACATGGTGCGTCGCGGTTTAAAAAACTGCATCTCTTCTGCGAAAGGATTTGTTTAAAAGTCTTGACGGATTTTACTTGCTTACAATAACTACGTTTTACACATTCCACGTATAATATGATAAAAATAAAAAAAAAGTTTTTTTATGTACAACAACGTCTGGTTATCATCGAATCGCTGATCTTTCATGATTTTTTTTCTTCAAATAATTGACGACAGGAAATGAGAACTGAATCGAAAATTCTGCAAGCATTTCTACTATTTTTTAGAACGGTAACATCAATGCATCATCACACCTATTTACAAAATACTATCTCACACACAAATTCTTTTTTTCTCACATCCTTTTACAAATCTGTTATTATGATGAATAAAATCAAACGAAATGTAAATATAATACAAATTCAATTAGTTCAATGCATTTACTCGTGTCCAGCTGAGTAATAACGAAAATCGTAATTGGATCCGTAATCATACACCTACCGCATTGATATATAGGACGCGTCGACATTGACGCGACACCTCTCCATTTCCGGCTATCCGCTTGTGTCGATAAAATTTTTTTTCATTCGAATCAACTCCAGGAATTTGATTAAAAGATTTTTTTGCATCTTGTTAGAGAGATCCATCTCTTTCAATTTTTTGTTCAATAAATAAATCATTGCGTCGATTCGAGTACTTTAACGCTGATTTTTTCAATAACTGAAAATAAAATAGAGACTTTTGTTAATCGTATTTTTTTTTTTTTTAACAAACGTAGACGGCTACTATATATGACTAATAGGAACTTTGTAATTGTGCATGTGTATTATTAAGTTTTCTGAGAACGAAATTCGAACAATAAAAAAAATTCAATAAAAAAAGTACACTTACATAAATATAATAGAGAACAACATTTATAATAATTAATATAAGAACAATTTTAGGCAATTCGACCCTACCACATTTTATTATACCTCGCCTATGCTAACTTTTCTCGCCCCTATCACACAACTTCATTTTTCGCCCTGAGTACTTATCTTCTACCTTTTATTACTTTGTGTAAATTTTTGTTTTAAGCGTATCGCCATAATTTGAGAAGGGAATCTGTAGGAGAAAAATATATCGTAAGTCAATATTTCCATCCGAGTTTGATGGACAGACAAAATTTTTTGAATTGTTATTTTTATTATCATAATATAAAATGTGATTAATGCATGATTTCTGAAAGAACAATCACTGGTAATACGAAAAATTCATAACAGTGAATTTTTGGAATTACAAGACAACAAAATAAATAAACATAAAAATAAAATCAAAATAGTATAAATATATAGAGGATATAATATTGAAATTGAAATTCATGCAAATAATCCATGTGTAATTATGACAACTAACTTACTGTGATATGAGCTTTTTTTATGAGCTGTAGTGTAAAACATATGTTTTTTTTTAATTTTGCTATATCGAAGAAAAAGCTGCATTTTTTTTGGAAAACATTGAATCATGTTCTATGCAATTAAAAATTAATATAATGTATTTACCAAGCCTCAAGTTACGTCGTACGCAGAATTAATTTACAAGCTTTTTTTGTGTGTCCGCTCGTGCGAGAATAATAATAATTTTTTCTTGTTCCCATTATTATTTTTTTTGTTATCAAAAGTATGATGAAGTGTTGTTTTTATATAACATGTCAAAAACCTAATGTTTTTGTTTTTTGTTGAACAACAACGAGGTGTAGTTTTCGTATAAGTAAGAAAAATTGATGGCTCGACGAAATAAATCATAAAGCACAAGTAGGAGAAGACAGAGAGATAATAGAGAGAGAACTAAAATTTCTATGTAATAAATATATCAAATTGATAAAATGTGGCGATCACGTACAGGCTGGAGGATAAAATGGTTCAATTGAAGAGAGATAATAGTTGATAGAGAAATAAAGCTACGGAGTGGATGATATCTTACCGATAATAATTAGGCTTGAAGGGGCCGGCTTTGTTGAGGCCCATGTATTTGGCTTGCTCGTCCGTCAATTCCGTGAGGTGGGCGTCAAAGGTGGGCAAGTGTAACGAGGCTACGTACTCATCTTGAAAAAAATGTCGGGTATAATTAAAAAATGTAAAAGCACGACAGAAAAAGAAAATGATTGCTTCTTACCCATTTTTTTAGGCAGCAAATAGACGTCGCTCTTGTAACGGCCCGCTGGGGCGTTGAACAGCTCGATCAGGGCCAGCGCCTGGGTGGCGGCCGTGATGGACACGACGAAGGACGGAATACTGGAACACGACAGATTGACGAGGCGACCCTCGGCCAGGAGGACGATGCGTTTGCCGTCCGGCCAGATTATGTGGTCGACCTGGGAGCGCACCTTCTCCCACGTCAGGTCGGACGTGCGTAAGCTATTCTGTTTTTTTCCCCCAAGGAATAAGACGTGTAAATATAAGTAGAAAACGAAATAATTGAAAAAATGAGACTTACGATATCGATTTCGGTATTGCTGTGGCCCATGTTGCACACGACGCAGCCGTTCTTCATCTTGTCCATGTGCTCGCGCGTCACCACGTTCTTGTTGCCCGTCGCCGTGATGACGATGTCGACGTTCCTGATGACCTCGTTGAGCTTGACCACGCGGAAGCCGTCCATGCTGGCTTGGAGGGCGCAGATGGGGTCGATCTCCGTGATGTAGACGATGCAGCCGAGACCTTTCAGAGCCTGACAGCATCCCTTGCCGACCTCTCCGTAACCGCAGATGACGACCTGTTTACCGCCGAACATGACGTCGGTCGAGCGTTTCAGGCTGTCGATGATGCTCTCGCGACAGCTGTACAGATTGTCGAACTTGGTCTTGGTGACGCTGTCGTTGACGTTCATCGCGGGCACCGACAGCTTGTTGGCCTTGGACAGCTGGTACAGTCGGTGGACACCTGTGACGGACTCCTCGACGATGCCCTTGATCATCTTGAACATGGCGTTGTACTTCTTGAGCATGAGGTGGGTGGCGTCGCCGCCGTCGTCGAGGATCATGTTGGGCTGCCAGTTCTCGGCGTTGATGCACTTGTCGATGCACCACCAGAAGTCCTCCTCGGTCTCGGAGCGCCATGCGTAGACGGGGTAGCCGGCCCATGCCAGGGCCGCGGCGACCTCGTTTTGGGTCGAGTAGATGTTGCAGGCGGCCCAGCGCACCTGGGCGCCGAGCTCCACGAGGGTCTCGATCAACACGGCCGTCTGGGCGTTTATGTGGGTGCAGCCGACGATCTTGGCGTTTTTCAGAGGCTGCAGGGGGTACAAGACGATTTTTCATTAGTTTTAGTCTCGATGCAGGATAAGCGTTATAATGTACCCAACGATACTCTAATAACCGACCAATTTTTCAATTCTTGGAGAGAATTAATTTACTTTGCAATTATTAAAATACCATATTTGAGTCAATCATTGTTAAATTATTCTTTGATTTAACTTACTGATTTCATACGTAGGAAAGTAGTAAATATTACGAGCTATGAACCCAAAAGATGTATTCAATCGTTATCGTTTATACTAATACTAATGTAATAAAAACATCTTTTGGGTTCTTAGCTCATAAAACATTTTCTATTTTTCTACATATTATCATATTATTGTATATTTAATGTGTTAAAAACTTAATGTTATAAAAATAATTAAAATATGTTGTGTTGAAGTTAGGTCTTATGTACTAGAAAACTTTAATGTTCAGAATGCTAATGCTTTACACCACTTTTAATCAAAATTTAAACTCAAGTTTCATTTCGAAAACTTTTCGAAAACTTTGATATACTCCGATTTTTTAGACAATTTTGCATTATTATTAAGAAAAGTTAAATTATTTTATAAATTCATACAAGGAAATGGTCGGAATTACTGTAAGTTCATGGTGTTGTTGTTGAGTTTTTGTAATTACCTTGTCATCCCTAGCTCGTTTCCTCAGTGCCATGATGCCAGGCATCTCCTGCTCGGCGATCTCGATCTCGCGCCTGCCGAAGGCATGCTGCTCGATGTTCCTGACACAGAAGTCCGTGAAATCCTTGTCGGTCTTCTGTATCTTTTCGCGAGGCGACACGTCGTCCTCCTCGCTGCTGCTCCCTGTGTAAGAGGCTGAAGTTTTGGTATTTTTGTCGCGCACAACGGGGGGCGGGAGCGTTACGTGTGCGTTCGATCAAGATGTAGTGTTTTGTTGTGGTTTTAACGACAATTTTTTTTTGTCAGTTGTAGTTGTTTGTAGTTGTTGATGATGATGTTTGTGAATGTGTGTGTGTATAACACGACGCACACGCACACATAGAGATACACATATAGGAGGTAATCCATTATTGCCAGGCGGTCGCAAAGCGTGTAAAAATTCAACAATGTTCAACGATAAATCAATGAAATTCTTTTAATTATCAATGATATATTTTTAAATGTATATAGCATGACAAATAAGAAAAAGAAAAAAAAGTTTACAGATGAGACAGAGAGCAGATCAAGTATTAAAGCATCTTAGGAGAAGGAGAAAGAGAGAAAAAGAAAGAAAGCGTTGATTAAAGGCATGCGAATATATAGTCATCGATAAAGGAGAGATATCGAAAAAAAAGAAGAAGACAGAGCAGGAAAAAAATCTATAGATATAAGTATAAGGAGATCGAGGATCATTACGTACCGGAGCTATAGCTGTCTGTACTGCTGGCTGACAACGAGCGGCTCCTGTATCTTCCGGCTTTTTTCAGCGCGCCGGACTTGGAGTCCTATAATGGAAAACGAGAGACAAAGAAAATTGGCATTAGTAATGATCGATACTTTGAATCCTGGCCGGGGTCAAACACATCTATCCATCTATCTAAGCTCGTGCGTAACACAATTTACTTTCGTACATGGATATGATACACACATTTGCACACATCAATTATGTGTATTATACAACAAATGAGAAGCCTGCGGGGATGTATACACAAACACACATTTATCATGAGAGATTAGTTGATATAAGCTGGCGCGTGTAACGATAATATTTATAATTTTTTGTATCAACAATTATACGCGACATGTACAATGAATATAAAAATTACGACGCGAAAAACGTAACGTATTTGAGAGGATCCGATCGAACGGCACGTAAGACACGTTTAGTTGATGATAAAGCGGAGCGCAGAGCAATTTTAATTTGCGGCGCAGTAGCAGATGTGCGAATTGAAATTGACTACAACTTCTATACAAACAGAGACACGAGTGGGTCGCATGCATATAATGTATCTATGCTACAGAGTGTAATAGGGGACAGTAGTGAGGCATATAACATTTAATTAAAAAGACGATACTCTACTAACCAACGACAGTAGTGAGGCGCGTTGAAGTTTACACGCGATGGAAAAAGTTTTTACGATACTTTACGCGTGACGACGGTGACGCATTATAAACATGCAAGAGGACGAGTCGAGAGAGAAATGCATAAGCGACTTTTTATTATTATGATAAATACACGTGTGGTAAGTTATCGTTATGATTAAAATCATTTTTTTTTCCTCTCTCTTCTCTCTCTGTCTCTGGACTCGTCAACTGCACGTATCTGCGTACGCGTTAGGTCGGCTCTTACGCACTCGCGCGATCATTTAATTAAAGCGAGATTAGCACGACGCGATGATACTAGCAGCTAATGATACATGTGCACTTTAACGACTATCGCTTATCAAATTTGCTCCTCCCTGAGCGTGTGTGTGGATGTAATAAGCACATGTACGTAAGTATCACGTGTGCGTGTGAGCTTCGACTAACAACAAATAATAATACATGATATTAATAACAATAACAAGGATGATGTTGAGAGACAACGAGCTTGAGGATTATTCACGTGTGTGTGATGATTATTATTATCATTTTTTTGTTGTTGTTGCTTCGCTTTAGTAACGAGTATTATTACGTGTGTAGTATAGTTTATACAGTGGAGGAGGAGATTACAACAAATTGGCGAGATAATTATTAGGCATTTACAAAACATATACAATACAATCAACAATTACGAGTATAGAATACAAATATTTATGTAAGTTAGCTATACAGAGAGGTTTTACATTGAGACATTTCTTTTTGCATTTTTTTGTATGTCAATTTTAGATTTCCATAAAGTCTTACTTACTAATTTTGATCTCGCGCCGTGATAGGCATTATTCGTAGCCTCTAGGCTCTGAAATCAGCAATAAAAACAGACACACTCTCAAAATCTATGTGTTCTCAAAAGTAGTTTTATAAGTAAGAAGAACAAAAAAAATTTAAATAGCAAAAGTACAAAAATACAACAATAGATATCTTCGCTCCAAGAGAGAGAGTGAAAAATTTTTTTCGCGCGGGATGTATAATTTTATTATTCTCCTTCTCGCGCTTCGCGAGGAAAAAAAGAGAGGAGAGAGTAGAGAAAAAAAGTATGCATCTGTATCTTACTTATAGATGTACGCGTCGAAATCGATACGCGTCACGACGAAAAAAAAAAGAAAGAGAGAAAAGGGTGCATTAGTGTATCAAGAATGTAAATGTATGCCAAGCCAGCAGCCAGCAGTATACTCGAGCGACGAGGCGAAACTTCGTCTTATTTCTTTATTTCTTTAATAAAACGAGACACGGATAAATGTATCCAATTATCGTATAGCAAGTGTCGAAGAAGAAAAAAAAAGTTTCGCGAAACCGACAGAGAATTCGCAGCCGCGGCGTCCTTTCGGCTAATACAATACGTAGTAAGTATCAAGTGTATCGTGGCCTGTTGTGTGTGCTTGCGAGAGAGCATGTGTGTCACGAGGCGCGCTTCAATTAGCATTAAAATACGTACGTTATGACGGGTCACGTGTGTGTATAGCAAAAATACTTGAGTCAAAAGTTTCTCTCTCTCTCGAAGATGGGCTTTTCAAGGACCACTGTCAAATTCGTCTAGAACACACGCGGAGAACTCTTCTCTTACCTGCCTCGGCAAGAACATGAACATCGCCAAATACACTTATAATAACGTATATCGACGGACGAGCGAAGCTAAGTCGTCGAACGACGGATTGGGACTGACTATGAGTGCACTCGAGATAGATAAAGGAGGCGACGCACATATGATCGCGTTTGTCTCTCTCTATCATCATTGCGGTTACAATAACAACGACGACTCATACGCAGTTGTATCATAACACACATGTCTCTATCTGTCTTTCTACGCGACGCCGCTGCATAATTCTATTGTTACGCCGCCGTCTACTCACGAGACGACGATAAAAACGAGAGAAGAGAAAAAAAAAGTAGGAGGAGGAAGAGGAGAAGAAAACGCAGCTTGCGCAATAACGCATGTAACATCAACAAAGTGTTTTATAAACACGCGGAATTGCACATGCGAGACGAAGAAAACGTGTGTGTATGCGTCGGCGGCGGTGGCGCAAAAAGGATGACAAAGTGTGTCTGCTGTTGTTGTTGGCGAATCGCTCACATGCGTGGCAGCTGTACAGAGAGAGAGGCAGGAGCGTAATAACTGCTATACATTATGTACAGCAGTATAACCAAGGTTACGCGAAATATCTATTGTATTTATTGCCTTCTTATTCTCGAGGCTCCTTTTTTTATCCTCCTATTACGTATGGTACTTAAAACGCGTGCGAGAGTATCAATTTCGATATAAGATTATTGCGCGCGAGCTTTTTTACGATATTTTGCTGTTAAAGAGAGAGAGAACGAAATTATACACCCCGCGGGGAACCACGTAAAAAACGCACGCGAACGTAGATAATGAAAACAAAAGAACGAGATGCGCGCGAGAAGTATTAATGATTTCCGAGAGAGAAAGAGAGAGTGAGAGAGATAGAGAGTAAAGCTTTCGGCGCGCGCGAGCTGCTCTCTTTTTACTTTTCAATGGCTTCTAATTACACACACGTCGTCGTCGCGCGTATTTCTCGGGACCTATATACCGACGTATGCACACTGTTTTGTCTGCGGCGCGTCGCGTTGGGCGTCAAACTTCATCAGCGAGCGATACATGAAATAAAAAAAGCTCCAGATCGTCTCTCACCGATGTATAAGTGCTATAATTCTTTGAATCCTTTTTTTTTCTTTACGTCATTTCGACTTTCGCGCAGCTTGCAGTGCAGCCTCGGTACAAAGCTCACGTTTCTTGCCCCTACTCCAGTGTCGCGCGCATATCGCACAGTGTCGAAATTCCAGCGGCAAACGTATCGAAGGAAAATAAAAACAACTATGCAGTCTCACGGTCACGCGTGTGCGAGCCGAGCTTGATCCCGCGCGAAAAGCTCGGGATTCGATTTATCATACGAAGATCGGGTGGAAGCCCAAAATGCCAACTATTTATATATTTTTTGGCGTGAATTCACGAAGAGAAAGACGCCTCTCGCCGAGCCCATTATTGCCGTCAGCTCGTGCGGCTTACGCGCTATTGCCAATACAATAACAAACCTAATAAAAACGAGCAAGAAGAGTGTACATCCAACGAACGTGTGTACGGCCTTTCGAGGGCGAACTAGATCTAGGTATCGGAGAGCTTCGAGTTGATGACGAAAGGTCGATCGTCGTCATCGTCGATCAATCCCCCCCGCGCATAAGCCCCGCCAAGCGCGAGGTGCCTATCTAAGACGATCGAGAGAGAAACATTAAACTGCCTGGCACACACACTCGTGCCCGATCCTGACCCTTCCAAGGCCAGAGCGGCGGCGGCGCCAGCTCAAACATTATAGCAGTAGCAGCAACAGAGTACATATACACGACCACAACGGCACATATAGACGAGTTTTCAAAGAAGGTCTGGGTGGGCTATAGATACTATATGTATGTAGGGCTTATGTATATGTGCGTGCCGAGCTGGCGAGTGTTAAGGCTATAATAGAAATCGAAAGGGTGAGCCTAAAATCCCAGGGAGTTTACTCGCGCGCGCGTCACAGTTTTCAAGTATAAAAGGTAATGGCATACAATATGAGAAAATGTATAAAATGTTTCATGTTCGCCTGCCACACGGCTTGCATCTCTCGTTTCTATACTCTTTCAATGTCTGTATATAGCTGCTGTGCATGCGTGCAGTTATTGTGTGTTTTCATGCTTTCTCTCTCTCTCTCTCGAGTTTCCGTATGTATAGAATGTCTACAAAAGCATGTGTGTGTGTGTGTGTGTGAGTGTGTGGGTATGTATGTAGGTATGCATGTTGCGGGTGTCACGAGTTACTCTGACGTAACGGGCAATTTATCAATAAAACGGCTGACTAGACCAAGTCCACGTTGGAGGCGTCCGAATATAATATTATTATGGGCTAACATGGAGTTAACGATATTATAAAAATAAAAACTAAAACGATTAACTATGAAAGTTGAGCAAAAAAAGGGTATAGAGTAAGAAGAAGAGCGAAGAAGATTTAGATGCGGTGCGATGCTTAATATTATCATTATCATAACTATCATCGTCATTATTATTATGACATATATATTTTAAGCTTAATAAGAGTCGACGACTGACCTTGGTGCCAGCCGTGCTCGAGCATGGCTCGGCGACGACGGGCCCGTCCCCGACGATCGGCCCGCTTATCGACGATCTCGCCCTGCCATTGGCCGGAGGATTCTGTCCCGCTGCAACAGCAGCCGCTGCAGCCAGTGCTGCTGGATGATGGTGATTATCGGCCGCTGCTCCGTCGTCGGCCATTGCAACAGCAGCAGCACACGCGATATGTGTGCGGATCTCTCTCTGGGCTCTTTTTTTAATGTATATATGTGTCACACGGCGGGGCACACACGCGCAACACAGATCGTCACAGAGTCACAGTCACTTACTTGCTACTACTTTTTTTTTTTCTTTTTTTTTTAGGTATGTATACTTTCTGTAGAGACTGTGTCCGCGCGACGACGTCGCAGTTATCGTACTAGTGGCTCGCAGCAGTGCTGTATAATATTTATAATCATTGTTATACTTTTCATGAGTGGCGAGGACCCCCCTCGACTTTTGCGTATACAAGGCGGGGGAGTTTTATTCGATATGTTTTACGTTATGTACCTGGCTGCGGGAGCTAAGCTGCTGCTCCTTTATTGACAAGCTAGAAAGCGACTTTGGACACACTGGGATTGGACTGCTGCAGCAAAATCGAACTCTCGTCGGCAGTGTCTCGATGCGGCACACTGAATACTTTTTTTCTGGACGAGTAAGCGTGTGTGTGTGTGTGTAATGCTGCTGCGGCTATTTTATACAGTATTACAGATAGCAGAACAACTCCAATAATTGGCACGGCACAGCAGTAGCAGCAGTGCGGAAGCTGCTCGCGACTACTCCACTCGCCTATTTTCTGCTACACAATGTTATGATGCTACTACGAGCTGGCCCGTCGCTAATATTATATCCGTTTTTATATTACGCACAATAGACCGACGAGAGACACGCCGCACGCGAATGTGCGTAATATCTCTACGTATAGGCGCGTAGCAGCAGCAGCAGCAGCAAAAAAGAGAGAGAACTGCGAGAGCGAATATGTGCTGTGCGAATGTGAATGTGACGAGTAGAGAGAGGGAGAGAGACTGAATATACGTTTAGAGAGAGAGAGAGACACGCACTCCACGATGGGCGCGCGCGCACTGCCTCACACTGCATGGATCGACTATTTGCCGAGGCAGCAGCAGCACCAGCAGCAGCAGCAGCGAATATGTAGACACTTTTGCAATTCTCGGCGGAGAAAGTCGTCCGCAAACTTTGAAGCTTCGTTCACAAAACGAGCTTGCGCGGCACAGCTTTTTTTCTGTGTCGCGTTCAAACTTGCCGCGTTTTCGACCGTTGGAAAATTTTGGAGTTGCCGCTGTTGGGCGCAGCAGAGTTTGTTACACTCTACGCGGCGGAATTGCGCTACTGCAGTTTATTAAAGTACCGATCGAATTTGTACCGTTGCGTTGGCCTTTTGCCAGGATTTTTGCAACTGTATATATACGCCAACGACCAGCAACGAGAGAGCTTTATATTATTATCTTCCGTGTATCAAACTTATTATAACGTTTTTTACGCTGGAGACTAGATAATGAATCGAGGAAGCGCATGAAATTTCGCAATTATTTTTATTTCAACAATAAAGTAGTACAAGTTCATTATTAACGTCTTCTTTTTCATTCATACGTTATGTTATTGTATATATTACACAAGTGCGCTGCATGAAATTTTAGAAAAAGATTATTTGTCATTTATGTACCAGACAAATGAATTGACTCGTTTATTCGCACCAAAAACAAACTTTTCCCGACGCCTTCTATTAATAGTGTCTTCGTTATATAAAATTGTAATAAGTATAGTACGCATCATCGCGAGCTGCAGTCGAGCTCGAAATTCAAGGATAAAACATCGTGTGTGCTTTTGGTGGAAAAACTTTGCCTCGGAACATTGACCTCGCTCCAACAGCGAGAAAAACGATTCGCATTACATTTCTAACTCTTTCCTTTGCCTTTTTTCTGTATCTCAAATCCTTTTAATCCGTTGAGTATGTGTGAACAACGACTTTGCACACGTCAACTTTTTTTTCACTGCTCACACATGAAAAATATAGTACTAGTGCCAAATAAAATGTCATCGTCGCAGGCAAAGATAGCTCAAAAAAGGCAAGTGTATACAGACGTACGTAACAACATTGGAAGTTCCGATTGATTTTCGTCAGAAATATAAATGTTATTGTATATAGTTACCGTCGCGTTTACGGATTTTGTATATAAGGCATGTATAATAATCATACGTTATTGCACATTTGTGTTTTGATCGATTGATCACGAAAATTGGAATGAAGCATGCACGACACGAGCTCGCGTTCGTAATGCACGTGTGTGCACATACGAGCTGCGCGCACGAATTCGTTTCATAAGTAAACAACAATATTATATAAATGAGAATTATATAAAAAAAGCATTAATCGATATCTCGTTAAAAGCTTGATTAAATATTCGTAAAATTCGAAACATTTTAAACTCTAAAATTAGGCTTTGAAATAAGAACTAGAAATTAGTTGTGTCGTGCGAAAAAGCACAAATCAGGTACAGAATAAATACATTGTAAAAAGCTTTCAACGACTCGTAGTAAAAGCTTCTAAGTATACGATTGCATTAAAGTATTGAAAAAAGTCTCTTACACGTATCGACGCTTTTCGTCGTTTTTGTTTTTCTGTTTCATTTTTTTTTTTACATCCTGTCGTGCGTGTGTCAGCGCGTTGAGCTATTCGATAAAGCACTTAATGAAGCTTAGACAGAACTAAAGCACTATAGTTTTCACAATCGAATTTTCTCGTGATTTTTCACGCGTTTTTTTTTTTATTTTCTCAGCCTTCGAGGTTTATTCATTTAGACTTTCGTATTTAAGCGGCCTGGCCCTTTTTGCGCGAGCTACGTAAAATTTCGTAGTTAGAAAAAAGCTGATTGTCGCGGAACTAGATGAAACATTATTTTGTCGATGGAAACAATTTAAGACAATTCTACGTAGCTCATCGATCTTTCTCTTTCGCATCGTCTATCGCAGCAAAAAACAAAGATTTCAAAGTAGAAAAAGCGCGCGGCTACCTTTTACATAACGCTGCACTATATAATTAGCGGCTGTGTGCGTTATCTCAACGATTCGCCTTAAACCTCGAAGGCCTCGCGCTGCTACGCTATCATAGCGGCGATCGGCGAGAACCTCATGATCTTGCTCAGGAGAATCCAGGCGATCGAGGCCAGTGCGGACAGGGTGACGCCACCCCAGCCGAAGTCCATGGACCAGGAGAAGGCGAAGCGTCGGGCCTTGAGGATGTGTCGATCGACGGGCCCACCGACGACGCCGTCCTCGGGCCCGTTGACGTTGACTCGGCCGCCGCCGCTGTTGCGATCCTGGCCGCTTCGCTTGTTGTAGAGGATCATCAGAGTGAAGAGCGCGAAGATCGCTGTGTGCAGCAGGAGGCAAATTAGGACGAGTAATAAGTTTGATCGAAAATTTGAATTAAAACGAGGCAAGTGTAGTAAATGTACCTGCTAGAAGATACATGACTCCGGTAATGAGGACGGCTGATATTTGATGACGGCAGAGGCCGAAGAAGCCGACGATCACGGCCGAGCCGAGGATTATTAGACAGACCAGCGAGCAGGATATGCTCAAGTTCTGCATGCCTGTTGAAAAAAAAACGTTGTATTTCACGCACTCATTTTAATACTCGCAGCTCGTGTATACACTTGTATCATATGCAAATACGCTGAAATAGAGCTTTAAAGCTCGTGATTTACACTAGTGGTACGAGCACGGTGCGGTAATTTGCGGTAAAGGCAAGGAGACGATCGATATCAGGAATAATTACAACGTCGTCTATGCGCGGAAAAGCGGTAAGTATATGAGCGATTCCCTGATTGACTTGTCGAATTTTTCATTACAAACGGGTCCAATTAGTTTTTTTGATTATTGTTTTTGGAGGCCTAGAAAAATGCACGAACAATACAAATTGTTGTAGGTATTTTTGTTATGCTAATTTCTATGTAAAAAAATCACGAAAATGAATATTATTTAACAGTTCAGAGGGCAAAGTCATGACACTGTTTCAACATTAGTGCCATGGTATGATGTGTTTCGACGGTCATGACAAGCCCGAACCACTACCCTATTCGAGAGAAAATATTCCAAATTTAAATAGTATTCTAAGCGTGTAATTTTTTTTTAGTTACGTAAACTGTAGAGCCTTGAAGACGATCCAGTTGCTATAGTTCCTGTTTTGGGCTGAAAAGGGTTAATTAGACTTATAAGCCTTTTAATAATATTTCATATGAAATTCAAACACGAATGATCTGAATGATTATCCTAGAAGAACAAAAAATTGCTGATAATATAAACTCTTGTAATCTTTCTGCCTTATTTTATTGCAACTAAGAATATCAAAATAACGTGAACATTTCCAGTAACGTAATACTGGTTATCTACACAAGGCTACTCAATTGTAAAGTGATGAAATATCAACAAATAAGTCTTGGTTTTAATTATAAACAATTACAATTAACATAACCAATCTTGTTTTCATCCTTTGACAGCTGAAAATGTTTCTAGACAAACAAATTAGTTTGAATGTCTCTCCCAATGATACAAGTAACAATACCAAAAGCAAAATTTTTCGAGTTTAATTTCTGTGGCACTGGATAGAAGGATCCATCTAATTGAAGCATCAAACTGGTAATAAGTGAGAGCAAATCCAAGGAAGTTGTCTCAAAAGATAATTCAAGTGAACACGACATTGTTTTTTCAGACGACAAAAAATACATTTGTGATATTTGTCAGAAAGCATTTACACTAGAATCAAATATGATAACCCATCGAAACACAATTCACAATGAACGAAAAAATGTCGCATGCGACAAGTGCGAAAAGAAATTTACATGTAAATCAAATTTGCTCAAGCACCAAAATAATGTCCATGAAGGTCGCAAAGATTTTGCTTGTGACAAGTGCGATCGGAAATTTGGAGAAAAATCGAACTTGATTAAACATCAAAGGACAATACATGAAGGTCACAAAGATTACGCATGTGACAAATGCGAAAAGAAATTTGGACAAAAATCGATTTTGCTCTTACACCAAAAGACAGTTCATGAAGGTTGCCAAGATTTTACATGCGACAAGTGTGAGAAGAAATTTGGTCAAAAAGGGCATTTGATCATACACAAAAAAACAGTCCACGAAGGTCGCAAAGATTTTGCATGTGACAAATGTGAGAAGAAATTTGGAGAACGAGGCAATTTGATAAAACACAAAAAAACAGTCCACGAAGGTCGCAAAGATTTTGCATGTGACAAATGTGAGAAGAAATTTGGAGAACGAGGCAGTTTGCTAAGACACCAGAAAATAGTCCACGAAGGTAGGAAAGATTACGCATGCGGTAGGTGCGTGGAGAAATTTAGAATGAAGACGCATTTGCTATTCCACCAAAAAACATTACACGAGGGTTGCCAAGATTTTGCATGTGATAGTTGCGAAAAAAAATTTGGAAAGAAAATTAATTTGCTCAGGCACCAGAAGACAGTCCACGAAGGTCGCAAAGATTACGCATGTGACAAATGTGAGAAGAAATTTGGACAAAAAGCGAATTTGTTCAGACACCAAAAAAAAGTACATGAGATTCAGAAAGATTTCGCATGTAACGTTTGTGAGCAGAAATTTCGACAAAAAACGCATTTACTCAGACACCAAAATACAGTGCACGAGGATCGAAGAAATTATGCTTGTGACAAATCCGAAAAGAAATTTGGAGCTCGAAGCAATTTGATGAAACACCAAAGAACAGTCCACAAAAATTTCAATAATTTTACATGGGACAACGACAGCATATTGGACGAGCGCAATGAGTGGTACCACGAGGCGCCGAATTTCCTCACTCTACCCGAAAATATTTTCGCGGACGAATAATTATGAAGAATAAGCACGTAATTGATGCGATGAAATATTGCGCATACATTAAATAAACAACTTAATTAAACTATATTGGATTTGCTCATCAGAGCAAATTTTTCGATGTGACATGCGCGGGAAAACGTGTAGAACTAGAATCAGTTTGATCGACCGAAAAAATGTTGTACATGAATTATGTATATTTACGAATTTTAAATACATCGCCGTTGCTTATGAATACACATATTATCGAAGCGCCGTGAAAAAAAACACACCACATCGTATCCAAAGAGGTGTGTTTTTTTTCAAGGCATTTTATCAGTATGTTTTTTTCGTAGCGTTTTACACTGTGCTTTTACTCATAAGCAACAGCGACATATTGATATAATATTATTGTCAATAAATTATTTTTATTAATTTAATTTTCAAGAGACTCGTTTGTATTACAATTCTAAAACTTGACGTTAATTTTTTAGTTATTTCTTAAATTTTTACTCAAATAATTACAACTTGTGATTAGAAACATCCTGGGACTAATTTTAAACGTCCTTGGACCCCCAAAAACAATAACCGATTTTCATTGCAAGCCTCCAACGAAAAGAAAAAAAAATCGGGCTGATTTCTAGTCGGAAAATTTGTCAGGTAAATCGTGGAATCGCTTGTATAAGTATAATATCGTAAGAGTCAGTGTTTCAAGAGTTGCACAAGTAGTGATACTCACGGTTCTGCCAGGCGGCGCGCAGCTCCTCGTGCGCCTCGTCCGGTTTCAGATAATTGATGCAGCGCTCTTGAGGAAAATCCACTTGGCCCAAAAGCTCGATCTCGAGGTCTGCGCATATATAGATGCAAACACACACAAAGTAAAAAAGAAGTTAATTTCGTTTCCTTGACTTGATAATCTCCCTACCCGGTTTCATACAAACACGCGAAGAGCAAAAAAGAAATTAAGTAGAAAGATAGAGGCAAGAAGAAGAAATGATAATGAGAATGTGCAGCGAGGTGCGTAATGCCCCCTACCATCCGAGCTCAAGCTTTTTTTGACCGACTTTGTGTGTTATATGCACACATGCACGCCTACATAGCTATAGAGTAAAAACGGGGAAAAGGGTAGGATGAGTCGTACGTGTGCATGGCACGTATCGTCGTACGGGGGTGGAGGCGGCGGCGCAGATTCTGCTGAGATTTTTACTGGAAAAGTTCCAGAGAGGCTCGAAACTCGCGTCTCAACGCGACAGCGCCAGCAGCAGCTAGCGTATAATCCATAAGCCATTTCGTGCTGCAGCACACAGCACAAACTTACGGGGCTGGCAGAGCGAGAGAAATCATTTTTACATTTTGCGACGCGAGTAAATAGCCCTTTTGAAAGTGGCCGCGATCCGTTAAAATTTGAAGGGTATAAGAGAAAAAAATATTTATTACATCTTTCGCGGTCCGCGCGAGCGTGTAACGTATAAGCAGGCAATTACGGACGAGGAGTAATGTATGAAGTAAGAAAAAAAAAAGCTTCAACCATGTGCAGCTGGGTTGACACTAATAGCTGCTGCAGCAGCTGTATGAAGTGGACACTCGACCAAAAAAATAGTAAAGAGAGAAGCATACATAAAATAAAAGAAAGAGGAGAAAAAAAAGCTCGAGGCTCCGCGTCGCTTATTTACGGCCTCGAAGACAGGCGCACGATGATATACACTTATACATCTTTTGCCGAGCTTTCTTGGCTCTCTCTCTTTCTGTCTGTCTCGTATATAATACGTCTATCCAGCGTCAGCCAGAGTTATTAGGTAATGTACTTTGTAGTCAGCCTTTGCTGCCGCTGAACTGCACACAAGTACAGGCCGCGAATACGAATGTTATATATACAAGAGGCTCAGACTCAGGATCAAAGCTAGGTGGGGTATGCGTAGAAATTGCAAAAAATAAAACAAAAAAGAATAAACGTCCTGGTCGTCTGTCGGTGCGGCGGACGAATATATGAAAGTAATGCCGGGACACAGCACAAAACGTTTGAGCTTCATCCCTTTGTTTTCGAGGCAAGATGGATAAAATAGCTTTTGGCTATATTTACCCGTTGCTTATGAATTTTCTTGTGTCCAAATATTTTTTTATTAAAAATACCGACGACGAAGCAGCGGAACAAAAAGAGAAAGGAAAAATAACGGATGAGAGAGAACGAGAAATGTAATATATATCTAGGCTGGTTTACGGACTTGCGGTACTAGTATATTACAAATATACAGTTTCATGCGTGCACGTGTGTGTGTGTACGATACATCGCATTTATATAAATTACAAAGCGGTCAAGAACGGAATAATAAATATCGCTGAAATTATGCAAAGGTAGTCGCGCGCACTGCGCGAGCCGAGCGCGAAGTTAATGCAGTTGCAGCTGCGCGCGTTTATATATTATATACTGCCTCGCTCGCGTTTCGCGTTTTGCGTTTCGTTATGCTAAAGGCTAATGCTCCGTACATAATATAATATAATGTAATTAAATAAACGCAGAAAAGCTCTCGGGCTTTTTGACTCGACATCATATTACACAATACGGCTTTTTTGAGCTTGCTGGGAAGGGAACTAATAATAATGTATACCGAAAGTGCACGAGGTGAGTCGGAGCGGATAATTTTCGAGATCCAACAGCCTAATATCGTGTGCTGCTGCGGGTAATGTAGCAGGGGGTGACGTGACGTTAGCCTAGACCTAGTGAACCGAGAGCCGAGCCTATACGTACGCGGGGGGATATAATATCGATCGTTACATTTTGTGCTTCTCTCGGTACAGAGCTTATACAGCACTATATACCGAATGTACATATACCTATGTATGCTATAGGAAGTGTTATGCACTTCCTATAGTCGCGCGCGCAGTTCCGTCTGACAAAAAAGTTTCTCTCTCTCTCTCTCTCTCTCTCTCTCTCTCTTTCCCTTTTTCCTTATTCCACAGCTTTTTCTCTACTCTGCTCTCGCTTGTCTCGCTCGCTCAAACGCGCGCGCCTGCAGCAGCAGCCGCCTGCCCGCCGAAAGAAACGAGGCGGCAGCTAACGAGTTCGAATATAAGGGAGAGAGCGAGAGACTTTTTGCGCGCGAAAAAGTTGCGCGCACTTTTTTGCGGCAGTTTTCTATTTACTTTTATGTCTTTTTTTTGCGCCTCGCGCGCGCGCGCGTTTCATATCGAGAAGATAAGTCAAATATAATATGAGCGGTTGCTGCACACTTCCACCGCATCTGTGCAATACTTATGCACACGGCCCTTTTACGCACACACACACACACACATTCGGAAGTACATTCGAAGAAATTGTGTACGTAGCCTAGCGCGCCTGAACCCACGACGACCTATTTTCGACCTAAAGCGCTCGACGCGGCGCGTCTATTTGCACGCGCTATTACAAGCGTATATGGATTTTTTTTCGTGTCTTTTATTCGACGCGATACGTCCCTACTGTACACACACACGTACTCCTTTCTTTCTTTTCCTCTTTTTTTTGAAGCTATTGTTGCGATTTCGAATGAATAAGCTCTGAAAGCTCGCGGACTTCGTACGAACCCACACATATCGTCTTCGCGAGCGCAAACACGAGCTTCTCTATCCGCGGACACAAGATCGATCGGCGAGGAGAAACTTTTTTCCGAAATTCAAAAACATTTTGCTTGTATACTTCGCGTAGTCGAGGAGTTGTTGTGCTGTATCATGCCGACTACTACTAAAACCTGCTGCTACACACGAGCTTTGTGATATACTTTTTATTTTGCGCGAGTCTAGCTTGCGAAATCAATTGTTGCAGTCCATATAGGTACGCTACGTGCCACTCGGGGCTCTATACACGACGACCTGAATCCATAATGGTCGCGTAGGCTCGCAAGCACAACCAACATCAATCAGTTGCTCGGGTGCACATTCCAGCATATTAGAAAACGAGCGCAGGAGAACCGTAAAAGGAGGAATACAATAAATGGAAATAGCGCGCGGGGGCGTGTGCACCACGTGCCAAGAGAGAATGTGAGAGAGAGAGAGAGAGAGACAAAAAGTCCATAAAAGAAAATGAGTGGAGCGGAGGGAAGGTAGGGCAGCCGGGTCAATGGGGTAACACCATCAGTAGTAGTAGTATACATATAAGGCTGGCTAGTGATTATACACCATTCGTGCCCGTAATCGATGGAAGTTAACTTTCGAGAGGTTTTTTTTGCTAGCAAAAGATTTTTAATATTTCATCCTCCGCGCTCTTGGCTGGCTGTACTAGCTAGATCCGGGGGAAGGACTTTTTTATTGGTCGAATTAAAAAAGTGAAAAAAGTGCAAAAAAGATGAAAAAGGGAAAGAGGAAAAGAGTCAGCTGAAATTTTTCGTCAGATAAATCGCTCGAATGAACAAGCAGTACCACTAGCCGTCGAGAGAGAGGCGAGAGCGACCCGGTAATAATAGAAATGGCTCGCGCGTCATGTACTACGGGTGTTCCCGTATGATTCATGCGGCAATGCTGCTCTCCGTACTCGCAAAGCCAAAACAAATAGAAAAAATAGTAGAAAGAAAGAAAATCACTCTCGATCGCGTAGCCGAGTGTATAAGCGGCGTGGAGGTTGTTGGCACAAAAACACAGAAAAAAAAATGTAGCAGCCCCGTCCGTGGCAAATTTCCATTATATCGCGCGCGCGAGTTCGTGCTAGTAATACCGGCTAATATAAATGTATAATATGCCCTGCGTGTGTGTGTGTGTGTAGTACGTACGACGCGTATAACGTGTGTGTGCTACTACATATAAATCGATCCTACCGCGTATACTGACCTATGTGCCAGCGTACAATAATAATTACATACCTGTCAAAGAGACGCATAGAGTCCAGATGCCGCCATGCATGGGTACGATAAAAGCCGGCGCTGGTGCCGTATTTTTGTCGTTGTTATGCTTGTTGATCAAGTGTACTCCCACTGCATCGACGACGGAATGAGATTGTTGCTGCTGCGGCGGCGGCGGTGGGGGTGGTGGTGCGTTACCGATTGTCTGAACGACCCGATGATCCTCATCGACGCGCGGACGATTGTTGTAGGCAGAGTCGAGCTTGCCGACCTTGTCGTCCAGGTACCAGCGTATTCTGGGGCTGACGTTGAGCCTGTCGAGGATTTCGCGGTCCCAGTAGACCTCCTCCCAGTGGTCGGACATGATGGCGCCGCAGAGCAAAATGGTGGCTGTTATAAAACAAACATTTCATCCATCGTATAGATATATCGGACTCGCGTGGAGGAATCTAAGGCGAGAGTAGGCGCGATCGCGTGGCTGTAAGCACACAAGATCGAGGGCAATAAAAGGCGCGAGAATCGACACTTGGTTTGGCGCGGAGGCCTCGGGAGGATTTTGTTTCAAGGAACTTCGGCCTCTGCTATTTCAAAGTCGAGAGCGCGCGCGAGTTAACTTTGACTTTATTATTATAGCTCCACACAGACATCGAGAGCTACGTGAATCGCACGAAGCTGTTGTGCAATATAATTCAAATTTACGGCAAGTATACGTACCAGCCACGGTAAGGGTGAGCGTAGCGAATAGAAAAATAAGCCTCGGAGCTGGACTTCGAGGTATACGGCTCGACGTGTCCATCATGTTGTCTCGATCCCCGTCGTACTCGTCGCGATTGCCGTTGAAGCAGTCCGATCGATCCCGATCGTCGGACAAAGACGAGGAGGACGAGAGGCTGGACTCTCGGTAGCGTCCAGCGCCTTCCTGCTCCCAGCGATAGTGATGGTAGTAGTCCTCTTCTTCCTCCTCGCCGTTGTTATTGCCGCTGCTATTTAAAGAGAGCAAGGGCTGCTGCTGCTGCTCCTGCTGCTGCTGCTCTTGACGAGGTCTCCAGCTCGACGAAGACCTTCGTCGGCCGCCACTGCGGCCAGAGCCGCCGCTCGCAGCCCTTAACGTCCACCTCGACCAACGGATCTTCAGTTTATACGAAGAAACGACCCGAGGATTGTAAAAGAAGAAAGGGTCGAAGCCTCTCTCGAACTTTTTAAACTCCCGAAGTAAAGATTTCTTTAGGGACTGGTACAAGCTCGTGTTGCTGTGTCGCGCTCCGACGTCCGACGCCGACTGAGTGAGGCAAACATCTGCGATCCGCTGGCTGCTGCTGCTGCTGCTGCTACTGCTATCGTATACACATGCATGTGCAGCATAGCAGTATATATATAAGAGATTACACGGACACGCGGTACTAGCGGCAGCAGCCTTTGCGCGAGGGGGTGGCGGTAGCGGCGTCGGGTGGACTGTGCAACTGCGATGTATGTACCACATCGCTCGCGCGGGACTCGCTGCACAAACTGCAACGTATATACGTACATAATCCTATACGTACCAGTGGCGTTTTAATGCTGCCTCGCGAAAACGCGGATTATACATCGATGGCCTAATGCGATTATATGTGTACACATGCACACTCTATGCAGCTATGCGCTACTAGGACCGGACGCGCGCCACGGCTACGTCGGAGCTGGCGCCAAAATCCCTCGCGCGCTCGCGACCGAGCCCTCCCCGGACTGCATTATATATGACAAAATACCGCCGTGGATTTTCGCGCATTTGCTCGATGCTGTTGCTGCTGCCATATACTCTCTCTGTTTACGAGCGACGATCGTGACTTTTAGCTTTTTCATGTTTGCCTAATATTCCGAACTGATATTTCTATCGGAGGAAGTTTTTTTAATTTTACTTTTTATAACTTTATCGTATCGATTATCGTTCAATGTTACGAGTTTAAGATAACTAAGTCAAGGGAGAGTTTTAAGACTCCAATACAGGGATCATTTTTCAACAACATTCCGTTGATTTTGGTGTAGTTTCTTTCTTTTTTATATGAAAAACTTGATTAAAAAGTCTCACGAAAAACCTGTGCTTCAAAATATTTCAATATTACCTTGGCTTCGCTCAAGTACGTCAAATCGATACTCGATACTTACGGATACTATATTGAAGGCAACGATACTCAATACACTTTTTATCTCCAATATACTGATATTCTACTGATACTAATATTCGGTCTCCGAGTGCACTACTACTGGCTTACAAAACGTTTTCACTCTAATATTTCACTCACACATTACCGAGAACACAAGTGGATCGCTGATTTTCCTTCTTCCTAATACATAGCCTCATTTCGAAGATATTTGCGATCGATGAAAAATCAAATGCTTCACGAAACATCTATTCACCAAAAATAAGATTTTTTTTCAATCGATTGATATCCTGCTCGGCTGGTCCTTATTTCCCAAGTTGTTCTGATCTTCGCTCCAGACGTTGATTCTGGTTTCTAGGGTGTAAAAAATGAGAAAAATACTTATATGAGTTAAAAAGGTAATAGTTAAGACGTGCTGAAACTCGAAAAGTCAAAAATTTTCCAAGACTTTTTTTTTAAGTTCTCAAAAAATTCTTGGTGCACCCGAACGGCTCGAGCGAGACCCGCGACACTTGTTGATCGTGCGTCAGATCGACGAGCATGTCGATCGCGGCGCCGGCCACGCTTTCGTCGGTGTGCCTGGATAATTGCTGCAAATTTTTATACACACAAGCAAATTAAAAATTGTCGAAGTTGATTCAATTAATTTATAATTTGATATATAAGTATAGTATTTAATCACAATTAATAAAATTGCTCAGATTTAGCGACAATTGTTGCCACTAGATGTACAATTACTTTTTATTCAATTTTTTTTACTACACACGCTTACAAAGAAGCATACAATGATCTGAAAGTTGCTACATACGAAATCGTTCCTTTTATCACCTGTAATGTAGAGTATGCTAATTACGATATTCAATGATGCAAAAATTAATCAGCTTACACTACTGCAAGTGTCAAAGTTCAAATCGATCGTCGGCCCAGCCACCAATACCAGGGGCTGCATTGACATTGCCATGGTCAGTATTAAAAACTTCCTAGCTTTTGTGGGATAATTATACCAGTTTACGCAATAGCTAAATGAAAATGATACAAATTACTTTTATAAAACTGTACAGACTTTTTTTACTTCTACTGAAGGTTAATTTTTACGTTTGATGGAAAAAGTTATTGCTGGCATTGCACATCAATTGACTTGGAATACAGGTTTCAATTATAACAATTAAAATATTAGTAAATATAGCAAACATTTTTGCAGTTTCCGTTAAGTCCGAATTTGCAAGTGAAATTATCATCTGAATTTATATCGAAATGAATTCGTTGCATTTATTTTTACTATCTATGAAAACTTACCCATGTTCCACATAGAATGAGAAGGAGTCCACCTATTACCATTATTCCTAGTCCTATAGGACTTACCAATGAATGAAACGTTTCAAATAGTCTAAAATCAGCAAATAAATTGTTTCGTCAAGCTTTGAAATAACAAGTATTATTCATCACTTTACATGTTGTCTTTACTAAAATGATATCGAAAAAATCTTTTTTAACACTGCGTGCGCGAAACACGGGCTTTCTAACCTTAAAGCGTCAGAAAACCCTAGTTTCTCGCAAGCAGAGTTAAAAAATATCGTTTGCAACTAGTCCGCGAGGAAGTTGACTCACCCAGGAGTCTTTGCACCCTCGCTACGCTCGGGTGAAAACAACTCCTGGGTGAGTCAACTGCTTCGCGCACTTGTTACAAAATATACTATATTTTGTTTATGATACTAAAAATTGTTGGAAAAATTTTTTCCATAAAAAATAACTTACTCAATGCAATTCTGATGTCGACGAATTATTGCTCTGAGTTTTCTGCAAATCAAGTTGGTTTTAGTTTCATCAAGCTCAGGAATCTTTTGGTCAAATTTGCCGTCTATTTCATTTAACATATATCTAAAATTGAAGAATAAGCAGTTCTTCAAATTATAAAGCAAACTACTACAAGCTTTTAAAAAAGTTATTCAAACGTTTTTACGTACTCTAAATATAGAAGCTGTCCAATGATAACGCCTGCGTATATGCATACATAATAATGAATCGTTTCCGCGCCTGCGACCAGTAAAATAACCATAATAAACTGTACAAAAAAAATGCAATAAAAGTATTCATTTTCATCAAGAAAAAGCTCGATCTTCATTGGTAACACTTTTTCGTATGTTCGATTATTTGGATATAACCATGACAAAATGGTAATGTTAACTACTGGAGCTAAGACGTAGCTTACACACATTATTAGAATGCCAACTGTAAAGAAACGTACTAGCGTGTTACTGAGCGTATTATTATTATCGCTTTCGAAAAAGATGCAGTTATTACCCGAATGAATAGTACTAAACCAGAAAGCCTTTGTGATTATTTTATCAAAGATTCGTTGCCCAACTGAATCACTGCTTTCAAACAGTCTAAAAATTATTGACAAGCACCTAGTCATCTGACATAAATAAATGACTGAAATAAATGTTGGCGAATGATCATCTTCATAAAAGAAAAAAGTTCACTTACCTTACTTTGGTTATAAAATACGAAAGTAAAATTATACAACATTAATAAAAACAATAAAATATTCATAAAACATTCAATTATACTGTTGCTGTTAGTGTTATCCTTTTTAAATTCCTGAAGTACTTTCATGACCTAAATATATAGTCTAATATTAAAAAAAACTTGTATACGCTTATAATAATTCTATTATTGAATTTTTATTGAATTTACTTACTGAACAAATCGGCAGAGCTAATAATAGTGAAAGAATAAAAAATCTTCCTGTAGAGTGCGTACGTGAACTTTGTCCTGGCCACAAACACATGCATTTTGCAATGAATACAAATAAAGAAAATCGAGAAGCTCCTAAAACGTCCATGCATTTTCGGGCTTCTTCCTCTATGTTAGCGATATCTGAATTAACCATGTTTTTGATGAATAATAATTTTCAGAGTGGCATACCAATTTTTTTTATAAAACATACAGGCATATGATGTCATGACAACTAATTCAAAAAAAATTATTACGACCGAGTATTATATTGTCAACAATAAAATGTGAAAGGCGACAAATAAGAAATGTATTCATGTGAACAAAACCCGAGTTAAAGTTTAAAGATAGAATTGATATGAATTATATATGGATAGTGTCACAAAGCTTTTCGTTCGAGCTAACTGCGGTAAAGGGTACCAGAGTGACCGAACGGTTCGTGTATTCCACCACACGTGCGTGATCTTAGCGTAACCGTCCTTGACACTGACCAATTAAAAGAATGTGTTTTGAACGATGAAAGTTTTGTCGCGGTATGGATAACAGATAATGCTGCAAACATGCGTAGTGCTATTCAATTATCAGCCGAGTGGACAAGAATTTGCTGCTTCCATCATACGGTTCATTTGACTGTGAAAGATGCGGAAAACCCCTTCTAAGATTTGGTAAAAGTTGTTTAAAAAGCTAAAATAATTGCCACATCTTTTCACACAGCAAAACGTCAAATCACCCGTTGCACCCATTGCAAGGCTACACGGATATCCGATAAATGAACCCAACTCCGCACACATTTCGCGCTCGAAAATTCGAACTCTCTATCGCTCGTCGCTCGCACGGCGCGAGCCCAGCGCCAAAACAAAATAATACAATTTATCCCGCGCTCGCTCTGCGGGGCGGTTCGTTTCGCGCGCTAGCAATATCTGCCGCCGCCGTCGCCGACCGTTGAAACGAGACAGACACACACTTTGGCAAAACGCGCGCACACACGCATCTGCTCGCACAAGCAAGCGAATTAATATATAGCCCGCGCCCCGCACACTTGCTCACGCTCAGCGGCTCAGGCAGTCTCGCATATTCTTCCGGAACCTCCTGGCGAATACATCTCATCTTGCCTATACCAGCGACTCGCTCACAAGCGTCCCTTCGTTTATCCTTTTGCGGATCGTCCAACGGATTTCAGCTTTTAACCGTCTTATAGCGCAAGCTATAACTTTCGTTCTTCAAGATTGCACCCAAACCGTTTGAAACCGAGTCGAACAACGTGAGTACATACAAAATTCGATAATCGCCTTTCTATTGTTAATTCGCGTTGATTCGTGTGTAACATTGTCGTTGATCGTCGGCTGATTAAGGATCGTTTGAGGCTTTTGTTTTACACTTTGATTATTTCGTTAAGCTCGTAATTACATTCACGTTTTTGATATTCGAACCAATCGACTGTCGTTCAAAGTCCGAGTCCATTTAAAATCTATAATTTGCAATGCAAATTCGTTAGCGAGTATTTTGAGGTTATGACACACGCCTGGCTCTTTGTCCGAACGGGTTCTTCGTTAATTTGTTGATTTATGACAATACTTCACGCGTAATTCAATGATTTTGATAAATTATTAAATTTTCATCCAATTTGACAAAATTTTGATCAACGTACAATGACAAGTAGCCAGTAACGTCTCGATCTACCGCGACATTGCCGGATTTATTTACAAACTTCGAATCGAATTGACAACGGCTATTATTACTTTCGTATTGACAATTAAGATCTTCGAGACGATCTATGCTCTTGAATCATAACATATTATTAACATCAATAACATAACGCGATATTTTCACCGGCTAACTGTGTAAACTCGTTGTTTTTGGAAAAAGGCGCGTACTCTATCGATGTTCTGGTTTGCCCGCCTATTCGTTGGCGGATCGTCATCGTGTGTATTACAATCGTAAACAAAGATAATAGACCACCCCATTCAAATTGAGATTTGCGTGCGAGTATCATACGTTACGAGTAGTATTTTCAATTTTCACTTATAACTGTATGATGTCAATTATGTGACAGATGAATGTTATAAATTTTGAATTAGTAATTATGATCATTCATTGTAATTTTTCTTTGAGAAATTAAACTATAAAAAACGCGACTGACGTGTTACTTGAGTAGTAAATTTTTTATTCGTACTTATAAATTTTATGAGCCAACAAAATTAACTTCAACTTAGTTGATTAAAATTTTCACAATCTTGTATGTCTCCTAACTAATTAATTATGTTAATTTATAGATGTCTAATGAAGATGTTATCATGACTGACCCTGCCAGCTGCATGGCTCAGGGAAGACGCAGTTACTTGCTGAGCGATTTCAATTCAGCAGTTACTTTCTTTGGCCAGGCATGCATGCTCTTATCTGAAAAGCACGGTGAAGTGGCTAATGAATTAGCCGATCCCTACCTAAATTATGGCAGAGCTTTGCTTAATTTGAACCGCGAAGAACAGGGTGTACTGGGTCCTAATGTGCCTGGTACTGAGGACGCTGAAGAGGAAGAAGTAGAAGAAGACGGGTAAATTGACAAATTCTAACTTTCACACCAATATAAAAAATATAAATTCTAAAGTAATTTAAATTATTCATCCAGAAATGAGGAGAAAGAGGAAACCAAAACTGACGACAAAGCTGAAACTAATGATGACAAAGTGGAAGCTAGTGAAGACAAGGTGGAAACTAGTGAAGACAAGGTGGAAACTAGCGATGAAAAAATGGAAACTATCGATGAGAAAGTGGAAACTAGCGAGGAAAAAGTAGAAACTAGTGATGACAAACCTACTAATGGTGAAAAGTCTAAAGAAGAACCGGAAGAAACTGATGCCAAACCAGAAACTTCTACTGATGCTACTGACGCTAAAGAAAATGGAGAAGCTTCTCACTCAGAACAAAATGGTGAAGGAAATGACAGTGAAGATGAAGATGACGATGAAAATAAAAGTAACTTACAGGTAAATAATGATTTTTTTAAAATATTTTTAAAAAATCACTCATAATGATAAAACTAATATAAGATTCTTGTATTATAGCTTGCATGGGAAGTTTTGGAACTCTCTAAGGTGATCTATTCAAAACTACCAGATTCTGAATCAAAACTTGCTGAGATTCACAGATTGCTTGGTGAAGTAGCAATGGAAAGCAACAATCTAGATGATGCTGTAAATGATTTGGAAAAGTCTTTAGAATTGTATAGAGGTCTCACTCCTAAAGATTCCAGATGTATTGCTGATGTACTTTATCAACTTGGTAAGAATTCAAATCATTGATAAATTTTGAAAAATCTGAGAATATTTATTCATCTGATTGCAAAATCCTGTTTAGGTTTGGCAAGTTCTCTTCAAAACGACTTTGAAAAAGCCATTGAACGATTCACAGAATCTACAGATCTAATAAAGGGCAGTATCCACGATCTCCAACAGGATCCACCAATTATTTTTGATTCGTCTATAAACGTGGAACAGGAACTTAAGGAGCTCAAGGAATTATTGCCAGAAATTGAGGCTAAAATTGCTGACATGCGTGAAATGGATCAAAATACAGCCAAAGCTGTCCTTGAAAATGTGAAAAAATACATGTCTGGCGAAACGACAAACGGTGCAGGACCAAGCGGCGCTGGTAGCTCTGGTTCATCGTCTGCATCCACGTCCACGGCTAAGGAAGTTAAAGATATTTCGCATCTTGTACGCAAAAGCAAGAGGAAAAACGAAGATGAGACATCTGAACTAGCATCTCCCTGTAAGAAACCAGTTATCACCCCATCTGAAAAGTCTGTGTAGGCTTACATCAGTTGACTTTTTTTTAACTTCTTCGACGTCTGATTTTTGTTATTCAGGTTGAGACTTGACAATCAAACTGGATGGGGATCCTATCAGTTAAATAGTTAAGAAACTCAACCATAAATTAAGAAAAATTTAATAATTAAGGATAACTTCCAGGAAATACAATGTCTCTATTAGTATAGTTTGTAAGTGACTTTTATTTATTTTTTTTTATTTAATTTTTTCTTAAATTTTTAACTCAAGAGACAGTATCGTTAACTAGAAGATAATGCTGTAATTTCCATCGAAAATAATTTATCATGACAAAGTAACTTGGTAAATTAAAACCACTGTTACTAAGTTAACTGACCACGATAATACTATTATGCTCTCAGATTCATTAAATGAAAGCTGATTTTTATACACTTTTCCAGCATCCAATTTTATAAGCTATGTTTAAAAAATTTGCAACTTTTAAACTTGAAATAATTTTTTTTATGAAATCAGAATTAGAAGTCAAGTTCAAGAGTGTGTTGTTCTTTGTTTTATTCTTGTTATGTACGACCATTTGATCAATGAAGACTTGATAACTACGTTAGCCAGTAAAAATAGTATCATTGAATTATTAGCAAAATGTAAATCACATTTAATCTCATAATAATTCATTCCGTTATCAACATACTTTAATCATTTAATTTAGTTTATGATTCAAATGTTATGTAACAATAAAAATATCTTTTGTAGCGAATATAACAGATTACTTTAATTATTTAGCCAATTTCAAAACTTAATTCCATTTAAAACTGAACAGAGTAACATTAATTACAAGACCTTGGAATACAGAATATCATCAACAAAAATAAGTACATTTCAATCTCCCAACAATTCTTCTATATCGTCATCGCGATCCACCAATTTTTCTTGCTCGATATTGGCCTTGAAACCGAGCTTTTCGAGTATCTTTTCATCATAGTAGTAGGTGAGATTAATACCGGGCACCAGACGTTTTAATTCTTCGACTGTTGCTCGAGCTTTTTCCGTATCGCCCTTGCCGATAAAATGATGGGTAATGGTAGCAAATAAATCACCTCGACGCACTGATTGCTCGAGCTCTTGACCTTGCGAGTCCAGAAGAAAACGTACTTGGCTCATAGCTGTATCGGTCTCTCCTCGTTCAAAAAGTCTACAGGTAAATACAAGTAAACAATTATAACTTATTGGTCGGCGATAATAGTCGAACATTTTCAGTACTTACTTTTTGATATCGATGTACCTCTTGATGGTAGTCAATCTGCCATTGACAACGTCCACCGCTCTCCGATGTACGTCCGGATCCTTGGGCTCGATGACTTTGGCCAAGCATCTGCTCGCCTGATTCAGCGCGTCGACGGCTTTCTCGTAATTCTGAAACTCGTCTATCTCCACTTGAGCGCAGGCGACGTAAAAATTCGCCAACAGATCCATGGCCTTGCCCTTCGAGTAAAAGCTAATGATATTCTTCAGGACTTCCGGCTGATTTTGCCAGTCGAGCGACTGCAGGTAATTACCGGCCATGATGTAAATCTCGCGCTGACGCGAGACCTGAGCGAAGAAGCAGATCTTCTCGGTGTCGCCGGACTTGAGCAGGACCTTCATGGCGCGCGGTTTGTTGCCCGCCTGGGTGAACTTCTTCGTGGCCAGATGAAGATTGTTCTGCCTCAGCGCGATCTCGCCGATGCGTTCGAGCATGATTAAACGCGAGCGCTCCTTATCCGCGTCCTTCTCGGGCTTATCCAAAGCCATCTTCTCGGCCAGATCCTCGGTCAGGTTGATGTCGTGCTCCTCGATCAAGTCCAACGCCTCCTCGTAATACTTGCCAATGGCTAAGAGATCGACGGCCTTGTCGATCTGCGAATTTTGTACGAAATATTCGGCGCACTTCTTGATCAACGCCGGATCCGAGTCGGCGTTCACGTCCATGGTTATCAACTGCAGCGCGTTGTACTGCTTGGTCTTGAAGGCCAGGTCCAGGGCCCTCTTCAGAAGGCCCGCCTTGTGATACAACAGAATAGCCTTGTCGACCTGCTCCATCTGCTCGTAATACCTCGCGACGTCGATCTGCGCCTGTCTCGGCGCCATCATGGCCAGAGGCCACAACTCCTCGTGCATGTCGTGCTCTTTGCAGACCCTGATCGCGTTGGTATAAGCCCCAGCCATCGTGTAGAAATGCACCGCCTGGCCGATGTTGTTGCGAGACTCGTAGTGCGCGGCCAGGTGGTAAGCGGAGGCCGGATGACGGGTGCGATTGACCACGTCGCAGGCCTCGCTCTCGCGCTCGAAGTAGCACAGCAGTCGAGTCTGCGAGAGGCTGTCCTGGGCCTGCTCGTACAGTTTGAGGGCAGCCTCCATGTCGTTGCTCGATTCCGTGTACTGGGCGTGCCAATTTTTTATCTCTCTGTAATTAAAGCGAGTGTCAGAGCTTGAAACAATATTATGTAAAAAAAAAAAATAATACTTACGAATCGTCCGAATTTACGAGATAAGTTTGCAGATCGCGAGGCGATGCCAGCAGCATCCGGGGCACCTCGAACCTATGACACTCCGCCTGGGTATACATCTCGATGGCCTCCGTAATTTTGCCGTTCGACTCGAGCGCCCGAGCGTAATTGTAGCAGCTCGTCTTCTCGCGTATCTTGTCCTCTTTCTTTGCAAGCTCTATCGCCTCCTTGAATCTGTTGCGAGCTTCCAGCAGCGAGCCGACGAGGTCGAGTCGTTTGGCTTCGCGGAACAAGCGATCGGCGTCGTCCTGCATATAGGTACAAGTCTTGATATCGCTCAATTGATTTTGTACTCAAGTACTCACGTAAAGCTCCAATTCTACAGCCAACACTCCGACCTTCGCCTCCAAGTTCAGAGTGTCGTCCTGCATGGCTTCTCTCAGTGCTCTCGCGCTTCTGGCTTTCTTCATGTGGCCCAGGCACAGCATCGCCATGTCCAGCTGCTTCGTCTTCACGCACATCTTGGCCAAGCTCTTCCACACGGTCTCGTTCTGAATCGTCTTGATGGCCTTGAAGGCCTCGTCCATGTTGGCGATACTCAAGTAGAAGCAAAAGTCGAGGATGGCCCGCTTGGTCGTCTGGTCGCACGAGCCCAGCTCCTCGAAGTCTCGCATCAAGAGCCGCGCAGTCTTGCTTTTGCTCGTCTTCTCCGAGTCGAGCACCACCAGGTAGGGTGACTTGACTCCCAGCAAGCGGCTGTTGACGTCCTTGATGTCGCGCGTGTCTTGGACGACGATACCGTGCTCGGAAGTGACGAACATCGTTACCAGCACGACATTGGCTGTTTCGTGACTTTTTGCCTCGTCCGACGACGATTTCGGATTGAAGCTTTCCGGTTTTTGAGCTCGACATATGAGTAATCGAGAGTCGTCGATGTCCCAGCAGTGCGCTGTTACCAGTCGACCTTTGCATTTCGCTATTCTGAATGAGAGATAATTTTTCAAATACCACTCTTACTTAAAAAAAAAAAAATCAAATTAAATAAAGACTAACTCACAAAGGAGAATCATTATCATCGTCATTATCTCCCGATGAAAAATCAAACTCGTGAATTTGATCACTTTCAATATCCCAAACATAGAGTATGGGACTGGGCATGAGATTAGCCATAGCGACGGTGATGGACACGTATCTACAATCGGAGTTGCATCTGGCCTCGATTATTTCAGCGAAATCGCTGATTGCTTCGTACGTAGCCATGGCTCTCGTATGGAGCTTGGCCTCTCTCTTGCTCAGATCCCAAATTTTCAAGATCCCATTCAGAGACGCTACCGTGAGAAAATCGCCGGTCATTTCCATGGTTATGGGCTCGCCCTCTTCCGGAAGCGTAGGCAGAGTTTGAATTATCGTTCCCTCCTCGATCGATCTGAGTTGGATCGCTTGGGGTGTCAGGACGATCAAGGTCGAGTCGCGCAACAACAGCTTCTCGGTTTCGCAGCTGAAACTCGTCACTACCGTTGTCGTGGGTGGGCTATCTTGACTCATTTTATAGACTACACCGTGTCTGCCCGACGACACGGCGATGTAGCTTCTGTTTACAGCTGTCGCTTGAACTTGTAAGTCAGTTTTCAGAGTGAATATTTGTTCTAGAAAAAATATTTAAAATTAGTACAGTTAATTTGTTTGAACAACAAATCGAAAGATATAAACCAACCAGGTTCATGTATTTCAATGAGTAATTGAGTGGGACTTATTTGACTGGCACAAACTCCATCATTGTACACTGCACACATTGGTTGTTGATGTAAAATGTATACATTTGTTACACAATTAACAGCTAATAATGGACTTCTTAATAATATTGCACCCCAAGTGATTTGCTTAACGGTACCAGGAACCGTACAAGAATCTGGTATCGCAGGCCAAGAATTTTCTTCACTTTCAGAACCTCTGATTTTACGCTTCCACAAATAGATTGTTCCTAGGTTTGATCCAGCCACAAGGGTATCTAAAATTACATAGAATACATAGACAATAATAGAAGCTTGCTTTTATTTCTATATGAGTTGTGATTGCCTACCATTAACTTTACAATAGGATAAACTTGAACAAATTTCTTGGGGAGCAGCCAAATTTCCAGTTGTGTTCTGCTCTGGTGGCGAGAGCAAATATGTATCTCCAGTGTGCAAATCCCACAATCGTATTGTTGATTCACCAGTAAGAATGGCTAATGTATTGTTGCCAGCCCAACACAAAGATGGACCACTTTTAGTATTATCACTTTTACCACTTAGTTTCACCTAAAATAATTATTGCATTAATTGTGTTTCCATTTCTTGAAGACCACAAATAATTGATCCAGTTTACCTTTGTTATTTCTGTAAGTCGCCCAGTCACAGAGTCAGTTTGAAAATGTCCAATATGCAATCCTTCGCTCATTATCACTAAAGAATCTCTTGTTTGATGATGCAGTAAGCAGTGCAACGCTTGTCCATCCATATTCAATACTTGAATACACTGACCTTGAGCGTCCACATAAAAAACTACACCACTTATAGTTGCAGCATAAAACGCATGATTATCTCTTTGCACAGAGATTGATGTAGGAGCTGCAGTTCTTGGTCGCCATGAACTAAATAAATCCAGAGCTCTCTCGTCACCAGCTACTGCTGCTTTTGCCAAACCACTGTCAAAATTAATTAACTGAATAGAAAAAGCAATTAATTTTTAACATCAGCATTAAAAATATTTACCTAAAATCAACAGATGGTTTTGGAGAAGTTATTTTAAAAGCAATATGAGTTAAAGACTCTTTAAGTTCATGATGAAACATAATAGACAATTGATTTCTGCTATCCAGTCTCCAACCAACCAAAGAACCAACTATGTCACCCGATACCAATCTTCCTCCATGCTGACTCCATTGTAAAATGGTAATAGGATCCCTATGTGGTGTCACAATGATATTAAAGTCTCTTGACCCAGTATCTCCAGTCCATAACTGCCAAAAAATTCAATCATTGTAAGGCACTTTTAAATTGTGGAGTCAATTGCGCTGCAAACGTCATAATACCCTCAGCTCTCCACTTTCCCAAGTGACAGCCAGCCACTTGCGCTCGGGGTGCCATGCCAAGGCGGTGATTTGCGCCACCGAGTGTCCCGAAGACTCGACGTCCGGCAGAATTTCACCTTGATCATCGAACACAGTCACGAATCCACCCTTCTCTTGAGAAAACGAGGCGATCGCCAACAGGGGCAGATTCGCGTGCCATGACACGAAGGTATTGACCGACGCGATCTCCGGGTTCTGCACTCGCGTGTCGAAGTACAGCGACATCCCGATTTATACTTGAATTCACGTTTTCATCGCAAAGTTACAAAAAAATTGCGCGAACACTGAAATAGGCTCTTCCGCACCGAAATTACACTGAACGTCGAGTCGAGGTGCGTTTCAACAAAGTCGCGCGAGTCGCGGCGCGTTTCCACCGGCGACGGAGCCAGCCGATACATGTAAACATAAACAAACCCTCCTATATACGTACACTTCCCACTACACGTATATGCCGCTCAATGCCAATCGCCATAGTATCCTTATTTTTTACTTATGCCCACTATTCGCGTGCTGCAGGTGCATAGGCGCGCAGGACAAGGTTAATATCGTATCATCATGCGACCATAAGAGATACTTCAATGAACCAAAAAAAAAAAAAAAGAAAGAATAAACGAATTGTAGGTTTTCCTCGTAAAATTAATCGTTGCACGTAGGATAAATATATTATTTATATTTTGAGTACAAATACAAAATAGTACTTCACACACGCACATTAATGATATCGAGCTCAGCTTTTGTGCAGCCGAACGATCTGTTTGTGTAAAAATCTTAACATCTGTAATTTCACGAAAAAGAGACAAAACAAAGTGATTATAGTGAACCGTTGAAATGGGTTCAACGAACAAATTTTTTTGTACCTGATAGTACTTGCAGCGCTCGCGATCGGCCGTGTTCTCGAGCGCTCCAAGGATCTCCGTATACTTCTGCTCGGAGTCGCCGATAATCGAGCCACCGCCGCCACCGATATCGAAGTGATTTTCCGCGGCTGAGTAAGACAATGTTGGATTTTCAAGCCTGCTCTTCAGCTCCTTTATCTCTCTCTCCTTATCCTGGATCGCACGAACGAAAAATTGACATTTTTTAACATTGAGATTCGATGATCGACTCCGTTTTTGCAATTACATACAAATGCAATCGGAAAAAAAGTATGATTCGAATAAGAATGAAAATGTATTTTCACTAAATTTTTTTCCGATTGAGAGTTAAAAAAAAATCATTCAATCGGTGAATATGAATTCTTAGAAATACTTTGCATATATGATTAATTTTCTTCTCGTACTCTTGCTGCAGATTTTTCGTATACTTCTCGAGCCGGGCGACGTTTTTCTTTAGCGCCGCTATTTCCTGCTGATGATTGTCGGTCTGTTTCAGCGATACGTTCTCGAGATTACCGCGCATCTGGTGCAGCTCTTCCTTGATCGTTTTGTACTGCTCCAGTAGGATCGAGTGCAAATTCTAATGAACGAGGATAAAAGAAATGATTGCACTTTTTTTAGCCAAATGCTGCTTCGACGTATTTACTAACGTCTTGGGACTTGAGATCGAGCATCTGCTGGAGCTCGCGAACTTTTTCGCTGACACAGTCGAACTCCTGGGACTTCCTTTCTAACTCGGCTTTCTTCTGCTGCTCCGACTCCTCTCGCCTCCTCAGTTCCGCGTCCTTTTCGCGCAGCATCTTCTCGTACTCGTCTTTGATCGTCTGCAGCGTCTGCTCCCAGCGACGATCGGCCGAAGATCTCGTCGATTCGTCTTTGCTCGTTTTTTCCTGCTAAATCATTATCATTTTCAATGAGCTAACACATAGACCCCGTGGCGAGTATTACCTTATTTTCCGACACCTCGGCGAGCTTGTGCTCGATCTGAGCCATCTTTTCGTTCAGCTCTTGGTTCTCCTTGCGCGCATTTTCCAACTGCTGCTTCATGTGATTGAACTGCTCGGCCATCTTCGTCTTGTACTGCTCGACGATGTCTCTGTGTTTTATCTCGAGCACCCTCTTGATTTCCTGTACCTCGGCCAATCTGAACACACCCGCGAAAGTTCAAAATCATTAACTAAGAAAATTCGAGATAATCCCATCGCGTTTTCACACACTAACTTAGCCCTGAGCGTAGCGATCTCATTCACGAACTTCTTGATCTTGGCATGAAGCTGGGGTATCTCGCTCTTGGCCTGCGAGCAGTCGTGATAGTAATTCAGCTTCTCCCTCAGCTTCTCGTTCTGAGCTTCCAAATCCTCGATGATCGAGCTCATCGTCTCTATTCTCTCGCGATACGTACGCGTGGCGTTGCGCTCCGCGCGGACGCTCTGCTCGCAAAAGTGTACGGTCGTCGTGGTGGTGGTCGTTTGCGGTGGTCCTGCTGCCGCTCTGGGTGTCGCCGCCGATCGACTCGGCGGAAGCGGATGGGATGTGTCACCGCCGGCTACCGTGGACGCTTGAATGGGTGGCGCGTCGACGAGTGTACTGGTGTCGTCGTCGTCGTTGTCGGCTAGACGCGATCGGTTGGGACTCGGCGAGTGAGCCACGACGTAGCCAGCACTGACGGAGGCGCGATGTCTGCTCTTGGATCGTTTGCTCGTGGCGATCGGTATCGATGTCGATTGTGGAATAACCGGTTGTGGAGGAGCAGCCGCAGCGGGAGTACTCGCCAAGACTACCGATCCCGTTTCCTCGGTCGTCAGCTCGGTGCAAGACGAGCTGGTCACTTGTTGCTGCTGCTGCTGCTGCTGTGGAACTTCTTGTACGGGAGGAGGCGCCTGCTTGTACCTATCGTAGCGCGGAATCGGCACCAATCGGCCGTGTTTAGGCGGCATCTTGTCGAACGGCAATTTGAGCTGCCCGCGCTCTAGCTGATCGAGCAGCTCGGCCAAGTGCTCGTTACGCAGGCGTCTTTGATCGCGCGCCTTATTCAACCTCTCCAACCAGGCCCGACAGAATCGGCCCTCCACCGAGGCGTTGGCCAGTCGCAGCAGGTACGGTCTGGTCTTGGCCAGCAGGTCTTCGAACTCGTCGTCCATTCGGCGCAGCAGCTGCGCGTCGTCTTCGTTCGTTGCACGGGGCATGACTTTCTTAATCCTCTCTCACTCGCTCTCGATCAATCTTGTCGTTGGATTTTGGCAGCTGCGAGTTTTGTCAAGGGGTGTTTTCTACGAGGCATGACTGGCGCATGAGAGAGGCTACTGCTACGGAAAAGGGTTAGGATCGGTCCCTGGCGGCGTCGATCGATTTCGCGGGCGTAGTAAACACACACAAGACCTAATACAACATTCATTTGTTTATGTATAAAAACTAGAGTATTTATTTTTTCTTTTCTCTCCTTAATTAATTTATATAATTTTGTTACATCAAGGATCGTATAATTTAGACAAGGTGCTCTTCTCACTCTCAGGTACAGGGCTCGGGGCCTATGGTTATATTTTTTTTTTTTACACTCGGGTGCTGAGTTTAATTTGATTTTCAGCGGTTTGCTTGAGCTTGGTAAGTTTATTCTTTAATGGATAGACGTTTGTGCCGATCCACTCTTCCAAGGTTGAATTGTAGTATATCAGGTCCATTTGTACTTTCATGTAGTTTTCTAGAGCTGACAGTTCTAGTAACATACTGCAAAAAAGTTTGAAAGTTAGACAACAATTTGGAGTTTATTATCAAGACATATAGGTATCAACTTACTCCGTGAGAGCTGTGACTAGGCTTGTTATTTGCATGGGGTTAGTGTAATTATTTGCTACTTGCCAAGGATTCATCCATGTTAATATTCTGTAAGAAATAAAGAAGAGTTAGTTAAATTTACAAAAATAATATAAAAATGTTAGTACTTACTGTTCACTATTTACAAGGCCGTGAAATTTCGTTTTATAATTCAAGTACCATTCAATACCCACTGCTACTTGCCAACCAGGATATTGCAGATTGCTTGGTATAGGAATGGGTCTTGGTTGTGGAGTGATTAACAGTGGGAATTCTATGTAACCCAAATCTTTTGCTACTTGAACGTGTGTTTGCTCGTTATAGCCATGTAACCAGGTTTTCAAACATAAGGCTAGAGAGGGAATACTGGTGGGGAAGAGTTCACAGAGAGTTGCATAATGGTCATATCTGAAAAGATAAAAAGTTTTATTTCATGCTGATTGAAATTTTTAACGATAGCAGATAAATTATTCAACTGACCTTGACCAGCCTGTAAAAGCTATTCCTTTGAATTCGATGATTTTGTTGACATTCATACTGAGTTCTTCAAGCCATCGCTCATGATTACTCAGGTGATGTGTGATTGTAGGAATGTGTTGACAAGAGCCAGTAGCCCCTTTAAAAGCTGTTGCTCCCCATACATTTAGAAATACTGAACCAAATCGATCCCATAAGTCTGGTGGCAAGCCAAAAGTTTCTCTGCTGTTATAGTGCCATATCATTGGTTCAACATACTTTCCTATGTAGTACTCTGTTAAAATTGGAAATTATTATTCATAAATGATTCTCATTGATGATTTTATTTTTTATTAAAAATATTACCATTCATTACGCTTGCATCCACAGACCTGAGCATATCGTCCCACATGATAATTTTAAGGTGTGGATAAGTTTCTTTGATAAAATGTAGTACAGCCATTACGTGCTCTAAAAACAAGCCTGCTTTCCCGTGCTTTCCGGTACTAATTCTCTTGCTGCATGCTGCACACATACCCATATGCCAAACTTCATCTGCTCCAATATGCAAGTACTGAATATCCGGATGAAAGGTGACAATTTGCTTTATGAGCATTTTTACCAAGGGCAAAGCTCCTGGATTCGAGGGGCACATGGAACTGGGGAATGTTGGGACTTCTCTCAGTGATCTCCATTCTTCATGTTTCAAAACAAACTAAAAAGTAAATTTTATTGGAATAAAAAAGAATGGAATTTTTACTATTTATAAGTTCATTTTTCTCAAACCGACTTCCATATGTCCAAACGTCTGCACTAAAGGTATGACGGCCAATCCAGAATCACCTGCCAATTGTAAAATTTGCCGAGCCTCCTGTGCCGAGTAGCCGCTCGAGTAGGCATCCGGTCCGTTGCTGCCGATCGCCGCAAGCTCTCGCGTGTACGGAAACGTGTCCTCCCATTCCAGCAAGAGGCCAGTTGCGCCCCAAGCTCGCAGCAGCGGGAATAGCTACGATCGAAGAACAATTATATGAAGCTTTGTTAGTTTCGTTGAAACGCGAGATGATTAAAAAAGTTCGTAAAGAATAGGGACAAAAGTAGGAAACGGACAGGCGCGCGCGCGCGAGCTCGAATTACGACGCGTATAATACGTCCGAAAGACGTATATTAAAAATGCGCGTTATATTCGCAGCAGTAAGTAAGGACGTACCTTTTCGTAATAGCTCACTCGAAGCGGGGCGCCCTTCAAATCGATGTGCACCAGCCTGGAAATTCATGAAATTATCGTTTATAAATACTCGTGCTCGTTGCATGTAGCTGGACGAGAGATCGAGACTCCGAATTTCAGCATTTACGATCAATCGTACCCAGAATCGGATGCTCCCAAACTTGTTGGTTAGAAATTGCATTGTTTACCTGTGCGAGCCAGACGTCAAAGCATCCATTTTTCCCCTCTCTAGGCCCTGTTGTTGTCACACAGCTCAGCAGTAGCAGGAATATACACACGTGCGTGTATATACCTATATAGATGTATGGACGCGTCTGTATACACGTATAGGATGCCGCGAAATGTATATAAGCTACATCACAGCCATAATCCACAACATTATGCTTAGTGCGTTTCCGTCGCGTCGCGAATGCTACAAACGCGCTCGGGCGACTGACGAGCATTTGCGATGCATTTTGCAGCGAAGGCTGCTGTTACTCTGCTTGCAGCCAGTGGGGTACAACGTATACAATTACATGCTGTGATTGTGTGTGTGTATGCATGTATACAGGTGCAGCAGCACCAAACCCCCGAACCAACCCGCGCGTGACGCACACTGACATATGTATATAATACGTATATACCAGTATCGTTGACAGCACCGACGCGCACATGTACACGCTACACACATGTGTCACGTACACACACGCGTACTACTACTCCGATGTAAGCAGAGTAGTGATGAGAGAGAGTGAGACGGCTGCACTGCTGGCACAAGTTCAACGTACCTATATATGCTGGCTACGTCGTGTTAGTATTATGTATATATATATCGCGTGCATGTATATATGCCGGTATGGCTGCTGCTATACATGCGTACTAGACGTGCGTGCGCACGTGGTTATATTCGCAATTTCGCTGCTGGCATTTAAAAAAGTCACTCGTGTGTGTACAGTAGCGACATTTCGTGAAGCATCAATGTTTATCGAATTGGGAATTTCTGATGTTACTTTTCAGGCGGACTTTGGGATTTTTGGAAAATGATTCATCAAGAAGAGTTGTTTCTTTATTTTCACTTAAGTTTTTTTGTTTCTTTTATTATAATGGTGTTTTTTTTTTCTTTTAAATTATACAAAATTATACTATCCCATGTGTGCACTACTGGTTTTCACAAATGAGTAATTTTTTTTTTATCATCGATATCAAGTCGAGTACACTTGAGTTTTCGTCTATATCCCAGACATGCACCCATTGGTTTACAAACAAGGTTTTCTTTTCTTTTTTCGTTCGATGCCAATTCGTGTGCATTATTTTGGTTTACAAATGAGGAAGTTTTTGTTCACCGTTACAAGGTCTCGAACACTTGGGTTCTATCTATGTCCCTTGTGTGCACTATTGGTTTACAAATTGAATGCTTAGAGACTACTTTTTTTTACAGCCGGTATAGTTTTTTTTTGTCTTCATCGTTGTTTAAAGCTAAATGTTTCATTAAACAAAACCTGTACAAGTTTAATTGCTGTTGGTATAGAACAAAGGTATCGTAACCTTATTTTAGCTAGCTACTTACACATGTTGTATACTTTTTTTTTCTCACTAATAGAAAGAAACTATGAAACTTTCGTACTAGTAAATTTTGAGAATATTTACATTGAGAATTCTGTCGACTCTAAGATCTAAAGCTAATCCTATCAAGTCTTTGTCAGTTGCATAGCCTGAAAAACAAAAAAATTTCCAGGCAATATGAGTTTGAACGACAGTCAAACCTTTTAAAATAATGCTTTTTTTGTATAGGACACATTACATAAGCAGGGTAGCTTATAATTTGTGATATTTACAAAATGCTTGCGAGTGGGTGAATTATCGTTTTTTGGCCCTACTCGTCCTTCTAAGCCTTTGTCAGTAATTCACCACAGGCTGACTTTTCTTTCAAGAATGATTGGTACGTCCATACTCCAAGAACTGTTTGTGATAGAACAGAAGGTACGCCTCGCTATTCAGTACGTCGTCTATCTTGGCCTTTGTAATCGAGTGGTCGTCGCACTTGTACCAGTCGTCCTTCCTTTGCCGAATGAAGGACGTGTAGTGGCCGGTCTCGAGCGAGCCCTCGTGGTTTATGACCGCGAAGAGGGAGTACGTATTGAACTCATCGCCGGGCAAGTGCTCCGAAACGGTGGCGTTTCTTCGCTTCGACATGAACGGCGTCATGTCGAGGGCCATCGGGAAGCTGATAAAGGAGTTGATCTTCTTGTCCTGCACGCTCGAGTGCTCGAAACGCTTCAAGTGGAAGCTGGCGACGATGGGCAGCTGCTTCATCGTCAGCTGCTTGGTGCTCTCCTGGTAAGTCTGGCAGCGGCTGCACTTGATTTTGGCGCTGCTGCCGAGATGCTCGGCCCTCGTGAAGCGCTCCAGGCAGTCCTCGAGCGACTTGGGCGCCTCGTTGCCAGCGCCCGTGGTGGGCCCCAGGTCAAGCGATATGTCCCAGAAGGGATCGACGGTCGTGGAGACCCCGTGACAGGATTGACACACGACGTCGCTTTTCAGGCAGCCGGTAAAGATCTGATCGATGATGCAGCCGCAGTGATCGGGCTGGTCGATGATGACGGGCGCCAGCGTTTTCGGCGTGTACATCTCGCAGTGCCGATGCAGCACGTCGAGCGTGGCTATGAAGAACTCGTGGGCGTCCTGCTGCTCGTAGCCGGCCAGGTGGCGCGCGTGCGTCCAGATCATGTGCAGCATCTTGTGCAGTATCAGCGGGGTCTTCTGGCCCGAGTAGAACTGCTGAAAGAGCGAGGCGACCTCGCAGACGAGGCACTTCTTCGGGTCGGGGCACTTGTGCTTGTCCGCGAGGAAGAAGTCGCGCAGCAGAGGCGTGTGCACGAGCGCCTGCATGATGCAGTTCATGAAGCACGTGCTGCCGAGATTGATGAGGCCGCGCAAGCCGATCGTCGAGTTCTTCTCGATGCGTACGCGCCGAGGATGCTGGGTGAGCAGCGAGACCTCGTCCGAGCTCGCGTCCCACGGCCTGTAGAACTCGGAGAAATTGATGAATTTCGCCTTGAGGCTGAGATTCTCGTTGGCGATCTTGAGCAGCTCGTGATCGTAGACGTAGTCGCCGCACTGGAAGCACAGCACGTTGCCGTAGCACAGGTCGATCGAGAGGCAGTGGTTCTTGGTCTTGGCGTGCTCGTGTATGTGGCGATTCGTGTGGCAGCCGAAGAAGATGCAGTGCAGACAGGCGTGCGGCCGGCCCTTCTGCAGGTTGCACTCGTGGCATTTGCTGCTCAGTACCTGTGTCGTAAGAAAGCGAAAAAAGCATGAGCATAAAAAATCAATGTCATCGATATCATTTTGCACTGTTATAGGCGTGTATGTGTATAGATGTGTGAGTATGGATGGATGTGTGTATATGTTAGTGAGGAGGCATGCGCGAATCGTAGTAGTACAGCAGAATCATCGTGTTATATATGCATGCACAGCAGCACACAGAGAGAATATATAAGTCAGGTTCGCGATGAGAGGCGCGTGTGTGGAACGGAACGAGGCAAAGAGAGAAAGAAAGAGAGAGAGAAAGAGTGAGACTGGAGCCACGCTCGCTCTCGTATTATACGTAGCCCAGGCGCATAATAAACATATATACAAAGGCAATTCGAGCCATGTTTTGGTTTTGTGCTCCGCGCCTGGACACTATGCTGCGCTTATTCATTACTAGAAAGAGAAAGAAACCTGACGTATTTTTCCTGCGTTTCTAGAAAAAAAAAAATAAACATTCATGCCGACGCTCGGGGGGGAAAAATCATGTGTGTGCATCCGAGCGAGAAAGAAAGATAGAGATAGATATAGAAACGATGAAACGCATTATGAGAAAAAAAGAGAAAACGACTTACGACTCTTTCCTCCTCGGCCTGACGTACGCCCGCAACGAAGTACGCGTGTATGTACTTGTAGGGCTCGATACCCCTGGCCGACTTGAAATTGTTCAGGTGTATGCAGCCGTTGGGGTTGGGGCTCTGGCCGAACTTGATGGACACTCGCCTCGCTGGAGTCGTCGCTGTCGCCGTTGCCGCTGCCCCCGTCGTGTTCGTATTCGTCGTCGTGGATGATGTGGTCGTTGCCGCCGCAGCGACAACCTGATTACTGTTGTTGTTATTATTGTTATTGTTGTTGTTGTTGTTGTTGTTGGTGGCCTGGTTAGGGTCCACTAGATTGGCTGTGACCGTCGCCTCGGAGGAGGAGCCGACGATTTTGGGCTTCTTGGCGTTGCTCTTGAGCAAAGAACGACCACTGGCCTGCGTCGTTGACGTCGTACTGTTGCTGTCGTCGTCCTCGGTCTCGTCGCGTTGACGCACGACTTTCTTCGAGTTCGGAATCATCTCCGCTGCCATGTTTTTCGCAAACTAGTAGTGCTGCAGCCAGGCACACTAGGCTAGGTTATCACTCACGCGCGAAAACGTATAAGTATATATCTGCGTGTGTCTATCACGTTGTGTCTGTTTTCACGGTTTACGTACGGCGATGCGTACGTACGTAAGAAAAACGAAAAGATAAATTAAATATAAAAACAAAGCACAAGCACCGCACTCGATGTGTTTGTCCTTGCTCTTTTATGTACACACACACTCGCTGAACGTTGCACTTGTGTACGTACTCTGTATATGTTGTAGTATACGTATATGTGTGTGCGCGCTACGACGAGTGTTTTGTGTATATATAATACTACCTATACGGATACGTTAGGTACCGATGAAAGACTGCAGAACCGAGAGAAGGAACAGGAAGAACCAGATACACTACAATACTGCTACTGCTGATTTTTCGGAAGTCTTGATCTTACTTTTTCACACTGGCACATACACACATACACATGTGCACTCCACTATGAGGCAGCAGCAGCAGCAAGCAGCACGACCGGGTGACGCGAGGTCGGCGCTACTACACGCTACGCACGCTGTTGTGCACGTCGACGTCTCTCGTTCGTTATCTCTTCGTCTCGTTGTCTTGATGCGTGTTTGACACAAGAGAGCTGCTGTCCGTCCGCCCGTACGTCCGTCGTTGTTGTTTTTTTTTTTTTTTGGCTTTTAATAACAACAGTCGAATCAAACGAGGGCACACACCAACCACACGACGACGATGATCCGCACGAAACGAAACACGGAGTCTTCTCGGTAACTGTTGCGAGAGAGATGCACACGCGCGTTATATATATTTTTACTCAATATATAGGTATATACACAAGGTGCGAGCGTGTATCGCATATATCTATGTATATGCCGTTCTTTCGCCTATGTCTTCGGTGTGAGTGTGCAGTATCCGCACTAAATGTGTAGTCAGCTGGCCTCAGTCAGCTTACTACTACTTCGCCGGTGAAACTCTCTCCTCGAGGCGCTGAAGAGAGAGAGAGAGAGAGAGAGAGAGAGAGAGAGCGAGAGAGTGAGCGCGAGGTGGTGGGGAGAGCCCACAGCAGTATGGAACGTTTTACTACGACGATGCACATAAGCACGCGGCGCCGTATTTTGAAGCACACACATCGACTGTTGCTCGAAAAGTTTTTGAAAGGAAGAAAAGTGACGTGGTTGAATCCTGTAAATTTTGAGATCCGAATGAACGTCTCTTAGGTTCGAATGAATCAGTACTGACACGAGCTAGTACAACTTTTTTTCGGTGTATATCGATGTTCGTTTTTTACAATATTTTGAAGTTAAATGTGTTTCTGTTTAAACGAATTAAACATATTTATGTATTTCTAATGAACTCTCTTCGTTATTGAGCGAAACAAATTAATTTAATTCAGTGAAAAATAGCATACTTTTTAATTCTAATTCAACGAATCTGCAGCTAGTAAGCACAACTCGTCGATTGAAAAAGCAGAGCACGAGCAACTGTTGCTCGTGCAGATAACTACTGTATCGACGTTCGAAAACACTGTCTCGCACACGCAGACGCCTCCCGCCGGCACATGCAGCTTTAATCTCTGACTGGTTACAACCATGTGTTTATTAAATTTACGACAGTACAGCTACAACTTTCGTATTTGCAGAGAACGTGGGTCTAGCAATGCTATGCCCACAATTCAACTCTCACCAACAATACAAAATAGATAACAAAGCTTCCATATTTACAGCAGAATCATTAGCAATTCTCATGGCTATAGGGTACATTCTATCCAATAACATCAAAGAAGCTGCTATCTACACAGACTCTCTGAGCGCTTTGACAGCCATTGACAACTACTTCCCTATAAAAAAACAGACACCTTTTACATTATCCTGGATGTTATATCTCTACTCTTCCTAGCTAAGAACAAGGGCATAAACATCAGGCTAATGTGGATCCCAGCGCATGTCAAAATAACATACAATCAAGCAGTTGACACATTGGCAAAGGAAGCAGCTGATACAGGAACAAAACTGATATTTGACTTGCACCACACAGACCTGAATGAAGAAATTACAAAAATAATCAACCAAGAAAACAAACAGCAACTTCTTAACGAAACCACATTTAAAGGTATTCACTTCTTCATAAATTACTACAAAGATACTAAAAATAAGCCATGGTTCGCCAAATCAAGGTATGATAGATATCACATCACCAAAATCAATAGATTGAGAGCCAACCACCACTCACTAGCAGAAAGCCTGCACAGGAAAAATATAGTAGACTCACAGAACTGTCAATGTGAATTTGAAATCCAAGACATTGACCATATCCTTTTTGAGTGCCCTCTATACTCAACGGAAAGAAGAAGTTTTAAAGCCCAGCTAAAAAACTACACGATAAAAAATTCCACTACCGAAATCAATTCAACCACACAAATCCTTAAAGCTCCAAACAATCCCAAAAAATAAAAATAAAAATAAAAAAAAAAAAAATTCCCGTATAAAGAACAAACAAACACATATAAATCAATAAATTAATAAATATAATTATTAATTAAATAATAATAAATATAATAAAATAAAAAACTTGGTCCTTTCAAGCTTTCTCAACACTATAGGGCACAGTTAATCGCCTTGTAGCCTTCAATAAATACCAACAGTTGTCCATATAGTAGGACACTGTTCTCACACTTGCACAGTGGCAGTTCAGACTTCGGAGGCGCTGTACAGCGTTCACAAGGCCAAAGAAAAAAGAAGAAGAAGAAGAACTTTCGTATTGTATAGAGGTCCGTCTGCTGTTGTGAAACAGTTAACGGAGATCGGTATATAAATGATCAATCCAAAACCAAGGGCTACACAGCTAGTCTACATTACGGAATGTGGCATCCACGTGATAAAGAAAAATACATAACTTCAGAAGATTCTACTTGTAGAATATGGGACATGGACAGACTCACACGTCATAAGGGACTTATAAGGTGTAAAAATGAGAGAGGTTTAAAAACTGTACCTACAGCCTGCTCTTACGATAGATATGGCACAGTTATTGCGCTTGGATGTACAGATGGATCCATTCAAATGTGGGACACTCGCCAAGCATTTGTAAAACCGTCGTTTATCAACAAAACTGCACATGGAGAAAACCTAGTAATATCGAGCTTACATTATTCGTATAATCCACTGTTCACTGCGTCCAATCTTAATTCGAGATATGAATGTACCAATTGTATGTTCAGTCCCGATGACTCCATGGTTGTAACTAGCGTGTTATTAGCCAGAGGACAAACCGCCGGAAAAGTATTGTTTGACGATACGAAAACGTTCGATCGGGTTCACGAAATAGAAGTCACCGATTCGCACGTGATCAAAACTCTTTGGCACCCGAAGCTGAACCAAATCTTCGTTGGCTGCGGAAACGGTGTGATCATGACTTATTACGACATCGACAAGAGTTTGAGGGGAGCCAAATCTTGTGCTGCGAAGCAAAAGTACAGGAAAAAGAATGTGGAAATTAAGTCGAGTCAGCAAATCATCAATCCACACGCTTTGCCACTGTTCAGGGAGGACAGACCCAAGTCTGCCCACAAGCAAATGGAAAAGGATCGGCAGGATCCGTTGAAACCGTACAGGCCCGATCTGCCGATCACCTCGGGTCAAGGTGGAAGAGTCGCCACCTCGGGCTCTACTCTCAGCTCGTACGTCGTACGTAATCTTGGTTTTAGTAAAAGAGTCGAGGACGATCAAAATCCACGTGATGCCATTCTCAAGTACGCCAAAGTAGCGGAGGAAGAGCCCTATTTTGTTATACCGGCGTACGAAAAAAACCAACCTCAGCCGATATTCTAGGAAGTGGGCGAGGACGACGACGATGAACCGTTGCATAAAAAGCCAAAAACGAGCTAGATATAGCTCGGAGGAGTACTTTTTATAAATATCTTTTAGATAAATGGATCTTTAGTTTTCTAGTCAAGAAAACTATTTGTGAATAAATGTTGTAACCTCGTCCAAATCACAGCCTTCTTTAGAATATGCATTATAAATGTATGTTAAAAAGTCTTTTTATAGGTGCCACAAAGAATTGCGATTATTATTAACTTTTTAATCTTCTTGCTTTTTTTCTACATCAAATTTTAAGCATAATTTGAGTATGCATTTTTAATCTTTACTCTTTTACACATTCATTCCCATTAAATAAATATTAAATTTAGTTTCTAAAATTAGGCGGTCATTGTAATTATTTTCTTTTCCGATGGAAATTTTTTTTTTCAAAGTCGAATCGATGGATATGGTTAATAATAATTCCGCATATATCCAGTCGAGCACTGTTACAACCGCTACGTAATACGCGCGTAACGAACCGAGGCTCGCATAGCATTCGAGATATATATATTCGAATGCTTTCCCGAATTATCGCGCGTGATTTTCACGAGAGGGTAAAGCTTGCGTGCGTTGATCTTGCCGGCCGAATGTCGCGCTTTTTATAGCCGCGGGTCTCCGCGTGTACGACGCTGTATACCTTTTACGTATAACACGTATACTCTCGAGCTGACAACATGCCGATTTATTATACAAGTATCTCTCGACACAATGGATGATAAATTTTCACCTCGAGATCGACGATCGGCGACGATGTCTCGATCATCGCGTCTTCTTTTTTTTATATTATTATGATATCGTAACGAATTTCTTTTTCATTTCCCAATGTTATACGCCGATTCGAAAAACTGTGTACCAGTGCATATTATCGTCGAGCGATCATTGCGATCGTTGCGATCGTGTTTCCGGCGTTCTCAAGAAAGAAAGAGAGAGAAATAGTGACAGCACCCACGCTCCTATATTTATAATACAAGTATTTAATTTTATGCCCGAGTCTATCTTTATTCTTCTCTTATACGCGTGTATAGTATATAAATACGAGAAAGATGACGCAACATTAACAAAACAATCGGCCTCGAGCGCCGAGCTATATCGACTCATCGAGCAGCAGCAGCAGCAGCAGCAGCGCAAAATGTGTGACGAACGCGAAAATAATAACATAATTTTCGAAGGAAAAAATCGGCACGATTCGTGTGTGCTTCGTGATAATAACGATGATATAAAAAAAGAAGTAAGTTAACGACGAGTATCCACCGTGGATAATAGTCGTGCAGTCGTGGTGCGCCGCGCGTGTATAACGGCGTATCATATACATACAGAAACTGCAGCAGCATGTCTTATAATAAACTGCAAGCGACATAGAGAGAGAGAGAGAGAGAGAGAGAGAGAGAGAGAGAGAGAGAGAGAGAGAGAGAGAGAGAGATGGAAAAGACACGCGAAAACAATAAGTCAACGCGCGCGACGCTCTCCGCGTGGCCCTAACGTTTTATTGCACGTAGTATATATATTTATAAAAGCCGCGTAGAGCCGAACGTCGCAGAGAAAGCAGAGGAGAGACGAATAGAAGAAAATAGAGAAAGAGAGAAGATCCTATATAGCTCGGCAGAGCTTCAAGAGCTGTAGTGTGTCTCAAGAGATAGAAAACCCAACGACGATGACGACGATGACTTTAGCGCGAGGCGGCCAAACTGGGACGATAGATATACTTATATACTTACACAAGCGCGTGTGCGAGGCATAATATAAGCTTTCGCGCGAATAGGCCGGAGCAAGACCGCTTAGGGAACGATTTTCTCTTTCCCTTACATACTATAGACGCTGCTGCTGCTGCTGCTGCCGACGTTGAAGTCCAAGTCGTGGTGGACGCTCTGCAGCGTCGTGTAACACCGAGAGAGAAAAAGGCTATTATATGCGGGCATCGTGAGTAGTAATCTGCCAGACTCTCGGTGGCCGGCTTTTGTTTGTTTACTTAGAAATGTATATAGGATGTTACTGTATTAGGCAGTCGATGGATTATATACTGCACTGCGGAGCTTTCGATGTATGCAGGAGAAATGTTTATCATCCCCGCGTAGCCAAGGTTAAAATAAAAATACGAGACCTATATATTTTTTATAGCTGGAAAGCTCTTCAATTGCTCTGTTTAAATTGCACTGAAACGTAGTTAACGTAATGAAGAATTAGTTCAAACAAAAAAGCAATTTTACATTCGCTTCGAATTTCACGTGATAATGTAAAGACCAAAAGTGAAAAACTTTTCAGCATTCATCGACCTCGCCAATAAGAATCTCGAGTGAAGCTTTTTATAATTCTGTGTGACTCCTTTTCATGCAAAAATCATCGTTCGTAATAATATCGACGCGCGGATGGCGAATCACTGCACAGTCTTGGCCTTTCAATTCACTCCAGAACGATGATAAGTACTGGGGCGCTTGCGGATCGTTCGACTATTATTATATTATTATATCTATATCTGTGTATGCACAGACGGACGCGGCACGCGATCTCGAGCTTCTTTCTCTGCGCGCGCGAGCTTCTCGTCCGAATTTTTTTTTCTCCTCTTTTCTTTTTCTTGCCTTTTATATCGATTGCCCGGATTGTGCGAGTAAGGGTGTGTGAGTGTGTGTGTGTGTATGCAAGAGCCATTTCCAGGTACCCAAGGGGCAATAATACATATCCTAGATAACGTGTCTATCGATTTTTTGGCGTGCGCGCCGTAACGGCAGGAATAAAACTCAAGCTTTATATAGGTAGACGAAACTCGAGCTGCAGCACAATAGGAGCACACGTATGTGCGCTTTAAATTAAAACTATAATAATTTTCAAGTGCTTTTGTGTATGTGTATGTGTGTGTGTGTGTGTGTGTGTGTGTGTGTGTGTGTGTGTGTGTGTGTGTGTGTTATGCTGCAAATAGGAGAAAGCAGGTCGTCGCTACCGGCGGCGTAGGCGCGCGGGATCTTCGAACGAGATTAGATGCCTAGACGCCCGAGCGGCATGCAGTTGAGGTTCAAGCAGCATACACACAAAACTCTTATATATGGGCGAGTTTCGAGTGGAATTTTATCGGTACGAATAAAAAGTAAAATTGTGAATGGTAGAGCTTCGTAAAAAATTTTATGGAAACGTGCTTACCTCATACCTTTGAGCACCTAAAAATTTAATTAACTTTTTTTATCTAACATTTCTATCTGCCTGTAAATGTTAATATTTCTTCAACGTAACACTCGTCTACATAGACAGCTTAATTAGCGAACTGGGATTGTAACTCTTGATCGACCAAACACCCCAATTCGGCTATAGTCTGAGTTTTAACGGAGGCAGTCATATATATTACATATTGAGATATGCATCGGAACTTTGGTACTCTGTTGTTTTTTAATCACGAGCAGTTGTTTATTCCTTAGATACATTTTCTACTTACATGTCTCCAGGCGGCTGAGTTTGAAACTCCTGTACTGTTACTATGTATCCACGCGAGGAGACAAATAGTCTGAAGAGGATATATCAGAGATGTAAATAAATTAATCAAGTCACATTGTTAAGTTTTGTTTTTTTAAATAGACTTTAATGACATTTTTTCCGCAACTTTTTTTATTCTCAAATATAATACATTCTCTTTTTCATTTTCTTCCTAATTCTATACATAATTATAATTATAATTACACAATTACCATAACAAATATATATATTTATATAATTATGTATAAGCTTACGTTTTATCATCATTATCATTTATATTTGATATTGTACTCGTTCGAATCGCTTTAATCATGACTGTATATTCTTTTTTGCAATCGTTCAAGTGTAAGTAATTAGTTAACACGTAATATTACTTAATTAATAGACGTTATACAGACACGGATGAGTGCGAAGAAACAATTTTCATTAAGCTTCAATTACTTGTTTTTTTTGCTGTTGTCGTCTTTTGCAACTAATAAATCGTACACATTTCAATGTCGTATGTCCTATATAATAATATTCATTAAGAGTTATTTTATTTTTGTCTTTTTTATAATCGATTGGTAACTCGTTTTCAAATACCCCATAGTGTGAAAATTCATCTAAAATCGGAATGCAGGGAGAGAGAATCGACTTTCGTATTTAGAAATATTTATCTTGTTTGCGATTAGCTTAGCTTTGACATGTATCCCCAAGCATACGAGCGCACACACACACGCACACACACACATATAAAGTTAATAATATACATGTATATAAGATATATATTAATTCAAGTAATTAAAAAGAGCTCTCGGGGAAGGATATCGCGAGTAATATGGGGGGAGAAAAAAACGTAAGTAAAGAAACGCGACCATTATGTATCAGTGCTCGATTCATTCATCTGTGTGGTATATAATGTAATATATATTTTTATCAAACTTGGCCCGGATTCGTACAAGTGGTACTCTATAATCGACTCGGAATGTGGTGAATGTGTGGTGCAGCGCACAGAGAGTGAGAGAGACAGCCAGACAGGCCGCAGCAACTACTACACTGCAATTGTAGAAGAGAGAGAGAGAGAGAAGCTGCGGCTCCGAGGAACGCGCTAAACGTTCGATTAACTCGTGGTTCTTTTTCCCCATTGCTAATAATCATACGTCTCTGTCTCTCTGGCTTTCAAAGTGAAAAATAGAAAGAAAAATCCGTATTTATTTACGTTTCTTTTTTTTTACGTTCAAGACAAATAGCACTCGAGCACCGAGGAACGCACACATATACAGATAGGCTGACCATACAAACACACTCGATAATATAATATATTGCACACACAGAGACACACATAACAAACTAACACACATAGACAGACAGACGTACCCAGAGTAAGGCCATACAAGTTTTACAAAGCTACAACAGACACGCGCATTTATAAGTATGTATGCCCTAAAGATCTTGGTGAGATTAAATATCATTATGTATATTATGTATACTGTATGTATGTGTGTATATATAAGCGTCGACCATAAGTCCGTCCGAGTCCGTGTATTACAATCATGGATGCGCCCCGACCCGAGTGCATTATAACGCACACATTATTACAGATCTCTGCGCGGCTTATAGACACACGCACACACGTACACAGACTCGACGCGCGTAACGTCCGCAATTTAATTTTTTTTTATTCCATCTCGCTCTAATCTTTTTCTTGTTCCCTGCAAGTAGCAGTCACATTGCATCCGCGTCTTTCTGGGTAAGATTAGTTCTCGCGAGCGCCGCGAAAAATCATCCTCGCGACGCAAAAACGGAAGGAAAGTTAAAAGCGGCGACGAGGTATTTGAGAGAGAGATCCGCGGGCGATTACTACAATAGCTTATACTTAGGATATACCTGTATAGGAGCAAGAAGAGCAATAGCCGCCATAAACGAGTGTGTGTGAGTATGTGTGTAGCGAGCTGGCTGCAGGTCGAGCGTGGCAGCAGTAAAACTCCCACAAGACTTTTCCTTTTTCCCCTCTATAGCAAAAGGAGAGGCAAAGGAACGCGGACGCGCGTCTACACACACGTACTTATACAGTGCCAAACTCTGCTGCACACAAACACACACATACTCAAACATATCTACAATACATGAACGTGCCCTCGACTTCTAAGCTGTATATATAAGGCTCACATGCATAGCAGCTCTTTATCTCGCTTACCGGTCTACGGACTGCGAATGCGCGTTGCTGTTTACGTATTATCAGCGAGGTGAATATGGAAATTCTTCTTGCGAGTGTTCTCGACGTAGCGCGAATATATAATAATGCAGCTGTATAGTCAGTCGCGCGGTGGTGGTCAGTATATATGTGTGTAAGTTAGAAACGCGACTCGGCGACGACGCCGCTCTCATCGCTCCAAAGCAATGAAAAGAAAAGAGAAAGAAAAATAAACTCGAATAATGCGCGAGTTTGTGTGTGTATGTGAATGCATCTATATGCATACGATGGAGTCGAGGTCGTGTGCGCCGTGTGTGTATAAGTATAGCGCTGTGCGAGTATATCGATCAAATTCGCCGAGAGAGAAAGAGACTTGCATTCTCTCTCTCGTTTTATACATACACATGTATAAATGTTTGGCCGCGGTTCATTAGTTGCACAGAGAGATAGAGGAGATGAACGTGTCCACTCAGTTTAGCCGCTCCGAGTAGATGACTTTACTAGTGTTTACACACACACACATGTATAAATACGTTTAATAATAATGCTAATTAAGTGCTGTGAGAAAATCCAAGTTTTACATCATATATGTATACGTTTTATAATGATCCACGCAGAGGCAGTCCACGTTTTCCATCGCATATATAGAGAAAAATACATGCAGCTCACACACACACGACGACGTCGTTGTTGTGTAATTATTATTGCGATGACTCGCGCGTCTTTCCATATTCCTATACTATAACGCACGAATGTCCGAGATGGAATATATTAGCGTGTGTACGTAACGCAGCGGTACTTTTTTTCTCTCTCGCTATTTCGTGTGCGTGTGTGTATGCATCTCTTTATTTTCCCGCGCGAGGATGACTCCCGGCCCGCCGCGAGTAACAGTTGCGCGAGTGCGAATTGAAGAGAGCTTTTTTTCTCTTTGAACGTATAATAAATAACGAGCTCGTTCGAGCGCGAGAGCTTCTTTTCTCACCCGCTAGCTTGTACTTATTTCATTTTTTTTTATTTTTAAGGTATAAAGGTATGTAGCAAGGTAGTTCGCGTTATAGTTTTCATTGCCGCACGCGCGCAGGCAGGCGAGATAGAGCGAGAGAGAGAGAGAGAGAGAAATCTGTGCTACCAGGCAACAGGTTCAAGGTAAAGTGCGGCGGCGATGTTGCTGCAGCTATACACACCTTCTATGCTACAGCACTGCAGCAGTGTATGCATGTACGAATTTTAAACTCGTCCACTTACACGCGTGCGTAGAATGTCAGTGTGTATGTGTGTCTGTGCCGCTATAATATTACGTAACGCGCGACTAGCGAATTTTGAGAGAGAGACAGCGATTGGACGGACTCGGTCGTGCGCGGCAGAGCTTTTGTGTATGCATGTTAGGAAAACTTTCGATATACATACAAGTATTGTGTGTGTGTGTGTGTGTGTGTGAATCGAGTCCGAGAATAATAGAGAAAAGTTATTAATGAATAAAAACGCGCTGATTTTTCAATTCTATCGTCGACCTTCAACCGGTTACTCGTTCGAGCGCATCGACGACATATGATATGTTGCGTATATTCTATAGTATTATTTTATAAACATAAACAAGTCTTGGTACAACAATTATGACGGACGTTTATTATAAAGAGGTTTTCGCGTTTTCAACGCCCGACGCGACTTCGTTACACATTATTATAGCCCAGCAAAGAGAATAAAAAGTGTGCTTGTCCCTATAAGTCGACGCTTTTACACACATACGGTACGCGCATACACAACACAACTATAGCAGCTTATGCACCGTGTGTACGATAATAAATTAAGAAAACGAAATCGATATACTCGTCGCCGTCGTGTTTTTTTAAGAAGCAGTTCGTCGTCGCTGGTGTTCTTTCTTCATACTTGGTTTTACACGTAGCTTGCCTCAGCTCGCTCGTGAACTTCTTTCTTGCACTGCTTTCTTCGAAAGGATAGTACGTTATAAGTAAGGTGTATATGTATAAGCATAAGGAGAGCCGCGCGCGAGCAGTAATTTTTTTTTTCTATCCTTCCTTCTCTCTCCGTTGCGGCTGCTCCTTCCGCTCTCCTGGAAGGTGGTGGTATAGGCGGAAACAATAGCGCGCGCGCGGCTCAGCAATAAAAAGATGCGCGCGACCAGCTAAGCGCGACTCTCTGACCATAGTCGTCTGCATCATCGTCATCCAGCTCCTTTCCTTTTTTTTTCTTCTCCTTTGCACTTTTACCGTTTCGTTTACTTATTCATTTCCTTCTTGCTGCCTTGTATGTAATCGAGGATTATGTATACTCGACTCATCTCTCTCTCTTTCTTTTAGCTGCACCTTTCGTTTTCAACGAACGCGATGCACCACAACAACAACAATAACACACCGTGTATATACTCGAAAATTTTAGAGAGAGAAACGAAAAACGGCACTTGACACATTCGAGTATTATACGGCACCCGCTGGTGCACCGCAGTAGCGCGAGTCTATGCGTTGTCGTTTCGCTCCGTTGACATCCACGCGACGATGCGTATGTACATTGATACACACACGTAACACACTGATATGACTGCAAAAATTTATAATGCGTCGTTCGCACACACAACGGCACACATATATCGATACGCATCGTCGGACACACGATCTCTCTCATATATACAATATTTATTACAAACGATAATAACAACTCCGATCCGGTACAGCAGCACGGCACGTGTGCAGTGTCGTCGATACGTGCTCGGCCACTAATGCATGGCGAAGGTCAGTAGGAGCGCCAGGCCGAGGCCCAGCAAGGTCGCATCCCTGGCCACCAGGTGGGCATTCGTCGCCCCGGCCGTGATCTCCGGCAGATCGGGGAACGTGCCGTTCTCGTAGTACTGATAGTTTCGCATGTTCACCGAGGACATGATCGCTCGGAAATTCGGCCGACTGATGTCCGTCTGATTCTCGAGGAAGGTGTGGAGACGATTGGTGATGCACCACAGCTGGCCCTTGTCGTCGAAGGCGAACGTGTCGGGCCACTGCATGAGGTGATGATCGCGCGAGATGATCCGTTGGCCCGTGACGAAGCTCGGATTGCTCTTGGAGTCCCACATGGATACGGCGTCGTCGGCCAACAGGCCCATGTAGAGGATGCCGGTGTTGGACATGACCATGCCGTCGGTCTGCGACGGTTTACGGCCCAGCACGCGGATGTGCTGGCTGATGTTGGCGCGCATCGTCTCGCTCTTGAGCGCCCTCGTCGGCACCGAGAACACCATGAACGAGGACAGGGGCGTGTAGTAGAGGGTGCGCTCGCCCTCGGTGTAGGCCGGCGACAGGGCGATACCGTCCACGGCGAAGGCCTGCGTCACCCGGATCTTCTCGATGACGAAGCCCACCGCGTCGGGCTTGGCGTTCATGGACTCGTGATAGACCTTCCAGGAGGTGCCGTTCGCGAGCGAGTACACGATGATGCCCGGATGCTGGTCGTCCGTGTCGGTGATGTAGGCCACTCCGCCGTCCTCGTGATCCACCACGATGTCGTTCAAGTAGGCCGACTCGGGGTTGGCCACGTCCGCCGGGAACGGATAGCTGCGCAACACCTGACCCTCGTTCTCGAGGTCGAGGATCACCAGTCGGGGCGGACACTTGTTGACCGCGTCCAGGGTGATGATGTTGGTGCGGCCCGTGTCTATGACCCACATGCGGCCCAGCGGATCGATCTCCATGCTCTGCACGAACTGCAGGGCCCGGCAATCGTCCAGCGTCTGCATCTCCCAGCTCGGATAGGGCTCGAGCTTGGGCGCAGTCTGGCCGTTGATCGGTGTGGACGAGGTCACGGCTAGGGTGACCGGCACACCCGGCTTCCAGCGCGGCAACGTCAGGTACATCTTGTCCTTCCACAGCTTGATCCCCGAGATGATGTTGTTCTTCTCGATGAAGGACTCGTCGTTCTCGGCGATCATGTAGGCGTCGTCGCTCGGCCAGGTGTAGTTCACCGAGTTCCACTGGAAGCGCACGCTGAACGGCTCGTGGGCCTGGGCCCATCCGCAGATCGCCAGCAGCAGCAGAAAAGCAGACGTCGACGTCATCGTGAACGGGCGATTTCGCTTGTCCGATTGTAATGTAACGGCGGCAAAAACACACACACACACACAGACGCACACGGAGCAGCAGCCGCTGCAGCGCGCCACAAAGTCAAAGAGAAAGAGAAAGGGTTAACGCGCTTTGGTAGCTATTTTACGAGCGACGACGACTCTGCACAAATCCAAGTAGGTCAGTAGGATTTGCGATGGCTCGCACTCTCTTTTTCTATTTCTGTATATATCTATGCACTTGTACACGTCCACTAACAAGACACACTTGACACACGGTCGGAAAACACGAATCTGAATACTTTTGATGTTTTATGTATATCCGTGTATATTGCGCGGCGATCGCCGACGACGACTACTTTTCCACGTGCTGAATCGACTTTATGCTCGGCTCGCTCGCGACCTTTACACACGTTATGTAGAATACACGAACGTGTCCGAAGAGCTCGACGCTTGCGATTCGACTGGTGAATTTTCGCGCGCGCGCGCGCGACTCCGAACGAACGAGAGAGAGTTGGCTGGCGGCACGGCACAGCAGCAGCAAGTTTTGCACCACTGCTCCCCCCGCGCGCCGCAGTTTTATGCTGCTGTAGTACGTTTATATACATACAGTGTGGTCGGTCTCGGCCGCCCCACTACCTTCTCTGCATCGCCGACCGACCGCCTCGTACAGTAGCATATATAGCACACGGAGGAGACGCGCCAACTTTATGCTTTTGCATTCAGCGGTTTTGTATACATGTGTGTTGGTAGGTACTGAGAATTTCGCACGTGCAGACGACTGCATAATATATTCGGCAACCCTATACATATAATATGCGTATAGGCAGATCTGGTTATGTTTTTGGAAGTGAAGCTTCTTTGCAGCAAGAAATGAGCGCGATAATTCAGGTGTACTCCGTCACATAGTATATAGACTTTGATTGTCCGGTGACTCGCGCGCGGGGGAGGTGCAGCAGAGATTTATTATAGGCGTACGCCGCATAGACGACCACTGAGCGGATCGATACACGGTTTATGGACTAAGTAAAAAAAAAAGGGTTGACCAACCAGTCAACGATCGAGTTTGCTGTTTTTCAACTTTCTGATTAATTTGAAAAATTTTAATGATAGCGATTACAGCCTGTTATAAATTATAAATCGATTAACAATGTTGAAATGTCATTTCTCCATCGGGTAATTTGTATAAATTTGAAGTGTCTTTTAAATATGTAAATTTTAAAAACGTCATTTTAATAATAGTAGTGTTTATATACACGTCAAAAAGAGGTCCAATAAAGTATCGTTAATTATTGTTAAAAATATGGTGACTCACCTCGCCAAAATGCCAATGCATGACTATTTCTTGAAAATATCTTCAATGAATGCGGCCGGTCGACCGAGAGATTTTGTAAACAACTAATACAATGAATAAAGTAGAAGGTTTTTGTTCAAAAATAAAAACAACCCTTTGTTTAGATAATCGAATCGGGTCAAATTGAATTTGAGGCATAGAAGCAAAATGTTATTTTCGAGCATCGGAATATCGGTAGCGGAAAAGCCCAAGCAGCAAGTGATAATATTTCCGTTTTGCATATAGCGCCAGTCAGGGAAATAGTCACTTTAGGGCTGTGTGCGTCGGTTTACGTGAGAAGGAAATTCGACGTTTATGGTTCTACACGTCTCGTCGCCACTGAGCTGCGCATTCTGTGGATAATCCGCGTGCTCGAAATTCATGTGTATATTTATTTCTTTTTTTTTTTTGCCTCGGATCGAAACACGAGGATACATCATATGGGCTTTGAGCTGCTTATATCGTGCATAATAATACAAATACACAATGATTGGCAATGACGAGTGCGCAGCTCTCGAGTGCTATGGAAAAGCCGACCTAGCTTGCTACTGCTGCTGTTGCTCGCAATTACGGATCCGTATATTGGTTATCGTCATTAATAATTTTGCATGCGTATACGCGCGAGCTCACTGCGCGCCGAGATTGTTGTGCAATGCATGAATATTCTCGGAATTTGCGCGAAATGTGTAACAGCACACATATTGGTCGAATTATTTTCTCATCGGGGCAGAGCACAATAATGCATACATACAGTAATTATAGCTATTTCGCCTCGCATCAAACGCTTGGTCGCGTTATTATAGATTTCGTAGAGAATTAAAATCGTTGTGCTAGTAGTGGTACTAGTGGCTCAACGAAACAGAGCGTAAAAATTTGGCCGTTTTTTAACGGCACACACGTGTGTATAAATGTTAAGTGCATGTGTAACATCTCTGTGTCGTTATGTATGCGTAAAAATAATAATAATGATGCATCCAAATGGCGCGCACACATCAATTACAGTAATTTAGCGCGTCGGTTGGAATCAAATTCAATTGTTTCGAATAATAGAATTGCTTGTGCTCGCTGTGCCGCGCTCCACGCATCGTCGCGGCCTCGAGCCATTTTATTTAGCAGTCGAGCATGTAGTATTTATTATCGAGAAGAGAGAAGCGAGAAAAAATTCGCAGCAGGTATAGCTTGATAAAAAGGGTGTAGTGTGCGCGCGAAAAATGCAAATGACAGTTGCCTGCCAGCGGCAGCAGCAGCGCATGGGGGGGTCTTGCTCGTGTCTCTTCCTATACACAATGTGCCGCCACAGTATTTAGCATAGCTATGCGTTATATATATGTACGTCGGAGACCAAGAACAAGAAGAAGAAGAAGAAGCGCAGTCGAATCTAATTTTCAATCTGGAACGCTGACCTTGAATAATAGAGCCAATACCTGTATAAGACGGCTCGCCTCGAAAAACACCTCGTCGTCGGCACCGTCGAGGCATATAGTCCAAGACTCTTTTTCTCGTGGACGAGGCATGGCATGTCTCGCGAAAATTTGCCGCTTGGTTGCCGGCCAACACAACACAACTCCAACTCCCAACTCGCCCGCCTTACATAGGTGTATATTTTTTCTGCTCGCTTGACGTTTGCGTGCTATTATGCTTATACTGTTGTTGTATATGTATGCGGTGGCGGGCAGAGCTTTTTAAAATGATGTCACGCGTTATTTGGCCTGTGGTGGCACACACACACAAATGGGAGATTACTTAATTTGCCCGATCGTTCGAGATTTTCTATTTTAAGATCATGATGATGATGATGATGATGATGATTATAAACACATAGATGGTTCGCGCCCGCGTGTCGATGTGTGTGCGCGTATATGCGGAGGTGAGAATATTCGCGCGCGGGTATTTATACGGATTTTCTCGTCAAAATATAAATGTGAGAAATATCAGACACGCGCTCGCGCGCGTCGACGCCCGTCGCGGCTCAGGCCTCGTTCCACAATTTTTTTTTTTTTTTTTTTGTATATAAATCATATTAAAAGCCCCGAGCGCGCGCACGAAAACGCGCTCTAAAGCTGCGGCATATACAAGTAACAAGGGCTAACAAGCGATTCACCCTTGAAATTCGAGCCAAAGCGCACCGTATAATACAATAATCGTGGAAAATGTGCGTATATGATGGCATGTGTATGTACGATAATATTACATGCCCCCGTATATTATTATTACATTCATCTATCTATACACGACGACTACTACTGCTACTGCTGACGCGCATATATACGACATATTGTGCATACTAGCTATAATTGCTCCAGATATGCAAGGCTCGCGCGACCGAACGTCAGCGGTGTATAGCGGCATATATATGTATATGTGGTATACAAGAACGTGTATCAATCGACGTAGACGATAATCAGCGTACAATTATCAGCAACTAATTGAAATAATATTACTATTGCCCAGCGATACATACAGAGAGAGAATGACACGATACGACGACGATCGCATCGTCCCCGATCGAGTTTTTCCATTTATTATCAGTGGCTCACCTTGCCACAGACGAAGAAGTAACATGGGAATTATTAGCGATAATAATATGCATGTAATACAATGGCTACGAGCCGCAAAAGATGACGCAGCATAAGACGGACTTGGAGCTCGCTCGAGGCACCACGATGGGTACAGCGGGGGAAAAAAATATAACAAATAAACGAGATTTTTTTTTCATCCGCGGTAAGCTTGTTACGCGAGCTTCCGTGCGACAAGTGATTGCGCCTTCGTTGTGAGATATCCTTTTGCGTTTGCGCATATATTTATCCGGATATGGTTGTACATATACGCGAATCGATTCCGATCCGCGCGAATTTCGTATTTCGCACTCGTGTACAAAAATGAAGAATCGCGCAATCAATTGCACTCGACGAGCTTGCAAAATCATACATAAACGTACATCGTAATGTATTTTCAACAATGAGACAAAAAACAATACACACGTGTGTGTACAACGGCGCTCCACTTATGGAAATAATAATAAAACACTCGCGCAGTTGGCAAAAATTCGCCTGCCGCGTTAAATATTTATAAATCCTCGAATCGCGCTTGGCGCGGCAAAAAACAAAAAGAGTATATATACACATACGACATTTGCATACGTGCGTGTACAGAGACACCCGCGTTAATTGCCGTCACGAGTTTACAATAAAAATGCAATTCTCTGCTCGCGCGTAATACGTTTCGGTACGCGATGTGTACCTATATAAAAGTTTATTTAACATAAAAAATACGCGCAGCTCCTCCTATATAAGATACATATTGACCATTGCGTAATATATAATGTGTTTATATAGGATACGCACACACGCATAAAATGTCAAAGTGTGAGTGTGTGCACAAATGCATGTGTGTTTGTGCCCGCCGTCGCCGGGGGCCTCGCCTATTATTCGAGCCAATTGCCACTGCGTTACACTACTTGGATGCGGTTCAGGAATCTCACTCTCTTTTCTTTCTCTCTCTCTCTCTTTCTCTCTCTTTCTATGTCTCTCTAGACGATACTTTAAAAGCGCGATGATAATTCCAGGCATGTGCCAGCGCGAGCTTACACCTATACGGGGCGACGAGATGTATTATGTACAAAAACAAACTCAATTCGCCGCACGTACCGAACGTTTAATGTTTTGCTCGGATTCTCTCTCTTTCTTTCTTTTCTCGCCCGAGGTCGATGATACATACACAATTTTATACTTTGTTTTTCGGTTGTCTCTCCCATGTGTCGTCGCCGCTGCAGCAGCACCAGCTACTATATATTTGTAAGACGTTTTCGCGGATCGTACGCGTCTGGTCGCTTTTATTACATACACCTCTCAAGCTTTCATCCATAATATTATTTAATGCATAATATCTATTATATATGTAGGATATCGATGCATCTCTATCCGCGCGTCAATCGCTGTTATAATACATACATATCATACATATATCGGTAACTCTCTGCGATGCAGCAGTGCCTGCAGTAGACAGCGCGTCGCGCAAGCTGCAGCGACACGACTCAACCGAAAGCGATGACAACGTCGACATACATTATTATTATAAGACAGCACTGTGTTTACGCCGACGATATCGCGAGCTCGAGCTCGAGCTGTGTTAAACAGGCCATCGAGGAAATGTCACAACGTCGTCGTCGTCGTCGACTTTGTCGTCAACTTTATACATTTTCCTTCTTG